GTTACGATTGAGAATAGACGCGGGATTGAATGGCTTCGTACTTCACATAGCCTTGTTCTACACTCCAGGCGCATACACATTCCCATTCACTAACACTAGCTGCAACACCGATTCTAACCCTAGGGCTAAATCTGACAGCTGCAGAGCCTCCAGCCTCAGAAATTACTTTCTTCACCATACATCGCTGCGACAAGTTGACAGTCAGGAAGACTTGGGTGTGTGCATTACATCTTCACTCAAACCAACACTGCACTGCGCGAAGGCGGCTAAGTCGGCCATGGCTAGGTTGAAGCTCATTAGGCGGGCTTTTATGGGGTTTGTCACTGACTACTTTTTCAAAATATTTGGCACCTTCATGCGGCCTCATCTAGAATACACGACACAGGTTTGGAGACCTTCGTCTGACAAGGATTATACAGTCTTAGAGAAAGTTCAGAGACGGGCGACAAAATGACAAAAAGTGTGAGAGCAATGGTCTATAAAACCAGATTTCCAACTCTCAACCTGTTTCCTCGTCCCTCAGGCAACTACACGGTGACCTTATGCTAACATTCCGCATTATAAAGAGCCTAGACTGTTACGTAGATCACAGTGATTACTTCACTCAATCTAACCCACCCACTTTGCGCAATCGTCCCTTAGAACTACGCGCAAGTAGCGCAAGAATCAATGGACGAAAATTCTTTTTGGTAACAGAGTGGTTGCAGCGTGGAATGCCCTGTCTACTGATGTTGTACTCTCCTTCTCTGTGGACCCATTTAAGTGTAGACTCGACGCGTATCAAGCCTTCCAATTACAAGCCACGCACTCAGTCACATAACCATACCTCATTCCATATACGTTTATGCTACTTAAAATGACGGGGTAACCGTTAATGATCACTATTTTTCAACCAGCTGGGTGCTGCCTGCCTTTCACACACAATTATGTACAAAATCTCTTCTTGAACTTTCCACTTATCAGTGCCCTTTTCAAACGATTTATAACCAGTAGGGCAGTTGAAGACGATCGCCTATATTTCCCTTAATGCTGAACTGAACTGAACTAACTTTAGATCTTATCCTCACTTCACCTCTAGTTCCAAGCCTGAACTCTGATCAGTGATAGCAGGCATCCAAACACACACGCCACCCTCAGCCAACATGAGCCTGGTGACAGAACAGAGTCAAGACGACCGGAGACGGGCTGAGTTGCAGTCATAATCAAAGGTACACATTCCTTGTACGCCTACCATACGCGACCTGATCCGGGTTCGGTGGACAGGTCCACACAAAAACGAGGAGGCGGCTTCTATCCCAGATGATTCGAAATGCCATGGAAACTACATTCAGAAGGAGCCATTGCAGCCGAACTCCCCACTCCGAGAGAGCCAATTTTTCTTGCTCGACTTGAGGAGCGACACAACTGTTCAAAAGCACATCAGATTATTTATAGTGATGAAAGCACCAAAGTGGCGTAGGGCCGGAATGTACATGATCCACCTGGCTCTCCGCCCACGGTAATTTGCACGCACCAGCTCGTTGTCCGAGCCGGTCAGTCATATGATGCTGACATTGGGCTCGTAGTACACGTGCTATTTCATGAAATGGTAGCTGACTTTTTGAACTGTTTTTTCTTCGAAAAGAGTACTTAAGTAGAGTTGCAATAAAAATGTTCGTGCACCAAGTTATTTCAGTCGCGTTAGGTTGCCAACTTTTGAATAAGTTTTTTTTGGGCTACCCGCAGGCGTATGACTGGGCAACAAAGTGATTACCTATGTTAGAAGGATTTTTCCGCTTGATTTTTACTGCCCCTGTAAATTTAAATATGTTTTACAGAAAATATGCGCAACAGTATTCGTTCTTGCCCTCATTCTGTAGAAACTTACGATTTCTTTAGATCTTATGCTTAGGGAAGAGACATTCTTGGGTTCTGGAAAGTCCTTTCATTTTTCGAATAATTTTGAAGCCTACCCGCCGTTAAATTTGTACTTATGGCTTCGAAACTGCAAACTGCATAGTTTCTGTGTAAGGGAAATCATACATTTCTATACGTTATTAAGAAGACGTCATATACGACGCAAATCACCCTTGAGTGGATGTGAACCCTGCTGTATATTTGATAAACAGTATCAACAAAATGCGCAGACACAGTGTTTCGTGAATGAACACTCCACAGCCTTAAAAACCTCATGATTAATAACTTTTAAAACCGAAAATACCCATTCTTTAATTGTAGAATTTGATGAGATTGTTCGCCACCAAATCGGCACAAGAAAGATGATTTCTGTGCATGTTTTCGGTATGAATGTCTTATGTGACCCTCCAAGTAGGGCATGAAAACAGGAACCGCCTGCAGTGGAATGGCTTTGTGCCAACGTTTGTCGAAATTCGGGTTGGGTTTACGGTCAAGGTTACACTTAGGTTAAAAATCAGGTTAAAGGCCAGATTTAAAGTCGGCGGTAAGGTAAATTAGGGTCAAATTTAAGGTTTAGGTTGAGGCTATTTTCAACTTTAGAGTTAAGGTTTATGGTAGGGTCAGGGTCAGGATTAGGATAACGGTTTAATTTTATACTGTCATTGTTAGGGTAGGACACGGGAATTGTGCGCAGGCCCACCTTTATTATTTAGGGGGGTCATTCCTATTCTCATGTTCTTTTTAAGGGACCACATAAATCAGATCTATCACCTTTTCCTAAAATTATATTTGAATTTATACAGACCTCGAAGATTAGCGGTATGCGCGATTCTGCACAACCTGGTAGGCACATGCCGTGTCCTAAACTAGATCCGCGTCGATTCAGCCAGAGTGTCCAGGATCCGCTTTGTGTCATTCCACTTGTTGGGTATTTTGGAGACAGATTAAATGGAAGTAGCGGCGATTACTCACTTGGCATCCACCAGCCTAATACTGCATTGGCTTCTGGTCACTCTGATGCTGTGATGTCAGACAAAACTAGAACGTGTTTCTTTATTCACGCACAACGATGCGACCACAATCTTCCACGGCACCCGAAGCCGTCCGTCTTGCAGAAAGGTCTTTATTAACAGAGCTGATGATTGGAGGGCCGGAAAATATCAAAGAAGTCCTGTAAAGTGCTTGGGGGTCACCTAGATGAGGCTAGGTACAACCTCTGCTGCAATTTTTTACAGACCGTCTCTCCACCCAAATGGAGACTATTTTTTTGCAAAATGCTGGTTACTATCAGCAACTGTAATTTCTTCTACCACACATACACAAACCCAGATTTTTTTAAGTTCATCGATGATATCCATGTAAACACATAAGAAGTCAAGTCAGGCAAGCGTGCGCTTTCGAGTGTTCACCATCAGGCCTGTACAGTAATATAGGGGAGGGTAGAGTAGGAAATAACTAGACTCTTACCCCTGACCTCTGAAGGCCCTCATCCCTCTCCCCATACTTACTTTTACTAGCTGTCTGACGGTAACTACTTGCGAGTGCCAGCCTCGGGTGTTCCACACTCCAGGGTTGGGTATGACTAGCTGACGACGGCTTATCAGCCAGAAATGGCCATTCCAGCCTCCCTTGTCTTTGTCGACAACAGCATTCTGCCTATATCATGCGCCGCTGTGTGGCTGCTGCTTGGACTCGAGAGAGAGAGCCCGTAAGGCACAACAGAACGAGTGAGTTCCGTAAGAACGATTGGTGTGCGTCTCCTGCCATAGTAACTACTCTGTTCCCCCTTATATTACTGTGCAGGCCTGATGATGAATAATTGAAAGCGTACGTGGCAACGGTAGGGCAAAGGACCCCAATTAGCTGCCGGTATGGTGGGTATCGTGTCATACAGCAAAGATGGTAACGGGGGGTTTTTCGGGTGGAGCAGCACTCCGGAGAGTAATGTGATGGAATACAGAAGAACACAGAGGATGGTCAGTGGCAAAAACGATACTTTCAAGAAAAGTGATGGATGTGTGCAGATGCTGTATCTAGCCGGGTGTTCCATGACGACCCATCTTGGAAGAGTGCACGACCATCGAACAAGTGAACCTATCCCCTGGCAAACACCTCTTTTATGCCGCAATTCATGCTTAATTGATCTGCTTTTTCCGTCTCCCCACTCTGCGGTACAACTGTCAGTCATTTGTGCTCAACTAGATTTCGCAAGTACATACATCAGCACACGATCCACAGCCTGCCAGCATAATAATTGGGGTCCTTCAACCTACCGTTGCCGCATATGTTTGCCGAACACCTAGATTTTTAGTGCTACTTGAGATGTATTTGCGGAATAAAATGCCTCTGCCGTATTATCTCATCTGTAATCGCCGCTCAATAAATAGCTGTGTGATTGTCGACTGTGTTGAGTAAAATCATGCGTACTTTACACTCTGAGCAGTCACGTTTTATTACTGAATGTAGAATGCATTCCATTGGGCCATATCATGCGAGTGAAAATCAACCGGGCACAACACTGTTTTGAGCCGTCTTACTGTCGTCTAGTGTCCTTTGAAAAATTTCCCATAAACATCCAAAGCACTGAAAACAACATCGTTTGGTGGAAAAACTCACAGGGGCAATTAATTTGGGATACCACTTTGAAACTAATGCCCCCACCGGCTGCAATGAAATAAGATGTGGAAGTTCAAACTGGCCGTATCATAATCTGTAAGTGATGTTCGTTGTGAATTTCAGTCTGCAATCCGTAGAGTGCATCATACCAAGTATTAGTTGGAAGTGCGGCCTGAGTCTTGCCGTAGTTATTTCGGAAGTTAGAAGCGACAGCAAACAGGTGGTCTCCGACGAAATGAACGAAATTTTGATCATAATAAGTAGGATGGGATAAGAGGGCGCACTTTGCCCTGAATCTTGGTGACACTGGCCCTTTGTCAGGTGAAATACATAGGCGTTTGGGGTCACAGGGAATAGGCAAACATGGGTCTCGTTTGGGGACGTAGTAACGGTAGGTTTTGGTGTGGAGTACAGTTGAGGGCCCCTGCGCTGAAGAAGGAGGGAAACGGCGCAGAATATCAGTGAGAAAGTAGGCGTCCGGATTAGGGTTAGTCGCCTTGGGCTGGACACGGCATCTGAGAATCGTTTTGGAGGCGTCTGCGTGCGGCGCTGCATCGATCCGCGAAGACCAAGTGTCCATTTATCCAATCGCCGTTGTCTGAAATAAATCATGAATAAACATGAGGCGGAGAACAGGCGTTCTTGGTTATCGGACTTTAGTAAGTGGACCGGTCTTCTAAGAAACGAAAAGGGCGGTTCGCATCCTGCATGCCAACAGCTCGCTGTTCTGACGTCGTAAGGCTAAGATCTTAACTATAGTGCCAGGGTTTTCACCTACAGGATTATGGCACCTGCTTGTTCAGTTGTGCTAAATGTTAAGATCTTTCACCCAGTCGCGCGGTGAGTATTAATATATGCGAAGGTGAGTGCGGACAAAGGCAAGAAGGAGAGAGAGGTGACTATTTCTGGTCCTCAAGTCATCTTCGGTTAAGTTTGCCCAAACCTATATTTGCTGTGTCTAAGCCTTGAAGGCCGTCCTTTGGCTATCTGTGAGTCAGTTTAGTGAGTCGTTCAACGCGCCTGCGGCCCAGCAACTGAGTAACGCAAGTCTGATGCTGGGCTGCGGCCGATGTGGGTTTGGGTAAGGCGAGCTGGCGACGGCCAAAAAGGCAGAACTGGTCATTCCACTCCTCCCTCTCCTCATTGATACACCATCAGCATGAATACCTCTACGAACTTGGTCAATTTCCGATTAAAAGTCTTAGGATCTCCACTTTTAATGCATGTGAATGTGGTTATATGAATCTGTGCAAACGTATCAGTTTGAATATCAACATAAAAGCAATAGTTCGACAACAGTAGAAGTTGAAAGGGCTCGGTAAGTGGGTACCGTCAGTATGTCTGCGAGCGGCACTGCGTCGATGCGCGATGACCAGGTGTTGATTTAGCCAGTCGCTGTTGTCTGAAGCAAAAGAAAAACAAATAAACGTCAGTCTCGAAATCGCTTGTGGGACACAGTGCAGGATTAGTGTCAGTGCTGTACCAATGGAGCCATGAGCTCCTTATCCTGTTGGCTGCAATCTAGCCTATTAACTATGTTGGAAGGACGTTTCAAGATGGGATTACGTGACCTGCTTGTCCCTTTGTGTCTTAAAATTCAGTATAGCACCGTTACAGGCGAGCCGCCTAGCGACTTGTATTATATGAGGAGAAAGGGCAAGCAAGAAATAGAAGGGGAAGTGAAACAATCGTTTCCGCCTCGTAAGCCGTCGTCTGTCTGCCTTGCCCGAGCCTGGATTCACCGCACTCGAGGCTCGAAGCCGTGTAGTTTGGTCATTGCCTGATCCGTTCAACGAGACTGTCGCGAACCAGTAGCTCAATTGCCCGAACCTAGGACTTAGTAACACTCGATAACTGAACATCGTGGAGTCGAGGCAAAAGTGCGGCGGACGGGTGGTTAAGTAAACCCGACTGGCTATGAACAACTGACCATACATGATCATTCCAGTTTCCCTCGTCCCTGTCACCCTTCCCACCCACACATACATTAGATGTGCTATGTTACACAATGTTAACTGAGATTTGAAAAAGTTGCTTAGGTGCGGTTGTAATATCGGTTATCGTGCAGCATAGTCCTAAGATATTTCCATATTGCCCGGAAATTGACTTTTGGAATGAGCATCTTTTGGCCGTCAGAAAAGCCGAATTTCGTAAAAAACGACTGCTTGTGTAGCACGAAGTATTCCCGTTAAACGTCACTACCCTTAAAAATTCAAATATATTTTATACAAAACGCGCACAAAAATATCCTCTCTTGTACTAATTTGGCAGTAAATTGCGTTTTCTCCAAATCCCTCTAATCAAAGATAGAGCATCTTTCGATTTTTACAAGCTTTTTTCCAATTACAGAATGATTTTTGCCTACCTGCTGTTACGTTTGCATTCAAGGTTTTCGAACCGCACAATGTATGTCCCGTGAAAGGAATATTACACATTTCTCTACACTGTTAAGTAAACGTCATGTGGCATTCATAAAATTGTGTTATGGGTGTGGACCAGAGTGTAAGCTTTAGAAGTAGTATCAACAAAGTGCCGATGCGATGTTCTATGAATAACCACCTCACGGTCTTTAAAATCTCATAATTAGACCTCTTTTTAAAACTACAAGCTGTTTTCTCTTCAAGTAGAAAATTTGGCGAAGTCGCGCTCTGCTAACAAATTAGTAGAAAAAAAAAGAATTGTTGTGACGTCTTCTATGAAATATGGTAAAATTTATAAGGGCATCGAAAATGAATGGGAAAATTTCATAATGCATAAGTAGTCATTTCTTACAAAGTGTAGTTTTCGTAGACAGTCGGAAGGAAGCTTATTCAAAAGCAGGCATACTGTTGTGACTGAAATATCTTGGGATTTTGCTGCACTTTAACGGATATAACGACCCTACTAAAGTAATGTTCTCGGACCGAAAACATATTTTAGAATTTCGGTTAACGTTTCAGGAGATGACACGCTTACTATATACATATATGTGTTGCAGGATTGGGCGCACTTCCGTTTAACTCTCTTAGCATGTTCAGTTTTAAATATATTCCTCTCTCGATATATATATATGCTTATATACCTCACTTCATAAGGCCTATGACGTACTGATGATCGATAACGACCGTGAAACAGCTGTCTGCGTCTGGTTTGTTACAGTCTTAGCGAGCTGCTCATGTATTATATGTGGTATGTGTCCTATGACACAGCGTTCGTTGTCGCCAGTGGCAAGCTGTCGGGTGGACAGAATGGGATCGAGTGAGATCCTAACCACAACAGTGAGGGTCAAACGCCCACTTGAAATGCATATATATATATATATATGTGCGTGCAGGAATCTATGAGAATGCGTTGTTTAAAAATAACCAAAAGCGTACCAGTCTGCAAACAGTAGCAGTTTTCGAAGTACTGTAACTGGTGATAGTCATCACGTCTTCGAGTAGCGCTACTTCCATCTGCGTAGACCAGGTGTTGATACAGCCAATCGCTGTCGGCTGAAACAAATTAATATGTAGACATGACGCCGTCGTATGCATTCACAAACAGAATTTCGCAAAGCCATAAACGAGAATTGTGAGATGCAGTTGCAGAATAATATTCGAGCAAAATAAATGTGGAGCATTTTAGTTCTTCATTGTGCAGCATTGCGATCAAGCCCTTTGATCTGAATGTTTTCAACAGAATCCAACAAAACACTAAGCCGACTAGACATTGAAGGTCATACAAGGTTGTTTTCATAAAAGTCCGTTTTTAGCATGCTGAGCTTGTCGAGATATTTCCAGTGCCAACCACAATATAGGGCTGTCGAAGATGGTTAATTAGATGGCGCTGTGTCACCGCTACTAGAATAACCCAACTATCAAGGAAGGAAAGAAGGGGCAGGCTAGTTCGGTATTCCTAAGTATTGCATTCCCTGAAGTGTACTCCACTGGGTTTCTGGGCAACACCCAATATTAACCTGTGCTATGGTACTGCAAATTTATTGATTTTCTCACTAGCGATGCGCAGATCAGTAATCTATCAGCCCTGAGGATCTTCGCCGTGGGCCTGAGTTTACCGGAGAAATAAATTATTGGCGAATCCACGCGATGAGTTAATGCCTTTAAAAGTAGCAGGACAACTCACTGTTGCCAATTCAACATGAAAATGGTCACTGATCATGCGCTCAGTCAAACAGAGCGACATAACCTAAGTTCGGTGCTTCATATAGGCGAGGACGGTAAGCGTCGCAAACTTTCCATTAGCCTCAGGGCTATCTCAAGCCGGATCCACCGCCTGAAACTGCATCAATAGGTGGAAAGCTTGACTGACTAGGTCTGAGCATAATTTGACGTCTAACGTATGCCATATCCGCGTCTATGCGCAAGCATTCAGCACATATTCCTCTGCATTTTAGGCAAACACTGAAAGACACTTTCGTGATCCGAATGCGTATGTGCATCCTTTAAATATTCCGCGGGAACTATGGGGAACTGCTTTCATAGCCCAGTGCAACAGCTGTCTATAGAAGTGAAAGGCTATGCTCGTTTTAAATAGCTACGTCCGTAGAGGCCTAATGAGACTTGTGGGCGGGAGCATTATCCGTCAAGTCAAAGAGTCAAGTAAGAGTCTGGCTAACATATTATCAGGGAAGCACATACCAATACTTTCAGGGAAACTACAGGGGTGCTACGTTGGTAGTCCAGCGTAACAGTGGAATAGACGCAAGAGCGAAGTGCTGTGTTCATATTAAATTGTGGACTTCTTGGCGTCCTATAGAGACTGTTGTCCGTAATCACTAACCATCATTTGACTAGCAGGTGTCTTTTTTACCATACGATAACGGAAGGAGATGGACGCTGACAGATCAAGCCCAAAACATTGATGTCTTCTCGATTTTTGAATTGTGTTTTCGCCAGAATTGAAATGCACTACTAACAACGAGAACCCAAAATTAAGCGCACTTAAGTACGGATTCTTGCGGTCACGGGGTTGTGCCTCCTCCCCCCTCCTTCTCCTCCTCCTCCTCCTCCTCCTCCTCCTCCTCCTTCTAATTTTCCTGATTGTCGACATCGACTTCAGCCCCACCACATACTACTGTTACAGTGGGACAAGTGATTGGCGATAAGCTCATTCTAACTGAGCTTCCTGTTCTTCCTTAGACGGACTTACAAACTGCCAAGTTGTGCCGATGTCGCACTGCAGCCACCGATTTGAAGATGTACTCCTAAACTATAGACAGAGCTAGACCCACCGAAATGAACTTTGTTTCTTTTCCTCACAAACAAAACATACCACCCAACACACTAAATTGGAAATGGCCAAAGCCGGGGTGTTAGACCCAAACTAACTTGAGGTAGCCTGTGGACTGTTTTGTATACGGCAGCTATATGAGATCCTAAACTCTGCCGTAACCTTTTCTTGGATCTCTGACTGAATGAAAACTTACCAGTCGCAATAATTTAAATTTTCGTTTATTTTCGAAAACTTCCTTTTTGCTCACTTTTTTTTAAATTATCGCGCTCACTTTCGTTGCCATAGGACAGCGTAAGATAAGATTGTGATATAAGTTTAATTATTTTCTGTGTTTTCTCGCCTCCTGCCTACCCTCCGTTCTGCTTTTTTTGCCTCACTTGTAAAACCCCCGCTACCGAAATTCCCGTATGACACGGTCCGCAGATTGTCTTAAGTTAGCTAGGGTCCTACGTCCTACCGTTCCCTGAGCATGGACTAAGGAGTGAATGGGAGTGATTGTGGAAGAGACATTTCCACACTGCTATGTGAATTTAGTTAAACAGTTTTCATCTGCAAACAGCGTGCGAATCCTAAGAAAGATGCCTTATAATTTCATCCATAATTTAAGCAACCAACACAAACGAAATAGTAAACAAATTAAAGCAAGGTAGTCGAGAAGTGCATAACATGAGCCCATGAAAAAGATGAGTATTTAGGCCAAACAAAGAGTCAGAGCAAAAGCCAATGACTTCATCTCATTCGTAACTTGTGGTAGTATTCATTGTCTGTAACATAGAAAAAAGAGTTTATTGATGTCAAAAACGCAGGCGTATGATATGGCCGCAAAAACCTTTTTATACAGAAAATGAGCTCTTGCATGTGGCACCACAAATAATCTTCTTAGTCACGCAGGAAATGTAAGCGGTATAGTGGTGAAACAGAACGAAGAGGAACTAAGGTTACCAGGTCGCGAAGCCGCACCATTTTTGAAAGGTACCTTACGACAGACATGCTTTAAGTTTTTGAAATATTATAAACTAAGGTTTGCCCAAAAGCCATGCGTCAAAAAAGCATTCGTGACGCAGTCTATTTTGACGAAACAACGAATTTTAAAGTGGAATATTACTTGGTGCAGGGTTGGGAAATGCGTAGTTTTGGGTTATAGGTTACCTGAGAGTATTGTTTACTAAGGCGGAGTGTACATGCGTGAGTCAGTAGCGTAATTATTCTGAAGAAGCAAATTCATCATTTTTCCACATTGGTTACACTAAGCAGCCATTTCTAGTCAGCAAACATTTGTTGGCTTCTTACAATCACATTAACTGTTACTAATTAGTCAGAAGGGAAGGTTGCCCGTTTTCTTTCATAAACGCAGATGCACCGCAGCAACCTTGATAGTTAATACATAAAACTGACAGAAAAAATGAGTCTAACGCTCTACCATTGAGCAAGTCTTCCGTTTTTCCACTGAATGTTACTACTAATGTGCACTAAAACAGGAATGGGGTTTATCGACTAGGCTACCTGACGGCTGCTTCCACATAACCTTGAGACAGCCTACCGTCTTCGCAGGCAGTGAGTAGCAAAGTCTACTTAAAACGACACCAACCGACCTGCCTTCTTCCGCTGTTAGTGCCTAAATCATTCTTCGCGGTTTTTAGGCTTCTTAGGCTGATCGCGTACAGACAATCACTCTGAAGGCTAATTTAAGGTCTCGAAAAAAAGTGGAGGCGTACTGTAGTATTTGAAAACAAATTAGGGGTACGGCACAATTCCTCCACAAACCGACAACAGAGGTCACGCCAAAAGCCTTTATCCTTGTCCTGCCTAATCAATCAATGTAAGTTCGTTTGCACCTTAAAATCCAAATAAAACTGCAGTTCAGGGGAGTCGCCCTTGGCATTAAGACGCTGGAAGAACGGTCAAAGCGTACTATTGAACTGTTGACTCCTGGTAAAGATGAAGTGGACGTAGAAAAGGGTGGATATGAAGTAAATCTGAGCTGTGCGCATCCCTGCTAGTGTTTCGGGACGGATGGATAAAAGACAGGGTCAGCGACGAAACGGGGTTTAACTGGAATAGGCAAAGCTTGCTTGCAAGTATGTCAGGCCCTTGCTAGGCAACATGCCCGATCGCGCGTTTAGGTACGTAAAATAGAAGAAAAGTGTTTTCATGTAATTCCATTTAAGTCCAAGCCACCGATCACGGTCTTATTTGTTTTTAGGCCACAAATTATATATGGAAGATCAGAAGACCGGATATGAAGGATAGACGGTGCCATTCTGAGTATATATCATGCGCCGCTGTGCGGCTACTGGTTGGGCTCGAGAGAGAGCCCTTAAGGCACAACGGAACGAGTGAGTTCCGTATGAACGATCGGTGAGCGCCCCCTACCATTGTGTATTCCCGATCAAAAACCGACAGAGCAACGGGCTCGTGGCACGGTGGGAAGAGGCGTGGACTTCTAAACCAACAGGTCGCGAGTTCGAGGCTCGGGTGTTCCACACTTAGGGCTTAGGTATGGCTGGCTGACGACGGCTAATAGGCCAGAAATGGCCATTCCAGTCTCCCTTGTCTTTGTCGGTAATACCATTCTGCCTATTTATCATGCACCGTTGTGCGGATGCTGGTTGGGCTCGAGATAGGGAGCCCTTAAGGCACAACGGAACGAGTGAGTTCCGTATGAACGATCGGTGGGCGTCCCCTACCATAACCATAGACGGCGCTATTATTGTCTTTCTCCAGGTACAGCAGCCTTCTTGTCACAGTGGGGTAAATACTGTTTTTAAAAATACGTAAATGGTATATGATCCTCCAAGTCATGAGGTGGCCATAAAAACTGCCAGGCGGTACCTTTAAAGTCTGCCGGCGCTCCCAGTAAACGACTGGAATGTCTCGGAGCTTATGAAATATGCTACATGGTCCACATGAACTGTACAGTTTGATGAGTTCTAAATGTCCTGATCTTAAAAGCATGCAAAACGCAAACATGCAGTTTGCAAACCCTCGACGCAAATTTAATTGCACACAGATTCAAAAAGGTTCGAGAGTTAAGAAGGATTTCTGTAGGAGACAAGTAAAATAATTCAGGGTGAGTTAATATACTACCATAAGTAACAAAAGTAGAGTGGCGTTCGCAGAACATTTTTAAGGAACCCACTCGTCCCGTTGTGCCTTTGGGCTCTCTCTCGTGCCCAACCAGTAGCCGTATAGCGACGTGTGATATAAGCAGACTGACATTACTGACAAAGACAATGGGACCGGAATGCTATTCTGCCTATACCATGCGCCATTGTGTGACCGTTGGTTGGGTTCGAGAGAGAGCCTGTAAGGCACAATGGAACAAGTGAGTTTCGTAAAAACGATCGGCAAGTGCCCCTCTACCACTGTATATTTCCAATCGAAACCAAAAGGACAACGAGCTCGTGGCTCGGTGGTTAGAGGCGTTAGACTTCTAAGTAACAGGTCGCGAGTTCGAGCCCCAGGTGCTTCGCACTTCGGGGTTGGGTACGGCTAGCTGACGACGGCTAATAAGCCAGAAATGGTCAATACAGTCTCCCTTGTCTCTTTCGGTAATACTATTCTGCCTATAGGTTGCAAGATTTGCGTGCATATTTTCAAAAGGTGTGTGATACTACACACGAGTATTGAAAAAATGGAAATCAACTACAATACGCATGTTGCCACTTTTAGACGGACAAAGTTTCTGCAAGCAACCGAGCACAGGCTAATTCTAAAGCTTGCATCTTGCCACGACTGAAACATCTTGGGAGTAGGCTACAAAAGTCTTTGCAAATCAGCAGCATTTTGACTACTTCGCCACTAACACCACTGGAATTTGCTGCATTAAACTAGTTATGTGGGAACTAGCTGTTTCATGCCAAGAGGAAACACCAGTTGTTTGGTGCGTCATACTATATTTTGCAAACTTATCGCGGACCGTCCTTTTGCTTCTTACTTTTAAGATTTTTCATCCGCAAGACCGTGCAGAATTTTCTTTTGGTTGAATAAACGCTCCTCAGCGTATGCAAATAGGCCATTTTTCTTGGACCACCATAGATCAAAATATAACCGAACTCATAAGGTTTTACGATTATTCAAAGGTAAGATTAAGAATCAAGGCAAACTTACAGCATCTGCAGTGGGTCATGATGAGTTCTTTGAGTTGGTCGCAAGCCTCCAAATTTGACTTCAGATAGTTGGGAGATTTTACTTTGTGCAGGTCAAACAAAACTCCCACTAAAATTCAAATCAGTCCTACTTATTAAGTCACACCCAGCCGACCTTGCTACCTCATTGGTTGAGTGCGCCATTTAATCCCTTCAGAACAGCGAGTGCGCAGATGTCCTGTGCATCCTTAACTTGCCATGGGCGTGGTATACCGGCTCCAGACAACAACTCGGATTTTACCGCATAAGTAGATAGTACTCGCGTACTGATGATCGGGTAAACATTCAAGGATCGCAGTTGGCGAACGCACCTATTTGATTGTCTATCGTCGTGCCTATGGAATGATATGAGTCGCGGTAGGGCGGTTAACCGTGAAAAACAGTCAACAAACAGAGTAATCGCGGGAGAAAGCTGTACCGACATGCGAGGAGAGGCGGAGGCGGGAATTATGATCTACATGCTGACAGATAAATTGCATTTCTCATTTGGAGTGGGTGTATTTGAAGAAGGCCTATTTGCGTAGAAAAAGCAGATGTGTTGAAAGTACAGGAAACTGATTTTGACTTGGGAATTCCGAAAATTGTGATTTGGTGATTGGCTATTTGTAACATTCCAGAACTGACATCTAATTACCGTGATATGCTTCCACCATAAAACTGAAAACATCCAACAATTTGTAGATGAAGTCCCTTGATGAATAACTTTGGTAAAAATTCCCCTCAATTTTTTACTTCTAATTTTTTCTATCTTTTGGCTGGAAATCGTGATCAAGCACAAAATATTTCTGTTAGGAGCCATTAGGCATAATAAGGGACCCAGTACTGCTAGTGTAACCGTTGTCAGCTCAAGTAAGCAGAGCCAAAATAACTGTTGCGACAGGATCGGCTGCATTCTTCCGAGGATCATAAATCACATCCACAGTCCTCGGTGGCCTTTACATGGCGAGAAACATTCAAAGCAGACGAAACAGAGACTTCGTACCGCGTATGCAATAACTTCACGAGATCTCCAAGTGCATTTCGCTGATATGCACCGGCAGACAGTAATCTTTATATGGCGGAACTGGCTTATGTGACCCCCAAACAGGACATGCGAATAGGAACGTCGCGCCCGGTTTAACAAAGTTGGACCCGCGCAAAATTCTAGAAAGGGTTAAATATTCCCGTGCTCCAACCCCAAAAATAACCCTAATATAAAACCAAACAGTTGCCCAAATCCTAACCCCAGGCCTACCTAAACCTTAACTCTGCATTTAAAATTAACCGCTACTTTAACCCCAAATCTGATTCTGACTTAACTTGCTATTAACTCTATATTCAGCCCTGAACGTAATCTTAAACCTAACGTACCTTCTCTGGAATTTGACTCCAAATCGCCCAAATTGATGGCAGTTCCTGTTCTTGTGTCGTGTTTAGACGGCCACATAATTCATTTCTACCCTTTATATATTAAGTAAACCCAGTTGTGTGTCTGAGAAGGATGCTTTGGATCACGAATACAATATACTTTAAAAAAGACTTGATAGAACTGCCTCGATCTCACGGGATTAATACCAAGAAGGCCGAATAAGCTTAAGTTAAGCAATTTTTATTTATACACTGTTTTCAGGCTCCCACTTCCCAAACCCAGGACGAGAATACACTGACATCGCACTCTGCCATAGTTAGATCGATGAATAACCTTCCTATGCCAATTATTTACTCCCGAACAGAAGAGACAGGATGACAAATCCCTCGATTTCAGAAGGTAATTGGACTTGAAAGCTGCCGGCTATATTGCTTGGGATCCGAACCACAGTTTACCAAAACCTGAGATTGGGGGGAAGGCCAGCTCATGAATTGGAATTAGCCAGAACTGTAGTCCTAGTCGCTTGTGTCACTGGGGATGTTCCTTTGAATCAGCGGCATGTTGTTCATGTGACTCACAAATGCTGTCAAATCATCAACTGTTCAGATTGGCAAAGTTGAAAGGTCCGGGCTGATGCTTTGAGGAAAATGTGCTCAAATGAACGGGTTTATTTAAAAGCTGAAGCTTCGAAGAGTTTGGCCGGCACTCCATTGTCAAAGAGTAAAATGCACTTAATCCACCAGAAATTGCAAGTGGCGTTTTGTGTTGGTCGGCCTCATGATGATCAATTTTTCTCTCTTCTCGCTACTTTGGCCTCCCGGGGGATGGTTGACGTGCTTTGTGAGTCACCATTCCGACGGGGGGAGGTGATTGATCCTTTGTCGGGTGGTCGAGTGGTCGGACTGGAGGTTCTTGTTCTTCCTAACCGAGCACACTCGCCGTCGGGCTGCCTACGTATGGCCTTATTTAGTCTGGTGTGGATGTTTGGTCCCAAGCTCTACGATTGTGATAACGTAGGGCTTTTTAAGCTGCAGGAAGGTCCAGATGCCTGTTGATGGAGTGAAAACCGCAGTAACACACCTCGAGAATTAGCCGTTCGGCTTTTGTGTTGCCCCGGCCTAGGATGGTAGCTCTTTTGAGATGCCCAGTTTCTACAACGTGTTTCGCTAGTTGAGAGTTAGGGTCTAACCTCCGAATGACCGATTTGTGCTCTTGTAGGCGAGACTGCAATTTCCGCCCGGTTTCTCCCACATAGTTGCAGTCGCCCTCATCGCAATTTACTTTGCAGATGACTGTTGAGGTTTCAGCAGGCGGTAATGGGTCCTAAGGTCGCACCAGATGGCGTCGAATCGTGGCCTGGGGTCCATGAGCTACACCTACCCCGGCAGGTTGTCACAGTCAACAGACCGCTTCAGATATCCCTTTAGCGTAGGGAATGGCCCTCCAGACTTCGGGTTGCTGTTCATTTGGCCGTCGGATGTGCTCCCGACACAAGACAGCTCCTAAACTTCAACAGCAACCATCCTCTGTTTCCTAAACGTAGCTGTGTCCGCACTCTATTCCAAGGAGTCGAAACACACTGCTGCACGCCAGAAGATAATGGAGCCGAAAGATTGTACCTTCAGAACCTATTTTCAGCCAATGGCTATCCCAGAGATTTCACCGAGAGAAGCAGACAACTTTCAGCCAGACTCGTGTCAGGGGCAGCTATGCGCTAAATTCCAGTGGGCTAGCCACTCTCATTTATGACTTAAAGTATTATTCCATAAAAAAATCCCATTAGTAAGTCCAATTAAAGGTTGGTGGCTGCACATTGGTATCACCTGAGTGAACCCGCTCCGTTGCGTGCCGCTACACTCCCGCAAGTATTGTATTTGTTTTGGAATGCGCAGATTTTGTTCCCTCAAATGGGTCTCGTGCTCCTTCCACGCATCTCCCACGTGACCCGTTTTGACGGCAGGCAGATTAGGTGCAGTCACATCAACAGGTGACAACGTCGCAGAACAGTTGTTCAAAGTTCTACTGGGAGGGTAAAATCACAAAAAAACATCTTGGGCTCTGTAAACTGAATTTTTAGCACACCTTTTTCTCTTACAAGGCTTTAAATAACTTACGAGGAACTTTCTTAGCATAATTCTTAGTCCGAAGTAGGCCCGAGTATATTCTTCAACTGAAGGCTCTCTCAGACACGACTACTATTGGGTAATGATACCTTTAAGCGCGTCACGCATACTCTGGTGAAGGTAGAGCAGATATGCCGCAGGGAGAGGCATCTCAGTATCCACGTCGTCTTGCTCGCCCGTTTCTACACATCAGCAGCCCGTCCGACAGTGACTATTGCGGCCAACGTGGCTTCTTTAAGCCACTTACGCACCACTCGCACACGCGACAGTAGGACTGTTGAATCCAACGATGCCCACCGTGTACTCCGCAGTGAGGTGGGAGTAGGCATGGTACCTTGTGCGTAAGTTAGTTTATAATGATAGTTAATTTGCACAGCATCTACCGCTCCCTCTCTCTCCCTCCCCCATTACCTGGGGCAGGTTTCAAGACAAATTCAAGAAGGACGGAGACGGGTAGGGACGCAGTTGTATGGCGCGGTCGAGTCCGCACCTTGGAGTCCCACTCCCCGCCCCCTGGTCTACACAATATATGACCAGGATTCTAATCAACAACAGAAATGGGAGGACGGCAGTGGTGTCAGTGTGCGGGACATCTGCCGGCTGCTGGGGCTGCCGCCGTACCCCGAAGTTGGCACATTTTACGGTGTACATTCCGATAACGCCTGGCAGAATCCGATATGGTCCCCGCGTGGGTCCAACGGATCTACCGAGGGGCCCGTTTTGAGGACACGTTATATACACGCACACATTGCAGTTCTACTGTCGGTTTCAACGATGTCCACTATGTTCTGCACAGTAGCGTGAGAGTAGGGACGATGACTTGTGTGTGAAGTAGTTTGTAGTAATAATAGAAATTCACAAAATCTATCGCAATCTCCCCTCCTCGACCTCCTCCTCGTCCTTTTCCCCCACCTAGATCACTTCTCATGACCAATTCAAGAAGACCGGAGGTGAGAGAGGTCGCAGGTAGCTGGCCCGGCGAAAATCCGCACCTAGGGGTACCACCACATCCCCTAATACAGAACAAACATGGTCGTCAACAACAACAAAAGTGAGGGGCGGCGGGTATCCCGAATGGCGGGACGTAAACATACAGGTGGGTCTGTCGTATGCCGGCGTTCGTTATGGCTGCGCGGTCCTGATAGCGTCTGCTGGACCCCGATCTAGTCATTGTGCCGCTTGACCCGTTTCAGGGAACAAACACACAAACATGGTATTTTGTTCGTCATTGAAAATTTCGCCAAGAAACTTGAAACGTGATGGACGGATGGTTTTACTGTACGCAGACATTGCTAATAGGTGCTATGCTGGAAACGAATGTGCAAAAAGAGTGTTAACATTAATTATGGACAATATTTTAGCGACTGATATCCTTTTAAAGACCTCATGAACTGTCGGTTGAAATTCTGAAATGTGTTTTCGATTAGGAAGGATTAGTTAAGGGCATTCGACTTGCAGGTCATTTTGCAAAAAAGTCCCATAAAAATTTCAAAAACGTCAATTTTCCGGCACTTCTCTTCCCCGCCCACAAATACGGACTCGGTAAAAGATGACTACTTCCTTAATAGCATTTTATCTACAGATCTTCGATAATCTAATAAATTAAGAAACACAATGCAGAAAACGGATAGACACATTGTTTTCATGCATAAATTTGGTAACAAACTACAATTTCTTCATGTTTTACTCAAATAAAGGATTTTCAGGGTTTTAAAAATGTCTTTAGTTATGAGATTATTTGAGACTGTGCAATGCCTATTCAAATAAAATCGTGTCTACTTGTTTGATAACGCTCTTTATTAAGTATACAACGTAGTCCATACCCGTTGCGGCATGTTCGGAGCTCAATGTAGTACATTCTTTATGACATAAACGGAAAGTATACATCTTGAAGACTTAAAAACTTCAAGGAAAGTCCAATGACAAATCAGGTTCAAAATTACCAGGGAACTGAAACGCCTCCTTTAAAACCAAAATAACTCTCTGTTGAAGTAAAAAGTTTTTAAAAAAAGTAAATAAGTGCAAGAAATAATATTTTTATTGAGGTTTTCTATAACATGTATTTGAGGTTATAAGCACATCAAAGATCAATAGAGAAAGTGTATAATACATAATTAACCATTTGTCACCGGGTGCGATTATTTAGGTGGCCGAAAAGAAACTCAAAAATCAACAGGCTGACCTGTCTGAAATATCACGGGATTACGTCGCAAGATAATCAATCTTACAGCCCCATTGCAGTAACCCTTCGTAATCGAAAACGCATGCTAGAATTTCAATTAACATTTAATGTGATCAGTCACTGACCGTGTGTGGCGGATAAACGACAAGGGGGGGGAGGGGAATGACTAGCTTTATCCAGTGCTACAGACACCGGCCATTTGATCATGGGCTCATAACTGTCCAATCAGGCAGATTCTTATGTACGATGCCCTCACCCTGTGGGAAAAATGTGGGTAGAGCTTACATTTATAGAAGTTGGATATCTACTTGTTTTTAATGCCCTCACTTTTGCCAACCATGGCGAACAGATTGGGGCAGTTTGTCCGGATACAACTCCTAGCCCACTGTTCGTAAAAACAGTGCCCAAGTGAGATATTTCAAACTCGCTGTATCATAATTTATAACTGATCTTCGCTTTGCATTTCAGTCCACATTCTGTTGGGTGCCTTCTAGTGAGCGGTCGTAAGGAATGGGATGAGTGGTTGCATTCTGTTTGGCAAACAGTAGATTCACTATCTCATGAAGTGTCTTCCAAAATTCTGTTAGTGTTCTCGTTTCTAAAGGATTACTTAAGTAGGTATCATGCAGGCTAATTTCAAGGTATTTCAGTCACGACAGGATGCCAGTTTTTAAACGAACATCTTTTTGGTCGCCTGCTAAAACTATACGCTGTAAAAATGACTTCTTAAGTGGAATGAATTTTCAAATTGATTTTTAATGTCCTTAAAAATTCCAGTGCGTTCTACAGAAAACGTGCACACGTTTCTCTCTATTGGACCCATGTGGTAGCTAACTACTTCTTCTCTAAATGTGCACATGACGCAAGGCTGTGAAGCTTTCGCTCAAAAGGTATCGCATCCGTCAGTTTATTAATTTTGTTTAAAAATTATACAACCCATAAGTGTTATCATGGTTATTTTGGGACAGTCGGCGCACGTTACCCCCACGGAATTAACTGACCTCGAATCAAATGTCCAAAAAGTGGAGGAATTATGACTTGAATGAGTTTATCGCATTCCTAAATGCTATGAAACCTAACTTTAGGGTCGCCGCATCATCCTCTTTCTCATAACCTCCTAGAACGACTACTTCATTCAGACGTGGATGTATAAATTCTGAAAGCATTAGGGATGCAAAAGCGAATATTGACTAGATAAACCTATTGCGAATGCGATCTCTTCAAACTAAACTGAAAAAACAAATAAATTATGCCAGTTCCTTTCAGAAAAGTCAACCTAATCTGCAAGGGTTCTTCCTGGCCGGTTTCACCCAGTGATCCAGGCGCTGGGGGTTGCAAACCTGCTTGGTGCCTGTGTCCTTATTTTTGTGTCTAATAAGGTGTCCGACCAAGGCGAACGGAGCCGAAAAGATGGCGTTACAATGAAGGCCTAGTCAGAAGAGTCCAAGTTATAGCGACGTTTTACTATCTGTGGTGGGGATTATTGATGCCCTGTGCAAATACCGCCTCACCTTAGTTTCTTCCGTTTGTTTGGTTTCGAAAATGACTGCCTCCGGATTTTACGACTAGTCACCATGTCTGTTGCTCCCTCGCTAGCTTTCCTCCAGTTTCTTGGTTGATTTTGTGACGGCCGATGGGTGGTAATTGGCCGGGTCTTCAGCGTGTTAGTTTGACATTGATTCTTCCACCCTGTTTGTTCTTGTCCGAAGCAAAGTCTTCGTGGGAGCAATTGCTCTCAATGGGCCTGTAAGTCTTAATCGTGTTGTGGTCGTTTCAGCAGTCAGATTAGTTTCTATATGACACGATGCCCATCTCGTCAGTCGACCTCACGGTCTGGGTATCCGGGATCCGTGATATGTCCTGTCACCTGCTGGGTCAACAGGCAATATTTGTTTTTTAGGATTTTGCGTAAGCAGACTATAGTACTCTAAACTTTCGAGTTCCATGGGGTTTTGTTCTTTTGTGGCCTCCTAGGCTGAGTACTGCATTCGCACACAAAAGTAAAAATTCCGGAAATGATAGGGATGCAAAAACGAGAAACTATCAGGCAGGATTATGGCGACTGCAACCTACAAAATGTGCTGTGGTTAAATGAACAAATTATGCTGGTTCCTTGAAGAAAAGGTTAACCTAAGGACGTTTGAAACGCCGTGAACTTTATAAGGCCGAAGGATAGAGAAAGCAAATTTGTTTTCTTTGGAAGAACAGTCATTCAAAAGAATGTGAATTTACACCAAAACCTATCAGCGGCAGAATGGTAAAGTGTGTGAACGAAGCCCCAAACGTATCTGAAATGCTAGCCATGGCTGCCTGCAACGTTAAAACCATTTGACTGACTAGCAAGACTGGGGATTTACCGCGCTTCCATGAATACAACGCCAACGCTCTCCAAGGTCAGATAACTTCTCTGGCAGTTACATAGTAATGCAGTTAAGTAAATTCTCTAGTCGCCCGATGTCTTAATTGTAGGCAAATCCAACTCGCAATTAATTAGCCGGGTAATTGCGTGCGCACAATCTCCGAAGTCGCCTTTCGACTACTGTGTTCTGTATGAAAGGGTGGAGGCAGTATTCACTGAATGTTGGGTAACAGATCAGGGCAAATGTTCTGAAGCTTGCATTTGTCTTCTGCTGGAACAGCAGACGTATTGGTGACTGCGTCACCTAGTCCCATCTCTGTCGAAATGGCTATATGATGCTTACGTCGGATTATTTTTCATCCTTAACTCGACACAGTCTATGCCAGGGAGGACGTGGCATCTGGCGACGTGACTTCACTCGAAGAAGGGCGCTTTCAACTGACCCCGACTGGGGCACCATCCTTACAGACGACACCAATGAAGATTGACAACTGGTCAAGCAGACCTACACTACCAATATACCAATGGAAGCCTTTCTTGAACTCCATGATCTTCGTATAGAAACAAACATACCTCTCCCTGAGCACTAACATGGTAATCTAAGAAGCACCTCCATGGGGTCACCAATATGTGTCTTTCGACGGAAACGATAGTGCAGAGATTCGAAGCTTCCGCGTTCCCCGCAGTTAGTCCGAGGTAGTGAGTACTTTACACATGCAACACAAGTGTCATTCATAGGTGTTATGGTCAAGATGAATTATTTGAAATTTACTGTAACACTTATGAATTATATGAGCCTGATATTCATCTGGTGAATTCTAGATGTATTGATTAGGCGGTCAGCTAACTGTATCAGATTTAATTGATTCGGATGCTGTAGTAGGTCGGGCGGGTAAACTTGACCCAAATGTAATTAAACTCGAGTCGTCCGGTGGGGCCTCGTAACTAGAGCGATGGTTGTACTAAAGCCTTCTCCTTGCTGACGTGGGTTCGAATCCCGACGAGGCACCAAGTTTTTCGTAGTTGGATCGAAATAAATTTAGCGTGTAATTGTTGAAGAGATTAGTTATAATTTTACCTTGTAAAAAATCTAGCTCCACTTTCACAAGAATCTAGCTTGTTTTCGAAGCAGAGAGCAATGGACAACCCACATTCATAGATGTCCTTTTGCACCAAAAGTCTGATGGAGCGCTGTAAAGTGCATACAAAATACATACTCCGACGTTAATCTAACCTTTGGGTGCAACCCCACTATTCCTCATAAACGCTGCTTTGTTAACAGCTTGTTAAGCGTGCTAGGACCCATAGTTCAGACGTAGATGTATTGGAGAAAGGGCATCCCAAGAAATTTAATTTGGAGTAGGTATATCGATCAGAAATGAAATAGCATTTTTAAATCCTTTTCCAGAATGAACTCCTTAATGAATTTGTCCACTGATGCGTGCGACAACGAAGGTTCGAGGAAAAAAGACTTTTATAGACGTACGACCACTCAGATGCCAGAGCCAGCCGGCTAGACACCTCTCTCTTCTGTGTAGAATGTATCCAAGCTCGTCGAAAAAGAGATCGAAAACGTCCATGCATAGGTCACGTAGGAGCCTGAAATCGCCTTGCCCATCAAGACTGTAGACCCTAAGAAAGTGTTCTGAAAGCCCCTTGCGTCATTTGAAGTGCAATCTATTAAGGCCAGACTAAGAAATAACTCTCCACCTATATGCACACACACAAGCTAGCAGCGAAGATATGTGACGATGCGTTCCAGGTAGCCATATTGATGTACCTGCGGAGGTCCTGCTTATATTCCTCGATATTTGTCAGAAACATACGTTTTATTTGCCGGCTAATATCATATAAAATTAAGGGGCGTCCTCAACAGTTCACAAATATCTGCCTTTTTGTCGGACGATGCAATGCAGAAATTGGACGCTCTAGCTCACTCTCTCTCTCCACAGTTAACTTAAACTGGTTACTGCACGACATAGAAGATACGTTCGTTATCATCAATAAAGGTCAATTAGAAATACTATACAGCAACGCTAACTTCTATTTTTCGGTAATTCCACCTAACCGCTAAAGAAAGGTAAATGCACAACTTTTATTCCTAAGTTGCCCACTGCGCCGACAGCCGATTGAACACTGCAAACTTCCGTTTATCTCAAAAAACATACTTCGAGATAATCTGCCATTTTATAGGCCATAGTCAATTCCTCCACAAATGCGACTCTGTTAGTATCTTATAAGGTCGGGCTACAACTCGCTGTTCCAATGAAAAAATTTACCCAAAAGAAATCAATATTTTAATACTACTTTCCGGAAAGAACTACAGCTTGACTTTGTTCATCAGTGCATGAAGCAACAACAATCCAATCTTTCGAAAACTACGACCGTTCGGGCAACAAAAGCAACCATATGTGAAATGTGTACCCGAGCTTGCTACAAAGCACCAAGTACAAACGGGGAAATATTCCCCAACCCGAATACACAAGCAACAGGAGGCGGTTAGGAGACGAGACAATTTGTCCCAAGTGGACGTGCATATATCAGGGCAGCGGGCTCGTGGCCCGGTGGGTAGAGGCGTGGACTTCTAAACCAACAGGTCGCGAGTTCGAGGCTCGGGTGTTCCACACTTCGGGATTGGGTATGGCTGGCTGACGACGGCTAATAAGCCAGAAATGGCCATTCCAGTCTCCCTTGTCTTTGTCGGTAATACCATTCTGCCTATATATCAGTATGTATAACCAGAATATGATAACCGACAAAGAAAAGGGAGACTGTAATGACCATTTGTGGCGTATTAGTCGTCGTCATCAGACCGACTCACCCAACCCATGGGGCTCGATCCCCCGACGTGTTAGTTAGAGATCCAACGTCTCTAACCACTGAGCCACGGATTCGTTGTCCTATGGCTTAAGATCAGGTATATACAACGGCACAAGTACGTTCGTCGATTACATTACGAAACCCACTTGTCTCAGGGGTTGCACACTTCTATAGAGGGTACGGCTGACTGAAGACGGCTAATAAGCAAGAAATAGCCATTTTAGCTTTCCTTGATTTGTCGGAAATGCCAATCTGCCGATGTTACGCGCCGCAGTGCGGTTGTTGGCGGGACACGCGAGAGATCCCCAAGGCAAAACGGGCCGAATGAGTTTCGTAAATTGGTCGGCGAACGCCCTTTTAGCATTAAACATGCATATGTATACATACATATGCTGTCGTCTACCGAATTCCGTGTGCTCACTGTTCTTGCGTCTATGTTGGGCCTACCGGCCGATGACTTGAGGCTCGCATTATCGAACAAAATTTGGCCATCCGCCGAAGCGGGACCCCTTGTTTCTCGTGTTTACGCACCTCCTTGAGCGTAATCACAGTTTCGATTTGAACGGGGGTGAAGTAATCGCCAGTGCTCACACAAAGTAGGCACGAGAGCTTCTCGAAGACTGCTACTCTAACAACAACGGCACCAACTCCATGTCGACCTGGACGCTCACTAAGAATGTTTGCGCTCATGGATAACTGCCTTACGCGCACCCTAAAACACCAGCTGCTAGCCCATCTTCGACCACGTAGAACATCCTGGACGTCGTATCTCCCCGATACATTAAACCATAACTGAAACTCCCAACACTCCCCATGACTCCCGGCACCTATCTAAACACGCTATTCACCTCCTCGCATGGACACCTGTTCTGTCGATGTAACCTCGATGTCTCTCAGCGCTCCGGTCCGATTATCTCCCTCATTACCCGGAAAATACACAGGGAAGGGTGGTGGACCCACTGATTAACCGAACCACTCGCAATTGCGTCAGGCAGCTGCCCAAGATTGGCGAAACACGCGTGTCTGGGTCTATAGCTAGTACCTGTGTTGTCAGTAAGGTAAATAATTGCACAACCACTTCCCACTACTCATCTCGTCTGAAGACGGGTTGGTGTGACCAGCTTCAAAATTCATGAATACGGCTCTATTTTCCGACGAACTTTCTCGTTTTTGTATATCATCTCCGTTGTCAAACATGTATTTATTTAAAAGGAGTTAGAGGATAACACCTTTTGGTTTTGTTTATTTTGAATAGGCTTTCATCTCTAAGCCTAATAAGTGGGCGGATATTACAACATGTTTGCATATGGTTACTGTTGCGCATAGTGCCTAAATATAGCGGTTTTGCAACCGGACAATGCAAAAAGTACTGAGCAGTGACCATTCACGTGCCGGTATATTTCTGCTTCCATGCGTATTCGCGAAAGCCGTCAATAGAGATATGGTGCTTCGGCGAATATTTCGGACTGCCTCCACATAGAAAACAACACATTAGCAATAAGAGACGCATTCTTTATTAAACACCCAGTTTTTCGATAGTCGATGACAAATCATAAAACTGTCTGCACACTTGCCCTCTCCCCATGTTTTAATACTATCAGTAAATGTGACGATCAACAATCTAATTCTCTGTTTCAGTCACTCAGGAGACAGTTACTCCTGCAACAGTCGTGCGCGCAGTTGCCCAGGTTCCAGTGCTAAAGTCTACTTTATTCCTCTTATAAGTAGGCGAATGTGCAATGTTTCCGACTCGGAAACATGAGTGACTTCGAACGATGCAAAGACTTGGAACGCCATTAGTTGAGTTCCCAAATACGGCACCTTGCAGACTAAAGTAAGTCAGGAGGTCAAATAACCAAGTGACTGGAATCTACGACTCAATATCACCAACTTCACATTACTTCGGCCAGATAATCCAGGTGCATTCGTAGACCAGCCAGAATATTTTCTCAGCTGAATACAAGATGTAATATCTCAGCCGGATCTTAATGCGTTAACTGCCGGCTCTTAAGCTTTATTCAACGAGCGTTCTTGGTGGGGAAAATTACGATGTGCGTACTCCACACCTTAAGAGGACGTCTGTAAATGTTTCTGACTGCCTCTTGTTCAAGATAGTCGGATTATTTGGTAGACTTCATTTGGAGCATTCGATCAAGCGTTGTAGGCTCTGTGCCATTTAATATCAAGCCCATCTCTACGGGCTTTATCTAATGGCCAGCAAATTGACAAAGGATCAAATTTCATCGACTACTTCTGTTCACACAAGAGAGAGAAAAAAAGAGAGGGATGAATACACCTGATTTTGAAAGCATTGCTCAAATTCGCTGTAGAAACTCAATTTTGTCTGATGGCAAGGGCGCAGAAACTTTTACAAGTGTTAAATCCTTGTCGAGAAATATTCCGGCTGCCACAAAATTACTGCGTATACCACGGAATGCCCGTAGGACCAGCTGCTGGTGCGTGAATTTTTAGATTGGGCCCAAAAGGTTACTTCTGAGTGAAATTAACAGGGCTAGCAGCGAAAAACCGGAGAGCACACGATGAACGGTGGAGAACCCACTGACGAGCCAAACCCATCAAAACTGCAGACGAGCATTTCAAAATGGTACTTAGCGACCCCTCCGAGGTGGTCTCAGTCGATTGCTTGAAGGTGACTTACACCGATCCCTTCATAAACCGATCAGTCCTCTACACCCGCAGGGGAGCCTTCTGTGATTTGCCCGTTGGACTTCAAGCTTCGTCCCTGCACTTCCGTACGCTGAGCTGCGTCCAGCGAACCTACAACGCACGTAGTCGCATCACTGCCCAGAGCTGACAATGTCATAGGCAGAACCTTATTACCGACACGCGCCGCTGTGCGGCTGCTGGTTGGGATCGAGAGAGATATCCCGTAAGGCACAACGGGACGAGTGAGTTCCGTAAAAACGATCGATGAGCGTCACCATACCAATGGCATAGTAGTCAATACTGCTGACCTAACCACTACTCCGACCGATGAGGATGAATACAGTCAGAAGGGAGCACATAAGACCGACAGTCCAGGACGGCAACTAAGGCTAGTGTGGGTGTGGGTGATGGCCGTCATCGTCCAAACGCAGACCCCCAACTCGGGGAGGCATGTGGATTGACGACAAACACCTTCCCTCCCCCTCAGCCATGACTGTTAGTGTGGCGATCCCTGTGGCTCTGTATGTGGGTGAGACGCGCCTCTTCCCTCCCAGCGGCAGGCATGACGAATAACGACTCCCCACCCCTTCCTTCCTGCTATGTCAACTGTTACGATACACCCGTCCTACAAACATCGCGCTAACGTGGCCTTCACCCTCTCTTAATCCTGTGGGGCAGAGTACGATACCCACCTCCGACGAAGGAAGCTTGTGCGCTTTTGAGACGTAAAAACAACATAATTATGGTTCCAAAGATCGCCTTTTCTTTTCATATTTATGTTAATTGGAAAGTTCTCATTCCAAGTAATACAGGTTTAGGCTAAATAACTCTATGGAAAAATAAACTTTAGCGTATGAATTTTCCACACCGGTTCTTCCTGTCGACTTCAGAAGCACATAGCGTGTACCCAAAACAGTTACCGTTCTAAGTCTCCTTAAAAACCAATATTTGTTTGGCGTTTACGCCAGTGAACAGCTACGACATGCCGTTCCGTTCTGATTGATTTATGAGTCTTCCATTTCACCCTGAGAATATTGTACACGATATTCACCTCGATATCCCGGCTGCATGGTCTTGGGTAAAGCTCGGTTGTACAGCCGAACACCCTGACGGCTTTATTTAGGTAGAATGAGTTTGGCTACCTAAGTCCATAGGAATGTGCAAGTTTTTTTCAGTGTGTTTTGTGCATATTATAGCGCAATACTTATATGACTACTGCTGCTTAAAGTGTATCAGTAAGGGGGTAGTGTAGGCAACGTCAGGGTGAAGGACTTCACTTAACTGTCGGTAGACCGTGCATCGTGTCATACGGGAATTGTGGGGGTTTTAGGGGTGAGCAGCGCTTTAGACAGCAAGCTGGCGAAATGCAAGATAAACACAGAAATTGCCTGGATTTCTGCCAAAAGTCTTATCGTACGCTTTCACACGACAACGGAAACGAGTGTGTTTACTGAAAAATAAACAAAAATCAAATTTTCAAAGAGATAGCGCAGTTTCAGCAATGTGTAGCGGGCAGGCATCATGAGCGGTATGGCGCCATTGTTCAAGACCTCACTGCCTCAAGGTCATTGACCCCTTTGCAGTAAGTCGTTCCAGACGCGCTGAACTGAAGTCACACGACCGACAACTCGGGCATACCTGCGTCCGCACAGTCGCGGCTACTCATGCGCTACTTGAACGCGCCACCCCCTGCAACTAGCAAAATGAGCCAATGGGACACCACACCTTGGTAACTGCAACGCACACTGACTGGCCACCGCGTGAGCTGGGCCCACGAGCCTACAAAAGCGGCTGCCACCACTATCCCAGGGACTCTCAGGCCTGACTGGACGAAGTCAACACCAGTCCTGGCTTCGCCAGCGGCCACTGCCGCCTGAGTAGACAACTATGGGTTTTGTATACATTTAACCCCACATTCTGGTTCCTTTTTTCTTCTCCTTCCAACATGGGATTTGTAGCGTTCAGAGCACTTATTCTCACTGCTGTGCCGCTACAAATGCTTTTAGGTCATGGGAAGTAACTGTTGTCGGCAGTGTAGTGTCTGCCACCGCCTATAGATGGATGCCAAGATAAAATCCCATATGGCACGATCCACAGTCTGCCGGCATTTAAGCGGGACCCTTCGCCACACCGCTGCCCTTCTTCCAGTAGACTTCCCCTTATCCTACCGTCGCCAGTAGTGTAATCTGCGAATTCCTTTAAAATTGGCCGAAAGGGTTGTAGAAGACGGTCTTAGTCTTACACCATGAAGTCATACTTTCTAGAAAACAGAAAAGTGGTACTGCAAACCACCATCTAAATTAATAATAAATACCCTAGTCGAACTACCCGCTGGCCGGAGAAAGGAACATTCGCATTTAATTTGGCACGCTGACCACACAGGTAATCTGTTTTGCGCAAGTCCCGGATTCAGTGAGCATACAAGTCAACGGACAAACCAGAATGCTCAAAGCAGGCTACAGTTTGGGTACCGGTTAAACAGAGAGGATATGTCAAGCTCTCTCATCTTATCCAAATGTGACAGATTTTTTATATCATAAACCACCATCGCCACCTTGCGTTGTACCTGATCGAGTATGCTAAGCCAGTTCTTCATCCACAGTGTTCGGGCTGGCATTTCGCATTTCGAATGGTTTCGCATAAAGACACCGAAAATGTTTTCAACTTGCTCCGGGGAATTGTTTTGATTGAATGCTTGATTCGGCCGAATTAAATTTTTACGGTGTTCTGACGGCCCCAACTAATGATCAACGGAGTGGCACTAAAGCCAAACTTTATTGCCTATTGCAGTTCGTATAAAAAACATCAACCTCTTAACATAGTCTAAAAGGTAGATGCACAGAATCTTCTATCGTTGATGCATCCTGGTGGGTGATTGAGGGACATTTCAACTCTCAGAATTTACAATGTCTACTGCGTGTACCGAATGCGCGCGGGACAGCTGACTGGCGTGTGAAACAGTTTATTATCAATATAAACGAAGATAGGAGTCCCAGGAAGCAGTCTTGATAAAGGAGAAACGATCGCTGAAACAAGAGTTTTATTAGCCTGGCGTTTCGGATTACCGCTCGAACCCATCATCAGAGACAAAAAAGCAGATACGGGTGGTTCATGCACAAGGGGCTGCAGTATTTATAAGATGCAGTAGCCATGCTACCGCATAGCTATGAATGTTCAAGCTTCCCTCCTTCATCAGGGACTGTTGCACTTGGCGTGCTGGTAATTTGATGGTCGACATTCGCGTCCTTACTTGCTGCAATTTCATCACGTGCGTTGGATGTTGGTGTGATGATTGCTCGACCATCTGACCCACGGGCCCTGGGGTTGGTAAAAGTGTTCACTTGTGCGCTCCCCGAGTGGGTAATTACTCCGCCTAGGCGAAGTCTCAGCACTGAGTATGGAAGGGGAAGATCATAGCACTTGTTAATGGACTGGGGGCCCGTAAACCATGACTTAAGCAGCTTCCGGCTTACGCGGTTGTCACCTCTTGCGCGAATGTCGACCCCGTTGACTTTAAGTATGTGGCCGTATCTCGTTGAATGAGCCGCAAATTGGGTGCTGGCATCGTTTCTCCGCACCGCTGCAGCGTGTTCGGCCATCCACGTCAGGAGCTGTCTTCCGGTTTCTCCGACGTAGTTGCTTTGCCCGCAACTGCACCAGATCAGATAAACGACTCCCCACGTTTCTTGCCGTGGCAGCAGATCTTTCGGTTTCATTATCTCACGCCTTATGGTTGTCTTCGGTCTGTGTGCAACTCCAACCTAAAATGGTGCGAGAAGGCGGTTGACAGCTTCCGAAACGTTCTTGACATAAGGAAACGCTTGTTAGATGTGACAACAGCGTGAGCCGGGAGCTACTTAAGTCATGGTTTACGGCCCCCAGTCCATTAACAAGTGCTATGATCTTCCCCTTCCATACTCAGTGCTGAGACTTCGCCTAGGCGGAGTAATTACCCACTCGGGGAGCGCACAAGTGAACACTTTTACCAACCCCAGGGCCCGTGGGTCAGATGGTCGAGCAATCATCACACCAACATCCAACGCACGTGATGAAATTGCAGCAAGTAAGGACGCGAATGTCGACCATCAAATTACCAGCACGCCAAGTGCAACAGTCCCTGATGAAGGGGGGGGGGGGGGCGTGAATATTCATAGGCATGCGGTAGCATGTCGACTGCATCCTATAAATACTGCAGCCCCTTGTGCATGAACCACCCGTATCTGCTTTTTTGTCTCTGATGATGGGTTCGAGCGGTAATCCGAAACGCCAGGCTAATAAAGCTCTTGTCCCAGGGATCGTTTCTCCTTCTCCAAAAATCCGTTTATACTGAGATAGATTTAGGCAGCATATACCACACCATTTTCTCCGTCAGCCCGACTCGAGTTGAGCGCCGGCGCGGTGACTAGCAATGTAAACTAACGCGTCTACGCCGACCACACGTGACTGGGCCCCGCCGCATGTGCCGGGATGCGTTATGGGAGGCTCGGAGTTAGGGGATACCTAGGAATGCCAGAAATTCCACAGCGAGATTGAGCCATTTACTGTAAGACGGACACCACAAGCATTGATGTGTGTAGAATTTAAATGGGAATGAAGTTGTCACTTTTTAAAAAAATGCCTATTTTGTCCTCTTTTATATGTCAGGGCAGCGTTGTCGCAGGGCCAATTCACATAATCACGGTAGGTGAATGCCCTAAAATTGTTGACTGACGATCTTGAACCTCGTGGCATTCACAGTTTCTGGATTGAGGTAGTAAGTACTTGGTTCTGATTCGTTGTCATCAACGATTGCAAAGGGTGCCTCGTAGGCCGTTCCATCCGCGTCGATCTGAATGAAGATGAAAGTCAAATTTGCCGTCCACCGGAAATGGGGCTTTTTAAAATATGAGGAGGATAAATTAACCACTTATGCGTTGTCATACAGAGCTTAAACAAATATACTGTTTACGTTCTGAACTAGGGCAGAAGATAGATCCGCGACTTAGCGTTGGTGAAATAAACATTGACCATAGTGGCTTACATACTGAGGAAAAATCTTGCAGATCAATTTGTTCACGGTTTCTGTTCACCATCGCCGCTTGATATGGGAATCACAGTGGAGTTCAGGCATATAAGACGCAGCAAACGGTACTTCGCACGCATTCTGCAGACGAAATGACTGCATGATGGGTTGTGGTATGCTTTTGTTGGTAGTAACCATAAAAAGGGAATAAAATTTGTCTATACAGAGCTCTGCATTAGAGGGAAGATCATCACACAACCAACATTAAGTAAGTGCCTCGTTTACTTTCCGAGGAAATTAATGCTCAAACGTGGAGTAGCTCCGTCGGAACAGATCTTTTCAGGCACCGCCGGAAATTTGATATGAAATCCATCAGCTACTGCGGAATAACCGGGTAATACTCACAGACAGCCAAAAGGTAGCGGGCAGTTTAGAGTTGTGTAATTATTTACCGCACTGACCACATGGGTACTAGGTAAAAAGCCTTCAGCTAGTACCTATGTTGTCAGTACAGTAAATAATCACATAATTAATAAGTGTATGAGTATTCTTCTTGGGCAGCCGACAAAATAGCAGACAAACCGTGGAAATATATAATGGTTCGTCAAAGCACCAATGAAACCATTACATTTACTATATGGTGTAGTATGGCAATAGCGCGGATCTCAGGGAACAATTTTTGCCGCAAACTAAATTCATTTTCGACCTAGACTTAATCTACTATGGACAAATACGTTGGGATGGTGCACGCCGCTGACCATTATTCAGTCATTTGGTTGATTCCTTACGTATCTTGAGTCACCATCATTTACGTTTTAACTGTTATGCATCTTTCAGTCAAGAAATTTGTTACAGTAAATGAACATCCAGTAGGCATAGCAGGGATTTACAATGGCGCACTTTTTAGCTATCCAAACCTTCGTTTATATACCAGAACTGCGTCAAGCTACTCAAAAAGTTCTAGCACGCCATATATATGTGGATGAGGTGATAACGACAAAGACAAAGGAGACCAACAAAGGCCAATTCTGGCTTATTAACAGTCGCCAGTCAGTCATATCCAATCCTAAGTGTAACCACCTGGGATTTGAGCCCGGGATCTTCGGTCATTGAGCCGAACGCTCTACCAATGAGCCACGGGTTAGTTGTCCTGTCGCCATAACAGAGGCGACGGCGAGAATCCTGAAACCTTTTGGGATTGGCGTGGCTTATAAACCAAATTGCATCATCAAACAGCAAATCCGGAAGCCCAAAGGTCCGCTACCAACAACAGAACAGTCGGTGGTGGTCTACAAAATATCATGCCTAAATTACAATGCGATGTATGTTGGTGAAACGGGCAGACGCTCGGTACAAGATTGCACGAAAACCAACTTGTAATCAACCGCAAGGACAATCTGTCTTTGATCTATGACCACATACAAAAAACGAACCAGGATTTTGCCTTTGAGAAAGCGAGGGTAATTGTTCGAGCCAAATAGAAGATGACCAGACTGATGCTCGAAATTTGGTCCTCGACTGGCGCACTTAACTGAGCTATAGATCTTCATCCCGCCTACCAGGCGTTGCGTGCAAGTCTCGGATCAGTCCGGACAGGACCAGTTAGGAAAGCGAGCACGCGTGACCGAGAGTCAACGCTAACGGAAAAGAGCGGAGTTGGGGGCCAGAGGTCATGTGACCAATGCCGAACACTGTCTACCCGATGCGCCCGCGAAGTCAAATGCTGCTCACAAGAACAGCAACGACCGATCAGTCAACCGACTGACGTTGGAGAGGCCAAGCGGCAAGTTGATTTGACTACAATTACGCCGACCCCAAAGGGAACAAATGTCCGCAGGCCTGTCAGCGGTCAGCCCCGGGGAGGTCTAAGCCAGTCAACGGCAAACAGGCAGGTTAAAGTTCGTGCGTCGAGCACGGCTGTAATACGAGGCAAGCGGCAACACTGAACAATTCAAGACCGGCAGGAGCAAAAAAATACGTATATTTATAGTGGTCTAAAAGCGTGTACTACGCCAGAATCGGCAAACCATGGTTCTCGCAGCCTAATATGCGCTGGAAGCTCCTTGAAACCTGGCGCCCTGATGGAAGATGCGTTTGCGCTCCCGCTGTGTATACAGGTGTTGGGTACGGCTGCCAAGTATCCTCGCCCTTTTGACCCCGGTTGGAGTGTTGTCATTGTTGGTGAAATGTCCTGGCCAGGTGGGTGTTGTGGATCAGGGCGTGTGAAGGCACGCCTAGGTGAGGGCTCCATCCGGCCAGCCACCTGCGCCCCATCCACCCCGCCTCCGGACTTCTTGACTCTGTCCTAACACCGGGTCCAGGTGGGGAGTGGGGAAGACAGAGTGCGGTAGATGCGGCGCAAGTCTACTATCAATACAAGCTAATTAACGCGCAAGTCATCGTGTCTTGTCCACCTTGCTGGGTAGCACGCGGTGGACCTCGCCGGAATCGACGGTCGTACTGTCCATAGGTGTGGCTGACTGAGGACGTCTTTTAGGTCAGAAGCTCTCCGCCTGGTCTCTCCAAATTTTTGTTACCACTCCATCCCACATAACTACTAATCTATGTGTGGATGTCCGCAAAAGCTCTAATGGAGCCCCAAAAGTTCAACAGGGCGAACGTATACCGTAACCTGACCGGTCGATGCCCGTTTCACTGTGCACACTACTGCATATACTTAGTTATCGCAAAACGAAAATGCCTGCTGACGACGGAAGTTCAGTTTCGCAAGACATATTTCGACACAGGAAATTTCTGCGGTGTTCTTATCAGTGAGACATTTGAACTTCAAAACGTCGATTTCCATAGTCGACCGATTTGCTTAAAAATTCGACAGCGTGTCCTAAAAAACGTTGTCTCATAATTTCTTATACTCAGGCATTGCTATCGATTAAGCACAGGAATTTAACTGGCCTCAGTAAGTAAAAGTATCAAATGTTTAAAATATTACCATCCAAAATAACCACATTATGCAGCAAAAATGCCCTTGCAGTTTTACATTTTAAAGTATTTTAATTAACTAATCAGATCTCTGCTTGAAAACGCTCCCTTCACAACGCTCTTGGTGACTCCTTCAAAGCCACCCATCCCAAAAAATTAACATGACGCCTTAGTGTCTAAAGATCTTACCCGTAGATAATAATCACACACGAAGTCCTCGCACCACACAGAAGGCGCTTGAGATGTTAGTTTTAAGTTTTTACATTCGAAGACCTGCGTGAACTTGGGGGGTATTTTCGCCCTGGGCGTCGCCCTCTTGTACTCCTTGATAACCGAGGATGAATTAGGTGAGGACTGCGGTAGAAGGGTCAGCGTTGGGGTCATTCGGACCTCCTCCTCCTCTCCGGTCGATGGAAATCTCGTCCGTCTTAGGGCCACAGCCTGGATACTCTCATACTGCGGGTAGTATCCGTCTGTTGTTTGAGCCAACGCAAAAGACAGTCCTTCTGTACGCCTAAGAACCTTTTTTGGAATCTGGCAATAGGAAACATTTGTCAGTTAGTGAAGAAAGCCCTTGACAGGGTCTTTTCTTGTTAGTTATAATGTGCAAATCCGACAGAAAGGTAGTATTAGCTTTACTTGAATTCAGTCACGTACGCAGTCTCCTTAGTCGGAAGCAAAGTCACAAGTGACGGTCACAGTTTATGTGTTTTTGATGTTTGGTTTTGAAGTAAATATTCAATAGTAAAATTATTTCTTTGGACAAAATTCTACACAGAAACCTTTGCAAATCTAGAGAAGGAAGATAAATTGAAATTTTACGGTTCCTTAATGGTGTCAGTGGGGCTGGAGGCTGTTAAACCGCTAGGCACAAACAGAATACCAATAAAGGCCTAAACAGCTGCGTATAAAGGCTTCTACCGTAAGAATAATGCAATTAAAACGCTACTGTACGCTCGTTTAGTTTTAAGTAAACGTACGCGCAGCGCATCTTTATGATTCTCTTTATTTATTCCGCACTTACGACGTCGTTCAGTGTAAATCGTGTACAGTATCGAACGTCTTACAGAACACAGGGCTCTTGTGCAGCCTTACAATATGCCACTTCTAGGGTGCTTATTACAGAAGAACTGTATACTGACATACAGATAAGGCAAGTTTCGAATTAAGCGGTGACTCATTCTAATGGTTCAGTTTTTCGCGAAAAATTACAATTCGATTCGCAGTTTAGAAAACCATTTCCCCAAGTTTCTAAACATACAGTAGGTGCGCTAACTCATGAAATGTTAACCGAAATTGCGAAATGCGTTTTCGTTTCGAAAAGATTAATTACGTAGGGTTGTAACAATAATCATCGTGCAGTAAAATTCTTTATTACTTCAATCACCTCAAGATGCCAGTTTTCGAACAAACTTCTTCCCGGCTGCATGCAAAATCCATAATCTGTAAAGGATGACTACTTAGGTAACATACATTTTGCCATTGATTTCCGATGCCCCTAAGCATTCAATCATATTTCATGAAAAACATGCCTACAATTTTTATTCTTTAACCATTTTGTACAAACTTGCATCTTTTTCCAAATTAACACTCGAAGGAAGGGTTTAATTCGGTTTTAAAAAAATTTCTAATTATGAGATTTTTAATACCGTGCAATGTCTGTTCATAAGACGTCATGTTTCTGCATTTACCAATGTGGCTTGTGATGCTAACAATATTGCTCAAACCCACTGCTAAATTTTTTGAACCCCATATGGTCTCCTCCTGATACCGTAGAGTAATGTGTGGTTCTCCATACGCGGAAAATAAACGGGTTTGTATTTCGGAAACCCTGAGTGCAAGTGTAACGGCAGGTCGAGATTCAACATTATTCGGGAATTGTAAAAGTTGTTGAAAATCGAATATTACCCTTCTTCCAAATATAAAACAGGAAGAAGACACAGTTTTCTATCAAATGAATAAAAGAGTGAATATTTTTATGCATAATTTCCATATAACATAATTGAATTTTTAAGGGTATCGAAAATCGATGAGAAAAATTCATGTCACTTTAATAGTTTTTTTACAGAGTGTGGTTTTTGCTTACGGCCGTTAATAAGTTCCTCCGAAAGCCGGCATCCCCAGGTAACTGACTTATTATAGAACTGTGCCGCAAAATGATGGGTTTTACAACCATACTTAATTATTCTTTTCGAAACGAAAACGCATTTTGCAATTTCGGTCGACATTTAATGAGTTAGCTTACCTGCTGTACTTATCAGTCGTCTCTTCGCTTCTATTGGCGATGCTTATCAGTCTTTGGACTTCAGCTGCCGTCTGGAGAAATGTCCCGATGCTCCTACGGAGAGGTCAGGAAAGATCAGTCAACATTTTTTCTCCAATTCGGAGAGTCTCTTGATGGCTTCCAGGCAGTCCTCAGCCGAGTACACTAGGATCAGTAAATTTTTCTCGAGACCATCTTTGTCCATTCTTAGTTGGTCAGTGGCAAATTTCCTCTGTGCGGATCACAGGCTACCCTGGTGGCTGCGAAGGATTTTTTTCGATTCAGCGTCGTCAGCTTCTCTTTGAAGGCCCTTTTTCTTGCTAGCGAATCATTTGTCGTGATTCAGTCCTATCCCCTGTGGGAATTAACCCCGACCTCATTTTGGGAGAGGTAGAGGGAGAGGGGATGGAGCGAGATATTAAAGAAAAAACAATCTCTGGGACAAGCGCTTTATTAGACTGAAGTCTCGGATTCCTGCTTGAACCCATCATCAGGTCCGAAACGTCAGACTAATAAAGCTCTTTTCCCAGCAATCGTGTCTCCTTCTTCAAGACTGCTCCCTGGGACTCGTCTCTTCGCTTCTATTTGCAATGGATACGGATACTGATTGTGGCATTTTGATAATCTGTATAGCATCTAACGTAACGGTCAGCCGGTCGAACAACGTGGACAAACATTTTGGAGTGTATTTGTAACCTCACAGTTAGGCGTAGTGAGAAAACAGCCCGAATTAACCAGCCAGCGAACGAAATAGATGTTCTCCGCTTTGTTGCTGTTTGGCATATGAACGCATATCTGTCAGGTCTGAGCTCCTGAAGACTCTCTGCAGCCCTAAAAACTCGTACTGTGTCCGGTTGAAGGAGCCAAAGTGACTGGCATCGGTCATTTCACAGGTCCCCTTCTGCAAGCATGCTCTTAAAACGGGGCTTGACTCCGATTTATCCCCCTAGGATTATGCAGTCACCTCAGAGCACTCTCGCTGTGGGTTTAGGGACTTTCCAACAAATCCGATAGAGTAAACTGACTGCCCAAACAGGATTTTCTGAGTAATTCACCTGGAATCCACCAGATGGCTACTAGGCTCATGTAATACATAGATGTTTTGGCAGATTTTGAATAATTCATATTGATCCAACTATCTGGGACAAGTTAACTGTCCAACCTACTGCAACGTCGGGAATCCACCAAATCTGCTACAGTAAGCTAGCTGCTGTTGTAGTAGGTTGGGCGGGTAACTTGATTTCAATAGTTGGGTCAATATGAATTATTCAAAATCTGCCAAAACATCCATGGATTTCCAAAATTTGTTATTTTGTGGTGCTTTCACTAAACATGGGACTCTTTCGCATACCCATTCATATGACATAGTGGTTGCCCTCTGTGATCGGCTGACTTTTAAAATAACCAGACGGGAAAAAGCGTAAACATTTGAAGAAGGAAAACGAAATTACGCAAACAAAGTTGTTGCTGTCAAGAAGGCCGATAGATCCTTGCGAGTTGCAGACGCTGAGAACCTGAAAAGTCAGTCTGTCTGTGCTTTCAGTCACCCCATTCATTCGTGCTGTTGCCGCTAAAGAATAACTGAAAGGCAAAAGGACTTACAATTATCGATTGCCTGAAGAGGAAAGGGCGATCAAAAATAGTAAACTGTGAATTCCGCCATGAAATGCACACAAAATGCCCTTGCTTTTAACAAAGTCTGGTGGCCGGTAAACATCTGTCAGCGGTAGGTGTTAAACAGGTATTCAGTTGCAGGTCGTTCTGGTTTTTTTCAATAAATGTAGACGGATGCGTTGAGCGACTGTATAGTTGATTTAGCAGCGGCATCAGCGCACGCATACGTCTACAGTCATAGTCATTCACGCGCACGTTGGCTAAAAAACCCTTTTCGAAGAAAAAACATTAGGGTGCATGAAAACTGTGGATGCTGCTACTTTGCCTGAGTCTGTCAGCATTGTTAAGCAATGTCTTCTTTTGACCGCTGCTCGCTCCAAACCAGAAAATGTGCTTTTATGCGTACTGGCAGGAGTACTGAACTGGTCTTTCTTTGCAGTAGTTTGATTTCCTCGGTGAACCTTGTCACTGTTCACCTAGAATCGGATTGCGCCAATTTTAAAGACCTGAGTCGTTGGGCTCTGATGGCCGAGGCACGACTGACACAAACCCGGTTGGTCAACACAGTTTCAGGCTACCCACTGTGATACCATATGAACCACTTGAGTCAGCCGTAATATGGGAGGTACGGACAAGGAAAATGAGGACTGGGAAAGTCATTTCCGGCTTACGAGTCCTCAACGACCATTTATACCTCAGCTCAGGTCCGGACGACTCAGGATACCGAATGCGGATTATTTGGTCACTGGGCGTTTACAGGACGTACGCTCTACCGTCGCCAACCCTCGAACAGGTTGTTCAACTGGTTGCGATCAGAAGCATTCAGTACGGCAGTGCGGGCCTTCACCGATAAAGTTGTGATAGTCCTTTTTCATATTTTTTGTTTATACACTACTCTTTAGAGTTATTCTACTTGTTAAGCATTTCCTAAACCCACATTTACTCACTTTTCTTTAAGTGGGTCTTTATGTAACATTCACGCGGAGGCTACAACTGGTGTATGTTTCGGCTTAACTAACTGTTTTTTCACCTTCTACCTTTGTTTTTATTTGGGCCATGTAGACAGTTAAGTCCGCTCTGGTGTGGTCATTTCGTTTGGCCTTTCCCGACTTGGTCTTAATGTGGGATCACATTCTTGATAGTCTATGTTCGCTAAAAGTTTAGGAGACATACTCGTCCCGTTCAATTTAGAAATTTTGCAGACAGTCGCGTGGCGATCGGTAATAAATGCAAGAAGTGGTACTGGTACTAACGGGGAAGACTCTGTTAATACTTTGTCTGGTAATTAGAGGGGGAGCAGGCGGGAGGATTAAACATACTGATTTATGATAGCTGAACCATCCTTGGGCGACACGTAGGTAAAACTGTGGAGTTCATCCTCAGGTACCCGGATGCTGAAGCGAATTTCATGCCTCCCAGGTGGTAGTTGTATTCTCCTGTTAAGCACATTATCGCTGGTGACTTCAAAATCACGGCTATCAATCACTTTAGCCCTCTTTCTTTGGCCCGTTCGATCTTCCAGTAAAGTCAGTTCCTGCGAGTCCATGCCAGTTAGCTGAAATCAGCAAAAGTCTATTGGTATTTCGACAGTAATTATTTCGAAAGGCAAGAATTGCAAACAAATTCAATATCATAATTGTTATCCGCAACCATTGAGATCTTCCCGCAGCTGCTAAATCTGTAATATGACAAGGTCTGACGATAAGAGATGATCAGTCACTTTTTGCTTAAGAAGAACTTGATTGCATCTAAAATTTCTATTCTCAATGTCTTAAGTGTCTTAAAAATTTCAGTTTACGGGTCCTGTTGACTGAAATTAAAGATGCTCTATCATTTTTTGCCTTTTAGAATGAAGAAACAGAAAATTTTCAAAGGGAATTCTGCAGCTTTTCTTCAGCTTTCCAGAGAAGATTGAAAAGATCATTGAATGTGACGATGCAGAAAGTCCCCGAAATGCTTTTTTTGAAATCTGAACCGTAACTAACATTAGACTTTCTAAAAGGGTACCTAAAAACAAGGGTAACTGCAGTCAAAATTTTTCTAATCTTAAGCACTGCTAATTGGTAGTCCTTCAGCCATCAATATTGATTACCCGTGATCCAAATCCGCACTCTTAAATCATCGACCAATGGTCAAACTTTCTGCGATTAAGCTTCTGACTCGTTGTTCAGCAGACTCCTACTAAAAATGCTGATCATTCTGGAACTGCTGTTTCCGGGTTTTACTTCCGGATGAAAGATGCTCGAACATTTTACCTTCGGAGTCAAGTTTAAGGCCCGCTATGTGTCCACAAGACGATATGCAATGGTGCATAAGGAAGGCAGAAGAGGAAATGGAATTGATGGCTTTTTCTGACTGATCGTCTAGCTTGTCATTTTGCATTGTTTCTTTTTCGCAGAGCTATAGACTGGAAAGCTGCAACAAAACGGATCGGGCATGCTCTATACTCTAACCAGAACGCTTCATATGTCTGCTGCATAAATAATTAAATTACACGATCATGCATGGTTTCTGTACGCGCCCATGATAAATGGCGCAGGACCACCTACAATACAGAACTGGTGGTAATAGAGGGGTTCAAGGAGGGAACGAGTAGTCTTCATATATACGTACCGCATGCTTGTGTTGTTGCATTACAAATGGCACTTTGTAGGAAGATAGATGAGGGATGCACCTATATCCGTGACTGATCGATTACCCTAATTTCTAAAGATCAGATTTAAGTTTGAGACTCATCATGAAGTTGACTTTTAAATACACTTTTTGAGACCTCTTATGAAAGCCGCACTCGGTAAAAAGTGACAACTTAAGTAGTGAGCATTTTTCACATCGATTTCCGACGGTTCTGGAAATAAAGATATATAGAAAAATGCAAAAAATGCGATTCCGTCCGCCTGTTTGGTAGCACATCATGCCGACTTCACAGTTTGCACTCGAAGGAAGAACGCCTTTCGAGTTTGAAAAATATCTAATTATGAGATTTTTAAGACTGTGCATTTTCCCTTAATAAAGCATCGCACCTGTGCAGGTATTAATGCTCCTCATGAAATATACAATACAGTCTGCATTCACAGCAAAATTTTATTAACTTTAGGCTCAAAATTATTCTTGAATTGGAAGGATTTTCAAAACCCAAATATGCGCTTTCATCTACTGTGAAGTTTGCGGTCGGCGTGGTATGCCACTAAATGAATAGAAGAAATCGCATTCTTTGCGCATGTTTTATTTAAATATGCCTGAATTTTTGGGACTATGGAATATCGACGTGTGGAATGCACACCTTTTAAGTAGACACTTTTTTTACTGAGATTGGTTTTTACAGGAGGCCGCAAAGATGTGTCCTCAAAAGCTAATATAATTGTGAATTTCAAAGTTCATAAGATTATTCATTACGATAATTAATATTTAAACCGCACCTAGGTAATCCTTCCTAATCGAAAACGCATTTCAGAATTGCAGCCAAAATTTACTGAGAAAAAGTGTACAATGCGCAGACCATTACCAATATTCCCAAGGCATGAGCTTCAATGCTCGATCGAAGGCAACAACGCATATAAAGATCCATTTCTGGTAAGCACTCCATATAACTGCAAAATGGATTCCGCTAGTAATATCAATTGTGGGTAAAAAAAACTACCAGCAGCCATTGATCAAGTTAGTAATTTTCTGACCAGACTATATTTTAGGCAGTAATGCCTGCAATAGCTCCAGTGATACTTGAGGTTGGGCAATGCATAACGAAACAGCCAAAGTAGCGAAATGACAAAAGTGAGAAAAAATTGTATATACATACTGAGAGGATGTATCTGCAACGTGTATGTCTGACTTTAATCAGAGATACTCATGTCACTTATGTCCGCTAGAGGTCGCCTGATTTGCCTGCCCATGGCTAGACGTCGTCGGGGTGAACAGTCTGGCACAGGTAATTCGAAGTTACATTCCGGCAGCCCGCTAGAATTACAGGTGCCACGACGTCATTAGCACTGCTAGCCCGGTAAGATTTGACCGACGAAGCAAATCAGACCCAGCCATGGCTTTCCAGACTACTTGTTCCAATTGGCTGGGGTTTCGTGAAATGAGGCATAAAACCTCCGGTTACCTACCTCAGAAAGTCTTCCCGTGCTGTCAGTGTGAACGAAAGTTTGGTTGAGATTGAGGACTAATTTCGAGAGGTCTACTGCTTTCTCCGTATCGAAGAAGACGCGACCGTGGATGTGGTCACCAGGTCGCACTGTGCGTTCTCCAATTTGCAGCCTGAGCTCGTTGACCTGGTTAGCAAGTGGGGTATCCGGTTCTGGACGCCAGGCGGTCGTTTCTACCCACGAATCGGAGTCACTCGGCGCGGCATCTGCAAGTACTGAAGGGCGGAATGGTTGAATATGGCGAAGGCCTCGTGTCGTGCTTTAAAATAGCGAAAGGAATTGTTATACAAAAGCAAACGCAGTCTGTTTTTACAGACGGACGGATGTCCAAGGCTCCATAATCAGAAAATCAATGTTTATTGAAAAAAAATTTATTCTCACTCCGGTTTGACTTGTGAAATTGTTCGGCAGAAAGGCTTGGTTTATTGGTTTCAGAAAAAAGACTTACAAAGTAGTGTGTGCTCTCTTTGCCCTGGGCGACAGTATATAAAAGGCGGTTTATTGCAAATTCATGAGGTAAAAGAGACTGAAGACTGACCGGTACGCTCTGGGCTTGCCTAAAAGAGGCAATAAAAGTGGCCTAAAGTATTCCATCTTTGTCGTCAACAGTAAAATAGGGAAAAAACATTTCACCGATAATTTGGAAGTACAACCAACTTCATGCACTTCGGATGCAAGCTCGCTGTCTGACCCGGTGGTATAACTTAGACCTAAACCTACAGTTTGGCACTCTCTAAAGCGCCTTTAATGTGTCTATTCATGGAATGGAAGTTGCACTGGTGAACCCTGAAAAGCAAAGGAAGCTGGTAGGAGATTGAGAAAGGCAAAGTAGCCTTCAGTCTAAAAGAGGAGGATGAGGGGGTCGGCTGACTGAGAGTTGGCCGCGCATCGGCGTTTGTACGCGAAATCGAGGTGTTAGGCATGGTACTCTGGCTGTGTGTTCCCGTGATTAGCAATCACGGTAGCTTACGCGTTTCGTCTGCGGTTCGCCCGGCGCCCTTTGCCAATTGAATGTCTGCGCCGCGCGTGTGGCATTCCCGCTGTGGTGAAAGCTTGTAGCCTATCGATGTTGCGCAACTTTCTGATTGGCTACATGAAAACAAGGCTCAGGCACACACACAACTACGCGCCAATGCCTACAGCCTCAACGGTAGCCTCTCTTTTTCTTTTAATAACTCTGTCTCCGAATTTTGAGTGGGGAAAATTCTTGTCGTCGCGCCAACCCACCTTAACAACAATACAGCCTGTTGAGGTGGGCGAACGGGACCTGTTTGGTGCGGGGTTTCACGTTTGCGCATGAAAAGAGTGTTTAGGTCGCCTAAAAAAACCCATAATATCGTTGCGTTCACAGTATTAGATGGGTGTAAGTATTTAACTGAAATCTGATTGGCGTCTTCAAGTGCTGACAAGAGCACTTCATTTAAAGCAACTCAAACGTTTATAGAAGGTAATCTAATCGTTCTTAATCCCCTTAATCACATGCAGAAGTACACCGAGCTGCTTTTGACAATCTAAGTAAAGATCAGAAATACTTACAGCTTCTGCCATGTAAAAAACGGCAAAATAATGAAGGGAAGGCAAACTGTTCTATATAAAATAGCGAAATGGCATTAAGTCTTATGCTTAAATAGAATTGTACACACTCCAGAATTTCCTGTTCTTAGATTAACTAAGTCCTCACGTGTTGGTTCAAGAATCCAAACTAAACCAACAAAACCAGATGGCTGCAAAGTAAAGAGAACGAGATCTTTTTTGTAAGAGAGACACTCACGTTGTATCCCCGTTCTTCAAACTGACCTATTATCGAACGGATATAGTGATTAGGCCAACTAAATCGTCTCAAGAATGGAATTTCATTAAAATTTCAGAGGCAGACATGCCGAAAGGAAATACGAGGCTGTGAACGTACCCGTGGTCACCAGTAAATCCACACCGTAATGTTGACATTCTTCGTCACCATCTCCATGCACTGCATTACAACAAAAAGGAAAGCATGAGCTTATTGAAAATTTAAAAATGAATAAGTTTAGATCTTGTTGGTGTATTTGAGGTTTAAAGCAGTGCTGAAAAAGTAACGTAGGTGACGGCATAAGTTACCTACAAGGGCACTTGGTCGCATGTTTGGTCAGATAAGTAACGTTAAATCAAAAGACAATTTCGCGAGCATACGTAAGCTTTCAATAAATTCTCTCCAGGCCTGTACATAGCAACCACCCATTGGTGCACAAACGGGGCTGTGTGAGGGCGCTTTTCGACCGGGTAAAAACGCACTGTAGCGAGCCCGAAGGTAGGATGCAAAAACTACGGCATCTCCGGGACCAATTAACAAAGAACGGCTACCCAAATAGTTTTCTCAGTCGCTGCATACGCGCGCACCCACGCCGGACAAATGGAAGAGAGAAACCAACAATTTGGCACTCCCTACCGTACATAAAGAATGTGTCCGAGGCTACAGAACGCATCGCGTCAGAGCTAGGCGTGGGCATCGCTCATCATCCGGCGGCCACCATGTGTAGCAGGATCATGAAAATGAAGGATCGGCTGGACGCAGGTGAACAGTCGGGCGTAGTCTATCGAATCCAGTGCCAAAACTGTCCTTGCCACTACACAGGCCAAACAGGACGACGTCTGATCTCACGAATACTTGAGCACAAACGGGCCGTTCGGAGAGGCGACCCACTGTCTCAAGTAGCCACTCACGCTGGAGGAAGGGCATGAGTTCGACTTGGCAAACACGCGGATATTGGCGCGAGCCAGCAACAAGACAGGGCGAGAGCTGTTGGAGGCATGCGTGTCGGACAACAATTATATCAACAGACACATCGATTTGCCTGCGTATTATCACGCGCTCCGCCCACGCAGCCAGGTGGCGCAGCTCACACCGTCGCGAAGTACAAACGGTGTCACCACGCCGGGGGGACATCGTGGACCAGGCGGCACAAACCCTACCTAGCCATGGTCGTACTGCCCCTCTCCCCCAAGGATGAACGATATAAATGTTCACAATTTGCTGCACTCGAGTAGCCTCTGATGATGAACTCTAGTTCGAGTTCGAAAGCTCAGGCAAATAAACCTACTGTCCCAGTGATCGTGCCTTCGCCTTCTTTTAAACAAGAACCTGTGATGCGCATATTCTCTTCCATTCCTGTACGTTCATGTTGCTATCGAAATGATTAAAAAGAGAATGCGAACAAGCAGAAGTCATTCAGTATATGGGGTTTGAGGGAGGGGCTTGGTGAATGGAATGAAAAACAGAATTACCGTCAGTGTCAGGGGGGGGGGGAGGATGGTGGGCACTGGGACGGGTGATTATACGCGTGTGGCTGGCATGGTGGCTTTGGCTTATGGTATCTGTGGGGCCTGTACGAAGTTCTTTTATGCGCATAGAATGGTTTGTATAGCCTGATGACAGCTGCCCCTGCAGTTGCCAAGAGATGATGTCCAAGGCCTTTTGGATAGCTTGACGGGATCGTGTAAAGCAGTCGGAATGCCTGTACGGCATCTGCACAGTGATCTGTGTCTACCATGTGGGTGAAGATAGGGCTATTGACGTTCTTTATCTGTCCCTTTCCTAACCATGCTGGGAGTTATTCTCTCATTCTTTTGGACAAGCATCGGCTCGTGCGACTAATATATTCTGCTCCACAGGAGCAGGTAAAGGAGAAAATACAGATCGAAGTGGTCTGCGCTGGCACTTTGTCCTTGCTCTCTCCGTGTAGGATTGGACTAATGGAGAAGAGTACACGGGCAACAGCTGCTGGAAAGGTGGATGATACAGCTTCAGTTAAGCGCCTTTTTAGAAGTTCCCTTGGCGTGTCCCCTTATGAAAGGCTTCTTCTTTTCTGCTGTCAGCATCGTGGGGCTTTGGTGATCTTCGGCCATGTACATAGCAAAAAAGAGATTTTTGACAATCTCAGGTCATTCCACAATGCTATCGGCAGAGCAGATCCTCCTTACTCTTTGTGTCAAACAACGGACTAGACTGCGCCTTATGCCGGCCACCCTCGTATAATTACCCCTCTTAATGCCCACCATCTGCTTTCCTCCTGTTTTTCACCTAACCCACCCAGACCCTCCGCCAAACACCAGCTAGAAAATAACTTCTGCTTGTCCGCAATTTCTTATTAATAATTTAAATAAAAATATTAATGCGCAGGCCTGAATAAAATTTATTGAAAGCTTACGTATGCTCTCCAAGTTGTCTTTCTAATTCTTCAATGGGAATTTTCGCTACGCGTTAACTCGTTGCGCCAAAACAAGAGAGGAAGTATGGAAAACAAAGTTATCGTAGCTAAAAGTCACCTTTTATTTAAAATTACTTTAACATACCTCTACTGTAAAGTCCGTACGCAAAAGATGGATGCAAATAGGCAAAAAATTCGGCTAGATCGCAGTTGGTAGCCAGGAATGGGGAAGCGGACGGCGACCCTAACCCTTACCTTAAATTTAAACTGGTAACCCTAACGGCAACCCTAACCGAAATCGTAAACGTAACAGTAGCCCTTAGACATAGCCGTAACTGAGAAGCCTAACCGTAATACTTAAACCTATTCCTAATCTCAAACCCTAACCGTAACCCAAAAACCTAAGCATAAAGGCATAAACCTAACCCGAAAATCGGAAACCATTAACCGGTACCCTAATCCTAACCTCAAACGTAAAATGGAAGCCAAATTGGTCAGATGTGATTATGGAACTCCACAAAATATCTCCATTAAACAAACCCCCCGCGACCTTTAATACGGACCTTGCTACCAACTGCGATCTAGCCAAAAATTCGACCATTTGCTAACTCACAACAGTGTCAGAGTGCTTTGACGAAGTTTCCGTTGCCCTGACTGGTGATGTTTAACATGTGAAGACCTGTGGGTTTTTGTGCTAGTCGAGGTCGGCGAAATTTCATAATTCCTCTCTCAAGAAATAATTCAAGCGTCTGCGCTTGACGAGGGTACACCGAAAATTTGCATTCATTTGACCCAAATGCAAAAATCTTGAAGGTCTCGGCGAGGTCCGTACCCAAGACAGCAAGGCTAGGCCTTGAGTACAACCTACATTCTAAACCACCTGAGCTACGAGGCTTCGACTGAGAACTATGTTTTTCACAATGGGGTCGGGTAAATTAATTAACTCCTTTAAATCACTTACTGACTCGCATTCAGTGAAAATTTAGTGGCAGAACTGTATCTCACAAATATTTTGCAAATGGATGTATCAAACAATGAATTTGCGGATTCTGGTGTCTCTCATAGCGCCACTTTGCAGAATGCAACCCACGGCCAGTAACATCAAGTGTTTCCAACAATTATTAGAACAGATAGCGAAGACTGTTTTACATTCCGACAGACGTCATGAAATATGCCTGATACTTTACTCCAAACTAATTAATAAAACTGCGCCCTATGATTTTAACTGGTCATTTTTTGGGTCTCGCATTACGGCTTCATTCAGAAGCATTGTTAAAAATGAAGAATTTCTTGTTAGTTTCAGCGTTTGTGGATTGTTAGACAGCCAATTTCCTTTCGCCATTTTGCGTGGCGTAGTTCCTAAACAAACTGACGTTTTCAGTTCCACTTATAAGTGCGCCTTCCTTAATGAAATTATACGATCAATCTTTAAAGTATACAACATATACTGCAGCCTTCTAAACCGTGAGACGTCAACGTCTGGCAGGAAGATATGAGTCGCAGAAATATTTAAGGCCCCAAGTGAAACTGCTAAATCACAGGTCATATAGTAGGAATTTCGCGAGGCATTTTGTTTTTAACATGTGCACGTATTCTGCCGTGCCAAGTGCCACTTTGCAGTAAGACCACGTTTCCCACAAACGACGATAATTCTGAGGATGTGAAACATACATGTATAATTTTTGAAAGAATAAGCAAACATAGTTGAAGAAGCATGCCATTCAGCCAGTGAAGACAGTTGCTGCAATCCCCACACATTTAAAAAGAAGAGTTTTATCAGAACGAAATCGAGTTGTACTCGTGGTTTTATAAATTTGGAGAGATGGGATCATCACACTAGGACGTTTGTGGTTGCTTCAATGATCGATTTTAGTGAAATTTTATAATTCATCTCTCAAAAAATAACTCACAAATCTGCACACACTAGGCCGTTTGCGGTCACAAGGAAGTACGTGAACAAGGCCCTGGCGTGTGCGCAGGGGGCGGACCTAGTCGCGGCGTTGGGGGGGGGGGGGGGTTGGCGTAGCGAATCGACGAGACCGTGCGATCGTGTACAGGAAGTCGAAGAGGTAAAAATCGGGAGATGGCACCCAAAAAATCCGCCTTACCAAAGCAACCTGTCTTACGAGACAGGTGGTAATAGGGGTTTTGTGTGTGGTGGCTGGTCGGGAAGTACGATACTAGCCGACAGAATGTCTAAGTTGAACAGGTGAATAATCGAAGTTGGCCCGCTCTCCGTTCCGTTATTATAAAATTGGTCGCCAAAGGCAGAATAGTGGTAACCGACGAATGGAAGGCGTATAATCGTCCTCCCTCAGAAGATTATCTGCATTTCTCTGTTAACCACTCAAAGACCTTCAAGGACCCTGCCACCGCACGGCACACCAATGCCATTGAGGCATACTGGAGTAGACTGAAAAGGAAACTCTACGAGGGAGGCCCTGTATGTGGTCAAGCTGTGTGGGCTCACATAGACGAAGTACAGTTTCGTCTTTGGTTTGGCCTCAATGCCATGTCTTTTACAAATGCCTGGGAACTGTTCCTGTCCGATGTTGTGCAGACTTATCCTAGTTAAAACTGATTTTGCTTTGTAATAAACTGCCATAATGCGAATGTATGCCGTATATTCATGTGTACGTGTATAACGATGGAGAAGGTTGGATAAAAGCGACCATCGTCCATGTAACCTCCTGCGATGTTCGTTCGGCCAGCCCATGTTAGGTCATCGCGGAAAGTCCAAGTAATGCGTGAAAGTAGGCCTGTAACCGCTGATATAGCCTGAAGGCGTTTGAGTCTACTGTTAAAGGTATTATTTCTAGGTAGCGGATTGTTTGGGTGCCATCTCCCGATTGTTATCGTCGAAGATTGAGATTGAACTTGGGCGCCTCTGAGCCGTACTCACAGACCCTTGTAGTGAGTGTTCACACAAACATGGCGGTTGTTGCTTTGCCTCAAATGGGTGTTATCGTCCCAGTGCCAAGCTTACGAGTTTGAAAAAAGGCTAATCCGGCACAAAACTCGTGTGGAATTCTTCCACTTTTCTGATGTTAACCCTTATAACTGTTGAGGGAGCAGAAAATTTCATGATAAATGTGCAATTTTCAAACGGGAACCTTCTGCGCTGAAAACAGGAATCCCTGATTATGCGTCGTCTCTGCATTCGCTTGGCGCATACCCGAACATTTTCCAGCAACGTTTGATGACAATTAATTTATGTACGCGGCCCACGCGACCGGTTCTCACTGCCCTGTTGGAGTTCTTGTGTATTTTCTCACAGTTAATAAACGCCCGCACAGGAGGAAAATTAGACCTGCAGCGAAGAAATTATGCCACGGAAAGTGTTCCGCCATTGTGATCTGCGTCAAGAGCAGTCAGCCATCTAGAAGAGCGTTGGATAAACAACTTGAGCGCGTTAGAAGACCGCACGACTGGCGTTTTAATGGTTTATTCGCGACCATTTAGGCTTCGGATAGCAGAAAAACGGCGTGAATTAAACACCACGGTCACATCAGTCTAATTGTTCACCTTTGTTCAAATAGCCATGGGAAAGTAAAAAGAGCCTTCCCAAGGGGAAAGGCTTCGTCTAGCGGCTGACTGTGAATTGGCTGTGTGCAATCTCCTAAGGTAATACAGAGAGTCAATGAAAAGACATAATGGAAAAACAGTAGAATAGAGTTGTGGCGGGGGTTTATTTTTATTGCTACTAGCAGTAGAATGCAACTGTAAAGTCATTTAGCGTTGTGATATTTAAAAGATGAAGAGTCGTCTAGTGGATTTAAATGTCGCATATTCTTACTTTTTAGTCAAAATGCAAATTAAGGCGCAATAATATGGTAAAATTTCCACTATTACATTCCTGAGAGAAGAGGCATTTTGGATGAAAAAGTTACCGATATTTATATGTTTCTGTACAAATCTGCTCGGTTCGAATGGCTACTAAAATTAATTTCGTAGCACAAACACCATGCGCACTTTCACATAGGGAAGCAAAGATGCTTATATAAACAATTTCGCGGTTAATTACCGGTAAAATGCATGGGACAGCTTACTAAACTCCTCAAGCAGTTGCTTGCACAAAACCCCTATATTTAAACGACTTTTTGGACATCAGGCGACAGTATCGAGGACCGGGTTGGCAGTTAATGATTTTCGAATAACGAGAAAGCAGTCATGCTTGCAGTCTAAATTTGTAACTCGGCAACGACCAGTTATTCGGGGAAGGGCTAAATATAGTCCTTCAGTCCATAACTTTCAGTCAAGCTTGGAGGAGTCGCATACAGTTTTCTGTCGGAAAAACAACAGGATATAGGTCATAGTTTTGATAGTCTAGAAGGCAAAATAATATAGCGTCACGTCGTTTTCAGTTTTATAGGCTTTAAACAGTTCACTGTCTGATGACGGACTCACATTTGGGTAAACGACATGCGCATGGGGGAGGAAGGAGAGAATGACAGTGATACTGTAAATTCCACACTAATAATCACTCCGGTGTGTCTGAACCTATAACAACGCGCCAAGAATCACGGCTTATTAGATTGCAAACTGGCAGGATAAGTGTGTCCTTTTGTTAACTTGCCTCATAAACAGCTGACACAGTCAGTCTACTTCTGGCATAAGCCTGTGGAGTGGGAAATGGGTGTGGCAGGTCTTGTGATTTTGTTTGTTTCTCATAAACGAAACTTCAGACATTATTCAGACAGTAGGGTAGGACCTTTTCTAATTATATTTCCCGTAAGCGACCAACCCGGAGGGTCCACGGGACATGGGTAACTATGCACGTCACCATCACACTATACCGCCACACACGACGACGTACAGCCTTGTCTCACAACGTAGACCCACCGCACCGGGTAGTTCGCGCACGAATTTGTTCCTGGTGAAGCAAACCTGTGAGACTTCTATCAAAATTCCTTCTCTCTCTCACTAACATTTCACCGATGCGGTGGCAGTGCCATGAGGATCGTAGGTGCAGTAGGTGGGCTAACCCACGAAATTTCAACCAATATTCCGAGATACGTTTTCAGTTCAAAAAGATTAGTTAAGTACGGTTGTAAAACTAATTATCATGCTGCATAACTCTTAAATAATTCGACTACCTCAGGATGTCAACTTTCAAAGGATCTTCTTTCCGGCTGCATGCAAAAACCCCACTCTGCAAAAAACGACTACGTAAATAGCATGCATTTTTCTTATTGATTTTCGACGCTTTCAAAAATTCAATTACAGTTCACAGAAATCATGCATAAAAATATTCAATCTTTTGCTCATTCGGTAGACAATTACGTCTTCTTCCAATTACATACTCGAAGGCAGAGTATAACTCTGTTTTCAAAAACGTTTCCAATTCCCGTATAATTTTAAACCCGCTCGACCGTAACGCTTGGATTCAGGGTTCCCAAACTGCAAGCCGCATATTTTCCGCGTACGGAAAACCACACATTTCTCTACGGTTATAAAGGGGGACCATAGAGGATTCATAAAATTGAGTAGTGGATTTGATCCATATTGTTGACTTTACAAGCCACATTGGTAAATGCAGAGACATGACGATCTATTAACGACCATTTCACGGTATTTAAACGTCCCACAGTTCGAAGCGTTTTTTTTAAACCAAATTATACCCCTTCTTTGAGTATAAAATTAGGAAGAGACGTAATTTTCTATCAAATGAGCAAAAGAATGAATATTTTTATGCTTGCTTTCCATGAAATATAATTGTAAATTTAGGGACACGAAAATTAATGAAAACATGCATACTACGCATGTAGTCATTTTTTGCAGGGCGTAGTTTATCCATACAGCCGCAGGGAAGTTCATTCGAAAGCCGACATCCTGCAGTAACTGAAATATTATAGAATAATGTTGCAGGCCGACGTGTTTTACAACCCTACTTCAGTAATCTTTTTGAGACGAAAACGCATTTCGGAGGTTTGGTTGACATTTCATGAGTTAGCCCACCTACTGTAAGTACAGGCACAGAAGCCGACAAAGCCAAGTCTGTGCGTACCGCGCTCGAATTGGTCCCTGCTACTTGTACCTCGAGTTAGCCCACCTACTGTGCCTACGATCCTCATGGCACTGCCACCGAATCGGTGAAATGCTAGATGTCTCACAGGTCTGCTTCATCAGGAACAAACTCGTGTGCGAACTACCCGGTGCGGTGGGTCTACGTTGTGAAACAAGGCTGTACGTCGTCGTGTGTGGCGGTATAGTGTGACGGTGACGTGCATAGTAACCCATGTCCCGCGGATCCTCCGGGTTGGTCGCTTACGGGAAATATAATTAGAAAAGGTCCTACCTTACTGTCTGAATAATGTCTGAAGTGTTAGGGGGCGCTCACTGATCGTTCATACGGAACTCACTCGTTCCGTTGTGCCTTAAGGGCTCTCTCTCGAGCCCAACCAGCAGCCGCACAGCGGCGCATGATATATAGGCAGAATGATATTACCGACAAAGACAAGGGAGACTGGAATGGCCATTTCTGGCTTATTAGCCGTCGTCAGCCATCCATACCCAAGCCCGAATTGTGGAACACCCGAGCCTCGAACTCGCGACCGGTTGGTTTAGAAGTCAACGCCTCTACTCACCGGACCACGAGCGCGTTGTCTGAAGTTTCGTTTATGAGAAACAAACAAAATCAGAAGACCTGCCACACCCATTTCCCACTCCACAAGCATATGCCAGAGGTAGACTGACCGTGTCAGCTGTTTATGAGGCAAGTGAACAAACACCGCTAAAGACGGCGGAGGCTTAGCCTGGAAAGACCTCTGTCATACCACCCACTACATTTGTTCGTCAACCTCTGCTTTCTTTCACCTGATAGGGTGAAAACTGGAAACTGTCGCCCCTACAAACGGTGGATAAAAAGATACTGCCCATTAATCAAATAAATAAAAAAACTACCCGTTTGGCGGCAATAGCAAATTTTGGAAGTCGGTTGGCGGATAAAGTCAGTAGGTCTGTAAGCAGCACTGCTCCCGTCCGCGTAGACCAGGCAATCGCTGGGAACTAAAACAGATTAGCAGATAAACAGAACAAAGGAATTTTCGCAGCATCCTAACTCAGACGTTCTGAAAGAGGTTAGAAAAAATATTTGGTCAAGCATACATGCGGAGAACTCTATTTGTTCTAAGCACAAAATTAAGAAATCCGAATGCCTACAGCTAAAGTATGCAAAGCATTATGGAAACTATGCACGAGAACCCAAAGTCCGGAGTTGTTTGCACGGAAGCCCATTATCCGCTTTATGAACATGCCGAGACCAGTTCAACGCCCGCCATGAAATAGAATGATCAAATTTGAATAAGTATATTACTTAAAACTACAGTGCGTAACCGATCTCATGAAATGTTAGTCAAGATTCTGGAAGGAGTTTACGATTAGGAAGGATTACTTAAGTGGGATTACTATATTGATTATCGTGCAGCATAACCCTATACCATTTCGAACTCGCCAGAATGTCGGCTTCTGAATGCACTTTTTTGACCTCCTGCAGAAGCCACACTCGGTAAAAAATGACTACTTAAGTAGCATGCATTTTTTCTATTGATTTTCGGCGGTCTTATATATTACAGAAAACATGCACAAAATATGATTTCCTTTGTTCATTTGGAGGGAAATGACATTGTCTTCATATTTTATGCCCGAAGAAAGTGTAGATTTAGGTTTAAAAAGTCTCCAGATTCCCGAATTTTTTTCAGACTGATCTTCCATTGTATCAGCGTTTCGCAGTTTCAGTCTACAAAATGCATGAATTCCGCGTAAGGAAAATCATATATTCCTCTTCGCCTTTAAGAAAATACCACATAGAATTCATGAAAATTTGCAATGGATCCAGACTGTGTTGTACATTTCATGAGGAGCATTAGTAAACGGGCATGTGCGGTCTTGCATGCACGGACATCGCACGGCCTTAAAAATCTCATAACTACACTTTTTGTTAGAACCCAAAGATACACTTTCTTCGGGCATAAAATATGAAGACAATGCCATTTCCTTGCAAATGAACAAAATAAATCATATTTTTGTGCATGTTTTCTGTAATATATAAGACCGCCGAAAATCAATAGAAAAAATGCATGCTACTTAAGTAGTCATTTTTTACCGAGTGTGGTTTCTGCAGGAGGTCAAAAAAGTGCATTCAGAAGCCGACATTCTGGCGAGTTCGAAATGGCATAGGGTTATGCTGCATGATAATCAGTATAGCAATCTCACTTAAGTAATCTTTCCTAAGCGGAAACTCCTTCCAGAATCTTGACCAACATTTCGTGAGATCGGTCACGTACTGTACTATTAAAACAACCCCACTGTCATGGAAGTTACTTGAAGTTAGCTGACTCGTATTCCCAAATCTCGCATTCCATGATGTGTGCGTAGTCGGGTTCTTGGGTAACACCTATACTTTAAATTACTATAAATTGCTGTCTGAGTGATCCTCGCTGCAGGCCTCGGTTCACTTCAGAAATAAACTTCTTCTGGGCTCCGCACGATCTTCTGATGTCCTGGGAGTAGTAAGACAACTCACTGTTGTCAAGTCAACAAGAAAATGGTCACTAGGGCTGACTTGTAGAACCTGTTCTTGCGTCGAGTCAAAAAGAATATCTTGACCTATGTTTGGTGTTTCACGTGAAGGAGCATGCTGGGTGCTGTAAGCTTTCAGCTGGCTTCCAAGTAATCTCACGTTGAACCCACCACCTTAAGAGGCACCAATACATGGAAAGCTTGACTAATTGAGCCTGAGCATAATTTGACATTCGCTGCAAACATTAACGTGCTAGCTTTCAACATCCACGTTTACGTATTTCAAAAGAAACGCAGGAAGGTGCTTGTTTGATGACGAACAATAAAACTGCATTCCGATCCTCTTGTTTCTCGAAAACTATGGTGTACTGCGTTCATAGCTCAGTGCAGCAGCGGGAAGGACGTAGGAGCGAGGCGCTGTACCTATATTTAATTGTGGCAACCTTGGATTTTTAAAGGGACTCCGTCCGTCGACAACCATAAGAAATTGCATCTCTAACATATGAAAAGGGAAGAAAATGCCCGCCGACAGGTAAAGCCCGAAAACATAGACATCATTCCTATTTCTGATTCGTATTTACGCCAAGACTGAGGTGCTCTTTTGAACAAAAAGAACCAAAAATGCTGCCTTCTGAAGTATAAGTTCTGGAGACAACGAAATTATGCCTCCTCTCCAACGACATCGAATTTGCCCCACCAAATATTACTGCAATAGTGGGACAAGGAGTTTGTAAGTAGCTCATTCTAACTGAGCTTCCTGTTATTCCTCAAAAGAACTTAAAATTTGCCGAATTTTGTTAATATCGAACTGCAGAAATCCGACGCAGTATTGTGACAGTTGTTTTTCTTGGCTAAGTAAGGTGCTGCTCATTATTGCAGCCGAAAATAACATAGCTAAATGCATGTGTGGCCAACAGCTTGAAAAACGTCCATTGAAATGCCCGCGCCGTTAGTGTCTGGCTTATTAAACGGGCTTTTTAACAAAACTTTGGCCTAGCTCAGGTGAAAAATGTGACTCAGACAAGCAGATCGGAGTGTGCCTTAGATCAGTATCATGCAAATATACAGATCAGATCATTTATTTGAATCCCTGTAAGCACGTGACGATCCGTTAGTCACAAATGGTGATGCTCTTCATTGCCCAGCGAATTGGCCGTAGGCCAACCGTAAACTGAAGTGTTTGCATTTTTGTTCGTCATAACAGCGGCACAGGTTGTTAGAGGACACAACACGTCGCAAAATAAAAACGATAAATAGAAGTAAAAAGAAAAAAAATTATGCAAGTGTTGGAATAAAATCAATCTCCAATGCTTTGGATATGAAGTAGTGACTTACAGGTTGAAACATCACTGTCGGAGGAACTGGAAGATGTGGAACCTTTTGAAACAGAAAATATTTATTTACGAACCCATCCAGGTCGTTGTTCCTTTTTATTAGGGTCCATTTAATAAAAAGTTTGGAACTTACAGTCGGAGTCCGATTTAACGAAATGAACTTTTCTACCCTTCCCTATAAAAAAACAACCCATTCATCCCATTAATTTGAGAATGGTCTGAAAAATGAAGGGAAGAAACTTTTCCATACTGCCGTGGCAATACAGTCAAAACAAGTTTCATTTATAGACAGCACGCGAATCTTAATATAACTGCTATAAAAATACATCCAGAATTTATTAGACATTACAAATGAACTCGTAAACAATGTTATGCGAGGCATTGCGCTTATCGGAGCTTAGAAAAAAAAGAGAATCGATGGACAAAACAAGGACTTACATCTAATCGTTACCTTTTCGTAGCATTCAATGCCTGCAACATTTAAAAAGACTTATAAACGTTTATATATATGGCATAGGTAAATTACTTTATTTTCTCACATTAGTTCTGACTTGCTTTTCAACAGTTAAGCATCCCTGCCAAACAGGAAAGCCACAGGGAAAATTAAGTTGGATTGATAGGCAAACCATTTTTACATTCTCCAGAGGGCCGAAAAAGTCATGCTTTATCAGAAAGCGCCTTGTAATTATCATAAATTTAGTTTTTATAATAATATTAGTAAAGGTCAGTCAAAAAATATTTATGAAAAGACACATGCAATGCTTCTGATTCCCGGCGGATTTATATCCATTTCCCAGCGTATATACAGAAACCTGCGACAAGTGGTCTCGCTTAATTTTTAGAGGCCATATACTCTGGAACTTATACATAAATCGGACATCGAACTAGACGCCGTGGACAACACTGTAAAGAAAAATGGAAAAGGTGACTGCCAATCAGAACTTGATGTCAACCCCTTGTACATGTTGGCTGGTAGAATGACAGAAAGATATCGATCTTTAAGTCCGTTTAAAATTTTGACTGTTTTTAGATTTGCTTCAGGTCTAAGGACGACCTGGGAAACCTGTGTCAATAATTCACAAAATACATTTCCCTGTCTTTCTAAAAAAACCATTTCCTACGAAGCTTGTTTGCAACGAGATTGTTGTGCGCTCATTCCTGAGTAAATACACATACATATATATGCCTGTGATAGAAGTGATTTCGGGAACTATATTTATGTTATTACGGCGTTTTAAAAGTAGACAAACATGCGTATGGTGTAAACTCGGGTTTTTTGCATCATTGCAGTTTTTAGAACTGGTCAGTGACAGACGGATTCTGCGATGAAACGGAGATTAAGCAACGTTTACTTGCAATCACAACAGACCCCCAATTATGCAGTACATACTACCGTATGTTTCGGCATATGATCCTGTCTAAAAGTGGTTTCAAGTCTGAATTTTGGTGGCACTTCGCTGCCTGTATTGTTTGTTTTTCCGAATTTTCACACCGAATCCAGTAGATCGGATATTAACAATACAAAGCGTTTCTCTTACCCTTCTCCAAATATGGCAACCTTAATATTATGACGCGAAACGATCGTACTTTCAAACAAGCGTATTATTATAAACAATACCTTCGAGATTTACAGGAGATTTTGGAGGTTTGCATGCTTATGTTTTTTGAGAGGTGGGACGTAATCAGCACTGGTACATATATGGGTGAAGTCCCTCCTTGAAGTAAGCGCGCGCACACCGATGTCGAGTTTGCTTAACTGCTTTTCACCTGGAATGTTATGTCACTTACGGCGACTTGGGTATCATCTATGGTAGTTGTGCAATCTTATGAAATATTAACAGAAATTCTAAAATTTGTTTTGTTGATTTTAGAAGATTACTTAGACAGAGTTGCAACGGTAAGTATCGTGTGGCGCCAATCTCATCGGGGTGCTGTCTTTTAAGTGAGCTTCTTTTCGATCATGTACAAAAACTGCGCTTCACAAAAATGACTAGGTAAGTGGTACAAATTTCTCCCTTTAATTTTTTACGCCTCCATAAATCCAACTTTAATGTGTGGAAAACATGTGCAAACGTATCCTCGCTTGTACCCCCTTGGTAGCAAACTAGGCCCTCTTCACTGTTTTAAAAGAGTAACTTTCGATTTTTAATAGCCTTTACAATTCCCGAGTAACTATTTGCCCGGTCGATTACTGCGCTCGCACCCAGGGGTTATAAAGTACAGTAGATGTGCTAACTCAAGAAATGTCAACCAAAATTTCGATATGCATTTTCGTTTCGAAAAGATAGATTAAGAAGTGTTGCAAAACTAATTTAAGATGCAACATAAATCTATAATAATTCAGTTACCCCAGGATGTCGGCTTTCGAAAGAACTTATTTTTGGCTGCATGCAAGATCTATACTCTGCAAAAAATGACTTCGTAAGTAGTATGCAATTTTCTAATTGATTTTCGACGCCCTTGAAAACTCAATTATATTACACAGGAAACATGCATAAAAATATTCATTCTTTTGCAAATTCAGTAGAAAATTACGTCTTCTTTCAATTTTATACTTGAAAGAAGTGTATAGCTTGGTTTCAAAAAGGTTTCTAATTCTGAGATTTATTAATAGCTTTATATGGCCGTTTATGAAACGTCATGTATCAGCATTTACGAATGTGGCCTGTAAAGTTAACAATATTCCTCAAATCCACTGCTTAATTTTTTGAACCTCATATGGTCTTCTCCTAACGCCGTAGAGAAATGCATAGTTTTCTGTACACGAAAAATAAACAGCTTGCAGTTTTGAAACTGAATGCAAGTGTAAAAGCAGGTCGGGTTCATAATTATTTGGGAATACGAAAAGTTTTTTAAAACCGAATTATGCTCTCCTTTTAAGCATAAAATTGGAAGAAGACGTGATTTTCTACCGAATAAGTGAAAAAATAAATATCTTTTTGCATGTTTTCCATGGAATATAATTTCATTTTCAAAGGCATCGAAAATCAATGAGAAAATTGCATGATACTCAAGAAGTCATTTTATACAGAGTAAAGTTATTGCATGCAGCCGAAAAGAAGTTCTTTCGAACGCCGGCATCCTGAGGTAACTGGATCATTATAGGCTTATGCTGCATCCTGATTAGTTTTACAACATTAATTAATTTATCTTTTCGAAACGAGAATGCATATCGAAATTTTGGTTGACATTTCTTGAGTTAGCACATCTACTGTATATGTCTTGTGTACGTTCCGCAAAATAATAACACGTACTTGTTAGGGGGATATTATACAAGCCTCATAAAATTGTCCACTGGATATAGACCGGATTGTATACTTTATAAGTTGCATCAATAAACGTGCTGGCGCGACGCTGTATGAAAGGCAATTGAACAGTCTCCTAATTACAAACCCTTTTATCATCAAATGATGCTCCCTATTCAAGCATTAATATTGCAGAAGACGTACTTTTCTTCGAGATCAGTACGAAAAGGAGTGTTTTATGCATGTTTTATGTAAAATGCATTTAAATTTATAAAGGCGATGAACAATGGTAGAGGGGCGCTCACCGATCGTCCTCATGCACATTACTCGCCCCGTAGTGCCTTAAGGCTCTCTCTCGAGCCCAACTAGCAGCTACACACTGGGGCATAACATAGGCAAAATGGCATTATTGATAAAGACGAGGGAGACTAGAATGGCCATTTCTGGCCTGCCAGCCGCTGTCAGCTGGTTGGGTTCGAGAGAGAGAGCCCTAAGGCACAACGGGAAGAGTGAGTGCCGTAAAACGATCGGTGAGCGCCTCTATACCATTGTTTGTTCCCAATCGCGGCTGACAGGACATCAGGCCCGTGGGTCAGTGGTTAGAGGCCTTGGACTTCTAGTCAACCGGTCGCGGGATCGAGCTTTAGGTGTTCCACACTTCGGGGTTGGATATGGCTAGCTGATGACGGCCGATAACCCAGAAATGGCCATCCTAGTCAGTTTGCATAAGGCAATGAATCTCAACAGGAGAAATTCATGCTAAATAGGTGGTCGTTTTTTACAGAGTATAGTTCTTACAGACGCCTGAAAGGACGCCTATTCAAAAGCCGGCACCCTGGTCTGACTGAAATATTTTAGGATTTTGCAGAGAGACTATTAATCTTACACATCTCCCTAAGTAATCTTTTCGGATCAAAAACGTGTTTCAGAACTTTGGCTACTATTTCGCCTACTCCAATGCGTAGTGAGGAGAGAGAGTGTCAGACGTAAAAGTGACTGCGAACCTGTAAGATTATGCAAAACGCCACTATATCCTTTGTAAGAAATGTAAATGGTACGTGTGTTTTTCCACATCTTGAACTACACCTTATAGCATCAAGGAATTCTGGCAAGAGTCTAGCGAAGGCCCCCCAAGTATCCCTAACTAACCAAAGCCGCCTGTCTTAGGGGAATGGTGATAATAGCGGTACATTTAACAAAAGTGAGCAATAAGAAACATTCGAAGTGTAAACCAACTCTAGTTAACCACCGATCAATAGTTTACAGCGAGACGGGTAACCAAGGCAAATCCAACCAACGAGAATAAGCGGAGATCGGTGATTGGCGTTGTGTCAGCTATGTGAAGGGGCATTGCAAGTTTTCAGTCACGCTTTAAACATACTTAACTTGCTTCCCTTATTTTTTGGCATGCAACACACCATCCAGATGTCCCATCCGTAAAGCCCCTATTACCGTCATTCCCGTAGGACAGGTGGCTGTGGCCAGTTGGTGATACTTGGGGACCTTAACTAGATCCTGGCCGGAAGCGTGTCTATTAAATCTTTAACAATTTCCCTAACTGAACGACTTAAATGCATCGCCGCCCACCTTACTATTTCTGCTTTCAAATAAAGTTAGTAACGCAGGTGCTGTGGTGTGGTGTGGTTTAGCTAAACTTAGTGGTTTTAATGTTTTACTCGCATATATCATTAATATTTCGCACAGGTACATAAATTAATTGTGCAAACTTTCCACTTTACTGCTTTTAACTGACCAGTGCACTTAAGGGCTACTTTTTAATAGAGCATTTGTTTCAGAGCTATTGTGTGTTGTCAGCGGACTTGAATATCTTTATCTTCCCCAGCAGTTATTCTTCTGCTCTCTAGCCAATGGGCTGGTGCAAGTCAAGGCCAATTGGCCAAGTTCATGCACTACTTTGAACCGCCAATTCGATATCTACGCAGTAGGGTCTTGGACACAGGTGTGCTTCCAGTTCCGTCCGTCAGCTGGGAGCTAGACCGGGCATTTACGTAAAATAAATGCACTAAGCAATCCACTTTCAAAACTCAATGCCGCTAGTAAATTAACGTACAAATTGAAGCAACCCAGCAAATCCATTCAATGCTTTAGCAGTAGGTGGTATCTGCGATAAATTTGCCTACCCATCACTCCCATTAGTATGCATGTGACGAGAGACGCATAAAAATGCCGAAAGATTTGCGAAAAAAAAGAATTTCAAAGGATAGCTTTGAATTTTTGTCAGGCGCAAACAATGTGAGTGTTTCCCCATGAGAATTTGTGTCCAGTGTCCAGTGTGTGCATGGCCACCTGGGGTAGATGATCGCGTCTCTTTACCGCTAAGTGATGTTCATGTATATGGATTGAGACAGGTTTCCCAGTTTAGCCATGATAAACGGCATCACAACTGGAACATGGGATTTTGTAGAGAGCACCTTTTCTTCCGAGGTAGCCAACCCTGTCCTTAGGCTGTACTTAGCTGTGTGCGTAAGGTAGTTGCCGGCTGGTTTGCTACGTGGATCTGGTACTTTTTAATTGTATTTCGACTAGTTCAGATGCATTTTTCACGTATGGAAGAGTTCGCCAGGTGGTTGGTTATGGTGCTCGAGTGGTCGTAGCATTGCAAATACCTTTTCCCTTGAATTGTTATTGCCTCATGCATTGAGGTATAAAGTGATGCGAATACCCATTTTAGGAGAACAGTTTGTAGAGGTATTTCATTTCTTCTCAATAACGTGTTTCATCGAGGCAATGCACTCAGATGCGGCATGCATCGACCGGCATATCGATCTAGATGCCACGTACAAAATCGTTAAGGACAGATTTAAACTGACTCAACCAATCCCGAGAAGATGACTTTAACCAATCATAGAATCCATTGTCATAGTCGGTCTAGATGGTAATTGTTCTCTCACACCCGTTGTCTAAAGACGAGCTGGGGAACCAGTTTCAAAAATTTACACGATAAAGTTTACTGTTTTCCAAGGAATTCCATCTTCCTAAATATATACATATGGCATATATATGATATGGTGTATGATATATGATATAATATGATACCTATTTGACATATATATGATATATGCATATACATAATATGGTGGACCTTCCCTCAATCTTTTCTGTTTATCTTAGTAACGCGTCCGTCCACATCTTCCCAGCCACCCATACACCAAATCAACACACCCTTCCCCCTCAGTGAATATACCCTAAACCACTTGATACACTAAGAGAATGCAGCACACTCCGATTGGACAACACATGAACTTGCTCCGAAAATCCACTTGTTCCACTTTCTGTCTCTCTCCCTCTCTCAGGCACGACCTTACATCGTCAGCATCTGCTCTGGCCTCGCCAGTAGCCACTGTTACCCTAGAGGGCAATTCAGGGTTTCGTATACAACAAACCCTTCATTATGATAAACTCTGTCTTTTCCTACGCAAGCCTTCCCCCTGCTATCGTAGGTTCGAATCCCACTGAGGTCACCGATTTTGTCCCAGTCTGGTTCAAATAAAACAAATACGAAATGCAGTCTTATTATTGTGGTGCTCTGACCATGCCCTTGCGACGCATACGCTAGAAAACATTAAGAGATTTGCTTTGGGTTAAATAAATGCAAATAGGTCATGATTCGCTGTAACAACCGGCACTAAAATATAAAGGACCTCTTAAGACCACTTCTACCTGAGAATAATTTTCGGATGTTTTGTCATGAAAAAACATCATTTAGAGGCAAGGTAACCTTACCGTAACCGCAACGCGTCATGGTGAGTTTTTGGGTGAATCACAAGTCCCTGAATCTGTCCTCGGGCTCTAGGGGATTTTAACGGTGTGCATATGAAACGAAACATCGAGTAAAAGTCGGATAAATCATAGGTACCAAGTTACATGCAGCTGACCTTGCGGCCTTATTGGCTGAAAAATTAATGTAATCACCTCAAAACGGCGAATGGGTGGGTGTCTTACTCATCCTAAAATTTCCTTCCGTGTGATCTACCGGTTTAAGGCAATAGCTCCGCTTTGAGCGCGCAAAATGACATTAAAGTCATACTGACGACTGACTATTCTTAGATGATACCCACATAAACATTCCAGCAAAGTCGGCAAACGAATGTCTTCAATTACTCATCGCCAGGGCAATGAAGGGATGCGTGGTAGGGCGACAGGCGGTGAAAAACAAGAAATGAAAGGACTTACTGATTGAAAAATACGCATCAGGACAGGGGGCGGAAATCAGGATTTGCATGCCTGTCACATAAGACGCATATTTTTCCTCATTTTGCCTGTAGGCCACGAGGGAAAGGCAAATGCACTAGACGAACCAAATGGGTTTGGAAGTTGAAAAGTGATCTTGACTCGGAAATTGTGAGAAAGGTGACATCTACACCTCGATGATTTGTGATATTCCGCTACCATCAGTCTTTAATGAAGGACGCAAAAGTATCCAGAAATCTGCGAAATAACCTGTTAGTGTTTTACTTCTGCGAAGTGCTTTTTTACTTTAACATTTCATAGTTGTTTTAACTTTCATAAAGTTATCGTGAGAGCTCATAAAATTTTCATGTTACGAGCCATCATACATACCTAATGACCTACTTTTGTTAGGATAACCGCTGTTCGTCCTAGTAAAGAGAGGCAAAATGACATCTCCTGTACGATCAATGATACAGATCTAGTTTCATAAAAAGGGTTGCTCTTTCTTTTAACTTTGGATCCCAGTCAGAGCTCTCACCGGCCGTCGTACAGAAACAAGCAACCAAATTAGTTGAAAAGCTGACTCCATACTCCATGCAAGTTACATTGACGAGGTCCGTAGGTGCATTCTAACGGAATTTCTTTTCTGAGAAGGATTTTGCAGGCTTGGGAAGAAACATGCCTTTCTTAAAAAAAAAGAACTAGCGAGACAGCTATGTTTTTAATGCATGAATGGACTACCAACGAGAACGAGGGAGCCTTAATTTAAAATGCATGACCTTTTTGTTACTGCCGAATTCTCATTTCCGAAGCCCAAGCCGGTGGAAGTCTGAAATCAGACGAGGGCATCTTAGGCTACTGAGTATTTCAGTCATGTTTAGGCAATGTTCTCATTGATCAATCGAAAATAGAGCTACATGCGTCTTCTTTATCGTAGTCGATAGGCCAGCAACCATTCAGTTTCTTTCCTCACTGTAAATCGTAACACACAGGACGACGAATCCGCGGCCTTCTGGTTGCGTTTTAATTTTGTCGACTAAGACTTGCTGCTTGGAACCCCGTTCTACCCAGACCTGAGCTTGAAGCATAACTTGCTGCTGATGTAAAATAAGCTAGAAACGCCAGCCTAATATCCCCTCTCACTGTTAGCATCTGTTTTGCGGATTACAATTATATTGTCTTTGTCACTTGTCTTCGTTTTCTAAACAACCACTTTCTTCATGCTTTTAAACAAGTTTCCCAATGTGGAATAAATGCTTAAAATGAAACCCCGCTCACTGTCCGCACTTTGATATTACCTAAATACGCTCAAGGATCTACTAAATGCAGTGCAGATGAGTCGTAACTACGACGTTAGGCGACAACGTCCCATTGTACTTTTTCGAAACAATGTAGATGAAGTAAAATTACCGAGAACCTGATACGGACCGAACTTTTAATTTAATGTCTCGCTTTTACGCCAGCTGCTGCACGAAGATTTTTACACATTTCGAAAACCAAAAAGGTCGAACAGTGGACTGGAATACGCGATGCTCAGACTACTTAAAAGCGAGAGTACGGGTAGTTCCAAACGGTCTGCGAGTTGACCGCGAGAGTGAACTCTGCCCGAATTTTTTAGTAGTGAAGCAAACTTACACAACAAGTACTTCAGACAGTCAACACTTTTCTGGTAACAAAGGCAAGTTTAGATATATCGGAGGCATTCGTGAGCATCTGGACACGCCGCGCACAATCTGACATTTTAATGCACATCAGCCGGTCTTAATTTATAATCATAAAGACCATGAAAGGCCCAGTAAGATTATTTTGCGTGAGCCTCGGTCCTAGTTAGGATGGAGTTTACTTTCCATTTAGAGGCCTGCCTAGTCTAGAATGATATCGCATCATTAGAGTGTAGGGTGTGTCCTATCCTCGCGGTGGGGCGGTCAGGAACGTCGTGAGAACAAGCCCCTACGTCTCCTGTCCAAGCCCGATGGCCGACTAAAAGTTAAGAATGACATTGTGTAAAGCCACTGGCTCTCACCTGCCACTCACGCGCATCCGAACAGATTAAAAAAACAACCTTAAAACGTGGCGGACGTGTGACCTCAGTGGGTGCAAGTGCTACTCAACTGCATCACCCCTGCATCTGGTCTTCTTGACTCTGTCTTGACACCAGGTCCAGGTTGGGGGGGGGGGGCGAGAGAGAGTGCTCTAGATGTTGCGCAAATCTGCAGTAGGTGGCCAAACTCATGAAATCTCAACAGAAATTCCGAAATGCGTTTCCGTTTCGAAAAGATTAATTAAGTTGGGTTGTGAAACTGGTCAGCCTGCAGCATAATTCTATAATAATTTAGTTACCCGAAAACGCCGGCTTTCAGACAGACGTCTTTCGGACTGCATCTACAAACAACACTCGACAAAAAGGACTACTTAAGTAGCATGCGGTTGTTCATTGATTTTCGATGCCCTTAAAGATTCAACTATATCGCATAGAAAACATGCACAAAAATATTCATACGTTTGCTCATTTCATGGGAAATTGCTTCGTCCTCCAATTACATACTCAAAGGAAGGGTATACTTCCGTTTAAAAAAAGGTTTCTAATTGTAATTTTTTTTTAATACCGTGAAGTGGCCCTTCATAAATCGTCATGACTTTGCATTTAGCAATGTGGCTTGTGAAGGTGACAATGTGGTTCAGATCCACTGCTTAATCTTATGAAACGCATATGCTCTCCTCTTAATACGGTAGAGAAATGTTTGGTTTTCCGTACGCGGAAATTATACGGCTTGTAGTTTTGAAACCCTGAATGCACGTGTGACGGCAGGTCGGGTTCAAAATTATTCGGGAATCGGAAAAGTTCTACAAAACCAATTACATCATTCTTTCGAGTATAAGAGTGCAAGAAGACCTATTTTTCTACTGAATCAGAAAAACAATGAATATTTTTATGCATGTCTTCTATGAAATAAAATGGAATCTTTAAGGACATCGAAAATCAATGAAAAAGTGCTCGCTTCATAAGTAGTCATTTTTTACGGAGTGTGGTTTTTGGATGCAGGCGGAAAGAAATTTGTTCGAAAGCCGATGTCCTCTGGCAACTGAATTATTATAGAAGTAAGCTGCATGATGATTGGTTTTAAAACGCTACCTAGTGTAGCTTTTCAAAACGAAAACGCATTTCGGAACTTCTGTTGAAATTTCGTGAGTTAGCCCACTTACTGTATTATCTCTATAAACTAATTCACGCGCAAGCCACCGTGCCTGCTGCACCTTGCTGTATAGCACACGGTGGGCATTGTCGTAATCGACGGCCGAACAGGTGCTATTAAAACGAGCTATGTCGTGATCGAGTGTGCAGTGCATGCGCGTGTTCTGATGCGGGATGACAATTTAATGATTGTTTTCGTGTGCAGAAGTTTGTCAGTTGTGCTCTTAATCAAACTTTCAGTTTGTCAGAGTTCAATAGCAAGTCCTCGCTTTGCCAGGAAAATTGGCTTAAACGCATATTTTTTCATCATCAAGGAACGTGATGCCTTGCGGATGAAGTCTCTGTTTCAGACTTTCGGGTGAAATGTACTCCTGCAAAGCTCGCGAGTGACGCTTTCTGGAATTCAGTAGTGAGCCTAATTTATTCTCGGTATAGGTAGATAAATGAGTAATATAATGGAATTGTGGCATGTCGGGGTTTTTTAACGACATAAAGGTGTTGAGTGCCATCAGTGGGGCTGAGGTGTAAGGTAACCCGTTAGATGACGTGCCCAAGTCCTACAATTCCTAAAGTTCTGTCTCAGGATGTACTTAACGTTTGACGGAACAAGATACGAGCAAGTGAAGGGAACACCAATGAGCTCGCAGATTTCGAGATTCATCGCCGAGGCGGCCCTACGGCGGTAAGAGTCGCTGTTCTTCCTACACCACAGACCGAATTTCTGTGCTCGGTATATGGACGATACCTTCGTCGTCATCGAACGCGATCAGGTGTTAACGTTCAAAGAACGTCTCAACAACGTTTTCTCGGATGCTGCCGAATCCCAATATCTTCGACGGGTTTTCAGAGAAAATGGTTACCCGCGCAACTCCGTCAACCGGCGCATGCGCAGACGAGACGAGCGACGAAGTCGCGCCGACCCCAAATTCTGACAAGCGATCCCATACATCATGAACGTCTCTGAGGCCGTTAGTCGTCTTCTTGCACCACTTGGGGTTGGAGTTGCACACAGGCCGCACGCCACCATGCGGCGTCAGATAATGAGACCAAAAGACCCACTGCCGCGCAGGAAACATCTGGAGTCGTTTACCGGATCTCGTACAGTTGTGGACAAAATAACTACGTCGGAGAAACCGAAAGACTGCTTCGAACGCGAATTGCCGAACACTCGGCAGCGGGACGGAGAAATGACGCCAACTCTCAGGTCGCAGCCCATTCGACAAGACCCGGTCACACACTCAAGTTCTATGAGGTCGAAATTCTCGCGAGAAGGGATAATCGCGTGAGCCGCGAGTTCAAGGGACCTAAATCTATCAACAAGTGTAACGACATGAGCATTCCATATTCCGTGCTGAGGCATTGGCTGGCCAAAGTAGTTGACCACTCGGGGTGTGCACAAGCCGGTGAGTTAGATGGCCGAGTAATCATTACGCCAGCATCCAACAAGGGTGCTGACATTTCAGCAATTAACAACTTTCATGCGTGCCATCAAGCAGTTAAAGCCTCACCGGGCAACAATCGTTGATGAAGGGGAGCGCGGTTAGTTGCTCTAGGGATGCAGTAGCATAGCGACTGCATCTTACAAATACTGCAAATTTCTGTGCACGAGTCACCCTTTTCTGCCACTGTCTCTAATGGTGAGTTCAAATATCAATCCGAAACGTCGAGCGAATAAAGCCCTTGTTCCAGAGATCGCTTCTTTCTCCTCTGATCAGAGACAAGGGAGGCTGAAACACCATTTCTGGCAGATGAGCCGTCGTCAGCAAGTCATATGAAATCCCGAAGTGTGAAGCGCCTAGGGCTCGAAGTCGTGACCTGATCCGCACTTCGGTATTGAGTATGACTGACTGACGATGGCTAATAAGACGGAAATTCCCATTCCAGTCTCCCTTGTCTTTGTCGGTAATAACATGCTGCCTATATCATGCACCGCTGTGCGGCTGCCGGTTGTGTTCGAGAGAGAGAGCCCGTAGAGGCACAGCGAAACGAGTAAGTTCCGTAAGAAAGATCGCTGAGCGCCCTTCTACCGATGTCAGTCCACTCGCTGAATGCTTTTTGTTATCGTAAGTTTGTTGGAAGGGGTTTGGTGCTGGCGTTATGGATCGCAGGCGCTTAAAGCCTGCGAAAAGTAGCGATCCGACTGATTTCGTAGATTGCTGTTCTTGTCTTCACGGTTCTTCTCCAGTTTGGGTTGATCCAAGGCGAAGACATCCCAGGTCCCTGGGCAGATTTTTATATACACGAGAGAATTCTTCGAGATGTCCGTGTAGCGTCTCCATGGCCTTAATGACATCGAGCTCCCCGGCGACATGGCTGCAGAAGACTGGATTGGGCAGGTACTCGCCATTCGCCCTCATAAGGTGGTCACTCTAGCACAATTGTGTTTGCCTCAACAGGACGTGGATACTAAGGATTCTAGTTCATTCCGCGACCTCCGTATATGAAATTCTGTCTTTCCATTTCTTTTCAGCGTTATAGGGAGGCAGCTGAGCTGGATATACTTGAGCTTTCTCATTTACTTCTCGTGAACTGCCCGGGTCTTCGCTTCACACAGCAGCGTTTCCAAAATGAAAGTTTTGTACTTTTTCAGTTTGTTAGTGAGATGGAGATCGTAAATACTTAACATGGGGCTTGCAGCAGGACAGAGGTCGGGCTAGCTTTGGGGTTTCGGTGTTCGAATTTATCGCCGGTTTACGAGAGACGTAAATATTCATTTTGAAACTTCCTCAATGGAGATTATGTCAGTGGTTCTCGGTGTCGTCGGCAGCCACATCGGCTCTCTGAAGATGTCCGTAATCCAGATGGTCATTGAGACGATGGATAGGGATTTGAGCTTAGACCTTGCCTGTAATGTTGACCAGCGAAATTGTTCCCTGGTTATCACAGAGTTTGAAGTTTTGTTTCTGCCTGTAGAGGCAGACGATAGAATAGAATTAGAATAAAATGGGTTCATTGAACAACCTCTTGGGCGCTGTCAGTCTCCTTCGAAAACAAGAACATACCTAAATCAAACTCATCCCTTTGAACCGCACTTTGATTTCCTTTATTTTGTGGGTTTTCTTCCTGGATAAAGCGCGAAGTGGAGTTTGCTTAAAGTGAAAAAAAAACTTGCGTTCCAAGACAAAATAAAAATAGAAGTTAGAAAATAGAACGACATATACAATACAGGAATTGAAGCTTGGAGCATGGTAGTTTTTGCGGTCATGAATATGCATCCTTTCTTGGAACTTGAGGAACTTTGACATCGGCCTGATGTTGAAATTATCTTCTGTTTGATCAAATTATGGTTACTGCCAGTTGTCGGTTGTCAGTTTTATTGGTCAGTTGCTTAGGGCTTGTCGTGTCGTTCGTTTGTCTCTCCCAGAAGTTTTATCATAGTTGTCTGGACCAGAAACTGGAAAACATTGCGTCAATTGTTCAGTTCAGTTTATTTGAGAGGATGAAGTTGTGTACCTTTGAAATCCCTACTTGTTACGCGCAGAGGAGATATATGCAAAAGTGGAAAGGAATTAACATAAAAGAAATACAAGACCAAAGTTAAAAGCTATACAGATGAGTCCAGTATATCATGCATTAACAGTGGTTGAAGACACATGAACTCGGTTTAGGGATTACTACAATAGATATTTAAAGCACATTTAAGGTGCGGGAAAAGCAATGTGATTTGTAGTCTACAAGCATCTTGGTGAATGCGAGTAATGGTGCGTCGCGCTTCAGTTATTAACAAATTGCATAGACAGATGTTACTTAAATATTAGTAGTAGCGAACTAACATCATCTTATTGTTGACGCTGGCTTTTGAGGCGACTGGGGGTGAGGCTCGGGACATTAAGGAGTAAAACGAAATCAAAGATACCAAAATGGCATTAAATCAGGTGCCATACGGTTCCTGATAATACGGCATTATAGAAAAATTGGCCGACTGTTTAATATGATCTAATATAGTGTTACATAAGTTTAGTATGATCTCAATGTGGCCGTACGCACAAGTAATATAAAGGAATTTGTCGAAAGACATATGAATATTAGTTGCTAAAGGGCTAATTAGCGTCTCCTAAATTATCTGGCGGAAACAAGTTGGAGAGAATTGAATGGATATTTATGTTTATTGTACGCTTGAAAATGATGCTGCCTATACTTAATTTTATTGTTTTCCAGAGTTATGTTTTCGTGCTATTCGATTGGCTGACATCATCAGAGCACTGTTGGACCAAATTCTATATCAAATAATGGACAGAAAAATTCATATGCTATTCAAAACAAATGCGTATTACTATTTGAGAGGAATTTCATAGTAGCTATTTTAAATTTTGTTAGGGTTCCACATTCTCGATTAAAACTTGGGAGGGCATTACACATATTCATATGCCCTAAGGAGTAAAATTTGACCGTTGGGTCTTTTCGAACGATAGATGATCGGCTGTGTATTTGGGAGTAACAGCAGATGTCAAAAAGTCAATGACGCAGCGAAGACTATGATATGCTGTGGAGGCGCGTTAAGATATGCAATTATTTGAGGATAAATTCGGAGTCTCATCTGGTAAAACACGCGCGCTAAACACACAGCATATACTTAACGCATCGTGAATAATATCCAAAAGCGTAGACCCCACAGTATGTGAACGCACGGGTTATTTTAAACAAAGTTTCGTACAGTATAACAAAGCTCGTAAGTGGACTCCGAAGTATATCTTAGACTCAACTAGGGGGAAGAATGAAATTTGTAATCAAGGTAAAAAGAACAATGGTTGCAAGTGTTGCCAGACCGAAGCACTCATATTCCTTTCCACAATAGTCTGAGTTTTAATCTCTGCAAAACACACCAGTTTTATAAGTGTGCATGCATCTGCATGCTGGTGTAAATCGGTCTGACAAGAGATAATCATCACACCTACACATTTATCATTAGGAAATTCGAAAATAATACGCAGAGGTCAAGAGGGACTGAAAGGGGTGCACTGTCCATTCGGACTTTAAATGTTAAGCGGCAGTAACAAGTTATTTAACAGTCATGTGCATAGCGCAATTTTAATGAGTGGATTGTCTTTGTCCTCTTAAAGCCTTTCTCTCTGTCCCCAAAGGTTTCAACTAAGGGTTATGTTCTACATATTCTTCCATGGCGTTTTTTGGTGCAATGTTTGCCTTCTTCTATGTAATAATCCTAGCAGTTGTTATCTGTTCCGAAATTTGTCCTGTCCCCAACTAGCATTATTCAAAACTGACTCTAGGCGCAAAAGTTTTGGAGCTTTATCTTAATCTGAGCGCTTATTCTAGCCAAAAGATATTGTACTGTTTAAAAGTTTTAAGGATTTGATTATACGGAGGTCCACCGATTACAATATATGAAAACTGAGATTTGTGATATGTCTGAACCCTGACCTTCAATTTGGCAGCATCCCTGGAAAGTCACCGTTTTAAATTCAGTGTGCGGTCACATATCCTTTTCGATGGTGAATGCTGCCGTAGCCTAAATGGGGACCGTGACTGACTATTCAGTTCTGCCTTTGTTGTCATCACCTCATTTCGAGGATTTGTCATCGCGAGTTATCATTCCTTTCGTCCTTGGTATCTATGCAGTCTACTATCTTGTTAGTGCCCGATCGGTAATTGAAGAACATGCCTACTGACCTATTTAGCGCCCAAAGGTGTACGCACGTCCGTCAAAAATGTCATATTTTTTCACAAAGCACATGGAGTCCGTCAGAGAAGTGTACACACCGTTTATTTGGGGCTTTACGGGTCGCATGCAGACGTTACTTCGCCCATTATTCAAGAGGGTTCCAAAGCTAAAGTACGAAGAGTAAGTGCAAGTCTTATCAATGTAACATGCGGCCAGAGAAATGGTTTCCTTTTCAGATGGCGGTGAGGTGAAGTTGTCCTGGTATTCAGACGCGCCAAATGTTGATGAATCCTGTCCAATTGCGATAATTCTACCTGGCCTCACGGGCTGTGCGTGTAGCCATTATATTGCTACAATTGTCCGAAGCATCGCACAGCAAGGATACCGGTTCGTTGATTTACGACAGAACATATTGTTTCAACAGAACCCCAGTGTATATCATCTTCAAACATAGACAAATTATAGTTGAGGCTATAGCCTCAATCTTTACCGATGGGACCTTCGTTCCAAACGTTTACTTCAAATAATTTATTGAGTATCTTTTGTTTTCCTTCAAGATCATTCTCACTTTTCGTAGGTTAAGCCATTAATAGCGACTTTTTGCTACGATCCGACAAATAAAATATTTGAAAACAATCTGCGGCTGGATGTAGAAAGGTCAAGGTGGTTCACCTCTACATTGTGGCTTCTTGTCTGATTGCACAGTCTTCTGCATAATACGGCGTTTCTCTAGCAGAATCTAGGATGACGTTGAATCCCTGGAACACTTTAGTGGGCTTTTAAAAAAGGGGGCGCGGATGGAGGCGAAAAACATTTGGGCAAGGCGCGATTATTTACAGCGTCGCAAAGAGAACACGGGAAGTGAATATGGAGTACAAGCATAAATCATTGGTAAATGCAGCAGCAAAAACTTCTTGACAATCAGAAAAGCCCAGTCATTGGCTAACAGCCCTAAATAGAGCACACAAATAGAAAATAACCATAAAAGGGCGCCCAGCAGATAAGTTTGACCGCAGCAAAGGACGAAGTCCGCCGCACATAAAAAGGGCAAAACCAGCACTTAAACATGAACGTGCTTACTTATACTGACTTACTTTGAGTCTTCCACATTCTAACTCAGCCGTCCTCCGTGGGCGACGCGTCGGCTGCTAGAGTTACGTGGCCCATCCACGATTACCGGGCACCACCTGGTTCCTATCCTTAAACGTGTCCAGCTTCAATCAGGCGTTTTCGATCATGTAAACGAGAAAGTAGTCAGTGTAGCCCATCCCTCAGCCTTGGATATATCGTCTTTCACCGGTTGCCTTCATGGACGCAACATTTAACGCGTTGTAGTAGATTCAAACGCTTCCGAACTATTGTAGGGAGACATGTTCTGATTGGCCATGAGAATGAATTCCTCAGTATCGGACTCTTTTCCTCTTTCCCCACATGCACCCGTACACTGTCCGAGGCAGTAGACTGACTGAAAATTAAAATTGGTGCAGTGACTTGCATAGCACGAAAGTCAACCTACAGTGTACCGTATGCAAGAACGACCGATATAATGACCACGTACAAGCCCTGCGCAGCCTAGTAGACGCGTGCTACGTACCAGTATGACCAGAATATGTACAAATCTGTGCACAAGCCCAGAGGCTAATGCATGCACATGACTGTGTCTAATTGGATACGCTTAGAACGTCAGTCCTTATTAATTTATTCCCTCTTCGACTTTCGCATGAAATTACGACGTTCCTCTAAAACTAACTACGTGAATGTTCCGACGGCCGTCTTGTTCAGAACATGCCATGTATGGATTTTTCCGGTCTAGCGCTTTACCTCGCATGTGACTTATGCGAAATTTAGTAGTGCCCGCTGACAAGGAAAGTGTGACTGCTTTGAAGGAACACGCGAGCCTCTGCGTCATTACTTTTATTTACGATCATTTAAGCTTCGCCAAGATTTGCATGCAGACCGTGTCAACTTGCGGATTCTGGGTCGTTAGGGTCATTGTGCCTGTCAAGCCTTAAAGTGAAGGAGTAACTTTTGTTGCTTTAGACTAACTTTTTTTGCAAAACCTCGCTGCGACGAGGGAGGTATGTGTATCAGATTTATCACCAATATTTGATATGAAACCGTACGAAACCTGTTTACAGGAAGCGGGGGTTCATGGTGATTTTTCACGCGTCCTTAAGTCAGGCAATGAACTTTTGTTGCTTGGTAGCCACCTGTAAATGCTAATTTATTAGTGCCGATGCGCATTTCTACCGCCCCCCGTTTCGCGGCAAGGCCAGCATTTGAGTTGGTCTCACATTCTCAGGTTGAGTGTGGGCGCAATTCTAAATATATCGACAATAGTTAGAAGGTACCTGCACAAATTGGTGAGTGGCAGTTCAGTCTTTTCTTAAAAACCTGGAATGGTTTTTTGCGGAGTCGCAATTTTTCAGATTCCTTTGTTAGTGAATAGCTAGTCATTCAAGTCATTTTAAAGATTAAGGCAAAAATTGACGGATGTTTTTGACATAATGAACAATTTGGTCGACGCAAACAAAACAGCTGCGACCCTATATTGAAGTTTCGCTTATAGTCATAGCTGCCGCATTCGCGCTTGTGATTTACGTAGCTACCTGATGACATATACTGTACTACTTTACCTGTCGGCTACGGAAGTATACTTATTTTTGTCTCCTTTTGCTCGCGAGTTCATTCTTCTATTTTACTGCCTTTAGATGTGTTGTCCTAAATAATCGCGGGACCTGTGAGCAGAAGTTGAAGGTCAGTCTTTTTCATCCTGAGTTCCATCTGTCGACCATAATGTTTTGTCACAGACTAGTAGTCGATTTTGAGCTGAAGTATCGTGTGGTTTAACCTGTCAACCGATTCGAGAACCAAGAATTAATTAGTTAACGTAATCCTAGGCGGCCGTCTTTTGACATCGGCTTATCCTTTGTTTATTCTAATACCTCTGTTTTTGGTTTTTCGGTGAATTGTAGCTGCTGACGGTGTGGCAGCATTGGTAAATATGGCATATAAATGTTTAATTAAGATAAATTCTTCGAGAAGGTAATCAACTCCATTCTGTAAATTGTCGATGCCAGACACCCAGATTGCCCGACAAATGTGCAAACATTTAACTTTTTAAGCGTATCTTACAAAAGACTCTGTTGTCGGCTGTAGTTTGTGCTAATAGGCGGACTCGCTGGTCAACGTGCTTTTAGTCAAACGCCCGAATATTAAGCCACGGGCTCGTCCTGTCGTCTGCCATCCAGGATATTAATTCGCGTGTAAGGGTATTCACCGATCTACTTTCAGCAGGCCACATGCTAATTCACTTGTGGTGTTTGAGTTCCATCTAAATAACCACAGAGTGGGAAGTACTAAGTCGAAAATACCGACGAAAGCCGGGGCGGCCGTGATGGTATTTTCGGCTAACTAATTGCGTTAACCAGTCAGAAACCTACCCTGGATGACCTCTGTTATTCAAACCGTAGGAGAGTAAGTAGCGCACAATCCTTTCATTCTTTTAGTTTGGATAAAGTTCTGAGTATCAACAGCGGTGTACAGATCTGCAGCCGCACCTACTTCGGATAAAGAATAGTGCACTGAATTTTCACCTACTTGCTTACAGAAGGAATTACGAAATCTGCTTGGTTGGTTCTTAGGTCTTCTGTCACATATAGCTCATTGCCTTTTGTGGCAGAGAGCTAAGAGCGATTGCCTTCGTCATCCCCATTCACAGTCTTCTTCCTCCTCTCACTTCCACCACCACCACCACCACCACCACCACCACCACCACCACCGCCACCAGCTGCTGCTGCTACTGTATCGTAGTCATCGCCATAATTACAGTAACTTGCACGACCACCGGACAGAATCTCAATCATTTAAAGTATGCTCCTCGAAGCGCGGTGAGGTAAACCGCCAAACGCTTTGAAAGTAGTGGGAGAGTGACTCAAGGTTGTTGCTATTCCTAGTTTAACATAACTTCAGACGGTCTTTAACGCGAGGAATATGCACGATCGTCAATTTTTCTTGGCAATTACTTTGCTGACCTGATGTGTCTCGACGCTCTCTTTCAGTCCTTTCCAGTTTGAGCACATTATGCATGATTATAGGACAACTTAGCTGGGTAAAACGCAGTACATGGTTGCCGTTTGTGCCAACATGCAGGGGACTTTCCGTATAACACACACAAGGACACACAACACATTTCTCTGCCATCTGATCACGCTACTGGACTCTTATTTTGCCTCCTGCTTAAATAACCGGCTCTTGTATGCCCCAGTCGTCATGGAACTATCAAAGTGTGCAAATAATTTATCAAAGGAATGTTGTAATGCACAACTGAACTCCTTTCCTGCTACGTCTGTAGAAATGTGATTCGCACATAGATAGAACTGCCCACTTACATGGCGAGTATTTTTACTGTGACCGTATAAACGATGGTCAGCAGCTTTTAACCTCACTGTGATTACTAAGCCGCGTCTATGCCGATTTATTGCATAGGGTTAGCTCAAGATCGGCAAGTTGAGATTGATCAGTCTAAACTAAATTGCACGTCACTTAGAATTCTAAATGGGTGCTCTTGGAACAGGCCCTGGCTTTCTGATGTGAGGTGCGGAGGGCCTTTTCAATGTTGTGTCCCCGATAGTTCTCAGGGATGCTATTCCCACTGCTATGGGCGGATGATGGTGCAGTCGTTTGTTCGGCAGACAATCTTCACAGATTGCTGACTCCGACTATCTTCGCATTTTTCTGGCCTTCCTCTTTGTCATTATCAGTGCTAATTATAGGAGACTTTGTGCAAATCTAAATCGAATGACTAACGAGACGGACTTTTGGCATTAGCGAAACTCATGCACCTTACTTGCACCTACTGATCAACGTCGGACAGTCATGCGAACTAATCGGTCTTCCCTCATTCTTGACTCTTAACGCTTTTCCGTTTCCTTGCGAAGAGAGTGTTCTGTTGGTATCCGTGACCGGGCACCTCATATTGCAGACCAGTGCCATTTCGATCGAGATTGCCCAAGAGGCTTTGTATGTTCAGAAATCTCCTGTATATAACACGTTTTTTCTCTGTCTCCCTCTCTTTCATTCTCTCGCCCTCTATCTATCGAATAAGAGACAAGTAAATCATTTTTTTGTCTACGGCACACGACTACCATGACAAATTTCTCGAAGTGCGCCCTCTCCAGACCTTGAACATTTTGGAGACACGAGTCCCATTAAAACGGATTTACCAGTATTTAACGGAACTATGTCTATCACCGGTGCCACAACTTTACCTCTCTGTGGGATAGGAAAAAATGGTGACATTAGGCCTGGTGCGTATTTTATTGGCATTTTTTTCGCACACAGACTCCTCGAACCTACTCGGCTTCTGACACGGAAGACGTCTCCGAGGTCATCTCACTTATTCACAGGCGTTATCCCCGTGCACCGCTCACTGCCGTCGGTATCTCCCTGGGCGCGTAAGTGACCTTTCAATCCCTCTGTTCAGGATGAATTCGTTTCCTTTTAAAAAATTACCTGACGAGCTACACACACACACACAGTCTTGTTCAGAGTCGAGTAATTGCAAGATGTACGGCTTCATGGGATTTCCATATTCTCGGGACGTAGTTACAGGATCTTCTACTGGGTGCTGCGGTCGGTGCGAACCCCTCCCTCCGTCTGGAACTGCAACTAAAGTCCGCTCTAGTATAAAACGAACGTTCTTGTCAGTCCACTGTTTGGAGCGTGGGCTTCTCGAAAATACGCTGCCTTGTGTGGGTTTGTGCCACGTGAATTCCACCATCACATTGGGATGTTTCTTTTATTCACGATGTGTTGGTACGTACTGGTTCCATCCTTGCTTTCTCGGTGGCGGCTCCAGTGCAGCTTCTGTCGAAGCTCATTTCCTATTCCCTGGACTTGTATCGCCGATCTGTCCCTCACACTTCATTCCTTCAAAGATCAGCGGAAAAGTCTTCCGAAGGAATTGATTTTGCTGACAGGAGGATTTTCCTTTCCTCATTTGGGTGAAGCAGATGGGAGAGATTCTAGAACTAAATTCTTCACAACCATCTATAGTTAGAATTACGTCTTTCCTTGTTTACATGCTTACAGCAAGACGTCGAAAATGTTCGCATGAGACCTTTTCGTGGTTAGATTTTGTCGACCGGAAGACTTCCGCATTGGATGACGTTTTCCAGCCCTTCTCTTCACGACTGCGAATGTCTCGTCCAATTGGCGAAGTCGAACCTTCGCCTCGACATTTTCCCCTCACCACTGCGGCATTAGTTCAACAAAGAGCCGTCATGCTTCCATGCATGTGGGGATCAAGGAGAGTTTGGATTTGCACTGGTCTGCAGTCTGATAGACTATGCTGTTATTTTTTTAACTAGTTGTCTTATGGATGCATCTTTCGAAACTCTTTTGATACACAAATTATTATTATGTCACCAATGAAACAAGACCATCGCATAACGTCATAAAAGAGTTAAACTTCTTGTTGCCAAGCCGTCAGCAATCTGGTTTGTTTTGATATTTCGCGATTTCGTTGAACACGACGTTCGCAAACCAGTACCGTTGCTGTCACTACGGTGAATTATGCAATGTTTGTATATTACTGGTGGCCTATTGGCAGTTGGTAAATTTTACGAGGTTATCCCACTGCAGCTGATGGATTTCGGCCCAAATATTCCTATTAAGCTTCACCCGACCTACCCCACATTAACGCGTTAATTTCTGAAGAAATTGAAAAAGCTAAAATTTCGAAACTGACGTACCTACCAGTCAACCCACGACGAAGGCTGGGAACCCTAGTGATTAGCCGAACCCTTTGCAGCTGTTTCACTCAGCGGCAGAATATCGATGAAACAGTCGTGTCTGAGCTGTCAGTATGGTAACTCATGCAGCACATAGAAAGTAGTCTATAGGAGCTCCAACATTTGAGGCTACTAGTCAAGGGTTAACAACTAAGACTTGAAAGTTTTCTGTAGACCATCCTCAATGGCTTGTCAGTAGCGTCGTAGGCCTATTTTCTTGCCCCCTCCCTTGTTTTTTGCGTTTTTCTTGCCCTTGTTTCTCTTTTCCAATTTTCCCTTCTCGCTTTCTTCCCCTTCTTCCACATCTCCCCCTTACGCCGTCTTGCCAACTGGTAATTATATGTTTCCACCTTTTAAGCGTATGAATATCCTTGCTCGTGCGCAGCTTCGCGTCGTGGGTGTAAGAGCCACACTAACCGCTACACGGTGAATGTCTGCGTTTGACTCCTAACCCATAAGTGTTGCTTTGGTAGGCGGCGCTCACCAATCCTTCTTACGGAACACACTCGTTCCGTTGTGGCTTACGGGCCCTCCCTCGAGCCCAACCAGCAGCCGCACAGCGGCGCATCATATAGGCAGTATGTTATTACCGACAAAGACAAGGGAGACTGTAATGGCCATGTCTGAGCCACGAGCCCGTTGCCCTCTCGATTTCGATCGGGAATATACAATGGTAGCGGACGCTCACCGATCCTTCTTACGGAACTCACTCGTTCCGTATTGTTTTGTCTATCCATCCACGTTACTAACTGGTACTTATTAGTCGGTCGTCAGCCAGCCATTACCCAACCCCGAAGTGTGGAACACCCGAGGCTCGAACTCGCGATCCGTTAGTTAGAAGTTCACGCCTCTAACTACTGGGCCACGAGCCCGTCGCCCTGTCGGTTTCGATCGGGAATATACAATGGTAGGGACGCTCACCGATCGTTCTTACGGAACTGACTCGCTCCGTATTGTTTTATCGATCCATCTATGTTAATAACTTATACTTTGCCTGATTACATCTAGACTCATTCTCTTCAACTACATCTCCTCCTTCGGTGAAGAGGCGCTCTCGGAGGCCAACGACTTGAAGCTGGCCCCAAAGATGGAAAACGGCGACAAGAAGTGTCCCCTCCAGGCTGGAATGTGCATTTCAATGCTATGGAAGCTGGGCGAGTCGTCACGGAGTCTGGAAAGACCTCTGGACTGGTTGCTCTTCAATCGCCCGCTCACATCACTCCTCTGCAGGATTGTTCACAGGAACGCTGACGTGCTGTCGGACAAATTTGATGTTCCCCGAATTCTCCGCGTAAGCCCACGTAATTCTCTCCCTCTGAAGTCTTCTGTTTGCAAGTTACAAGTAACCATCGGCGGCGACTCACTATATTTAAAAGTAAGCCAGACTCTCTGTACGTTCACATGGTTTCGAGGCACAAGGTGTTCACGCCACTCACTGATCGCGGTTAATTACAATATCCCTTTTCGGTTTGAAACATTGAAGCACGCTTCGTGCGTTACTTGTAAGGGAATGACATTCTTATACCTCGTATATTTCTAAATCGACATTCTTACTCATTGCACGCCATCGACTATCCGAGCTGATTTTCCAAACTTGTTGCATGCTTAACAGTCAAATCGGGAAGGTGGGAGATGAGTATTGAGTAAAGGAGCGCTCGTGCCTTTATGGACCATAAAACTCTTGCATTTGTCTTTCTTGAAGGCGTACACGCTCACTTTAAGCACTACCCAATACACGCAGGCCGAACCGAGCGAGCATGCTCTGCTCTACAATCGAACAGGGGAAACCTCATCTTCAGTTTACTTTACGTGTCCGATCGCAACCAACAGGGCAGTCAACCGATGGCTCAACATCACGGCATTTGACTTTAATGCCCAATAACCGAAAAACCCGTGTTCGAACTTCATGATATTTCAACCTGAATGGAAGTGACTTACAGGGGGCAAATAAGACGCAGACGCTTGTTTCAGTATTTCTCGGAATTTTTGCTGCGTTGACTCCTTGATCTGCGGCTCCGTTGGCCATGAAAAGGCGCTGAAGACGTTTAGTTATGATACCGAAGGCCCCCCTGCCACGAGCTGAGACAACAACTGTCATCTACCGGGTCCAATGCAGCTCTTGTGAAGCCAACTACATCGGAGAGACAGGCAAACGGCTAAAAACTCGTGTTAACGAACTAAATAAACGCCCGGACATGTGTTTCGCCGATGTTCTGTCCTTGCGTGACATAACTTCGGAAGATTCGGCTCTTCAGTGGGTCCTCCAGCGTCCTCTATGTGGTGAAGTCCGGTGACAGAACTGTCAAAAATTTGGCGAGTGCGTTCTTATATTGACGGCGTCCTTGAGGCGGTATCTCGTCTTCTAACACCACTGGGGATCGTCATCGCCATCGGCCAGAGTCAAAAATTCGACATCTAGTCATGAGACCTACGACCCCCTGCCATGCGGTGAAACAACAAACGCCATCTATCGGATCCAATGCAGCTCCTGCGGACTGAGCTATATTTGAGAGACCGGCAAACAACTGCAGATCCGTGTTGGAGAACACATGCTGGCAGCAAGGAGGATGGACACGTTGTCTCTGGTGGCAGAACACTGCGCAAACTCTGGACGCACGTTCGCCCACCAGTATGCCGAAATCCTGGGCCGAGAAAATGACCGCATAGCCAAGAAAACAATCGAGGCCTGATGCATCGGCGCGAGCTCCATCAACCACTGTATAGCGCTTTCCGAAGCCTACCGGGTCCTCCGGGCGCAGCTTAGTGAAAGAAATGGCAAACGCGAGCTACGAAAAGACAGGAATCCAAAGACGGCCTGATCCATGGGGGACACACAAGCAGCTGAAGAAGTTGCAAACGTCACTTCAGCCGCGTCATCCACTAGTCCGGCAGGTGAGAAAACGGACGGTCGCGGTAACGCAAACGGACCCGGCGACGGTGTTATCGTCACTGTCACTTATCCGACAGGTGAGAACACAGACGGTCGCGGGGTCGCAAAAAATTGCCAGCCTAGATCGAGAACTAAGATCAGTGCTGACAAGTGCGATGACGGCTAGCGTCCGAACTCCGACCCCTCACGAGAGGTTAACCCGTTGTAACAAACTCGTCAGCACCTATAAATACTATGAGGCACAGCAGAACACTCACCTTCTACGATGAAGGGTTGTTTGGTTTTGAAACGTCAGGGCAATATAATGATGGTTCCCGAGATCGCCTCTTCTTCTCATTTATGCGTGTCTTCGCTTCTCTCAGCGCTATATACAGTGCGTGACCGATCTCATGAAATGTTGGCCGAAATTCTGAAATTCGTTTTCTATTAGGAAGGATTATTTAGGCGGGGTTTTAATATTGATTAGCATGCAGCATAATCCTATAGCATTTCGGACTCGGCAGGATGTTGGCTTTTGTATGCACTCCTTCTTGACCTCCTGCAGACACCGTACTCGGTCAAAAATGGACATGCATTTTTCGTATAGATTTTCGATGAACCTATAAGTTCACATATATTTTACAGAAAACGTGCACAAGAATGGCTTTCTTTTACTCATTTGGTAGAAAACAACATTGTCTTTGCATTTAATGCACGAAGAAAGTGTATATTTAGGTTTTGAAAACGTTTCCCAGTTCCTGAATAATTTTGAACCCGATCTGCCAGTGCATTAGAGTTTGGCGATCACTTATATGTATATGTAATGCTGCAAATACATTGACCGACTGGGTTGGTGGATCTGCGGGCCCAGAAAATCATCTGACTAATCTCAGTAGTAAGTTTGATGCGGCCTTTATTAAAGTTGACTGGTGTATTACTCGTCTGCTGGGAGGACGTTTTACTCTTAAGTGAAGCTCAATCTATCAAGTGGACGGCCACATTTAGTATTACCCAGTGGATAATTTCAGCGTCTGAGCAGTCCGAGAGGTCACGCGCGCAAAATAATCGGTCTGTCACTGATGGGGGAGGCATCGCGTGTCATGACGATGAAATGCTGCTACAATTCGGTGCTGATGATTTATTGTCCTGAGTGACCTTTCTTCTGACTTCCCACTAGCGCCTACTGTGTTGATTTTCGGTGGAGGACGAAAGTGGTTTAAGTGAAGCTGGGCACCAAAACTATAATTTATGGCAGTGCGTGGGATGCTTTTTCAACATGACCCAGAGCAAACGGCCAAATGTTTGTCCCCAATTCCTCACTGACTTGTGTCCCTGCACGGATCAATAGCTACTGGATAAAATTGCCAAGACTTATTGTGTGCTAACTGCCACTGCTTCACTCTTAGTTATTTAGGACCACCACCGCTGCAAGGGAAGGACTGGAAATTGGACTGATCAGATTTATTACGTACACATCTACGCGTGCCACATACGTGCTAGCCACCGTGAATGTGCGCTCCACTCTAATGTCTCGCACCTTACAATTACCATAGCGTCTTTAGGGCCACATTAGGCGAGAGCCATTACGACCCAATCCTCCCGTCAGTTTGCAACCTCCCGAACCGCAATTTTGTTGTGTAGGTGTGGCCTGAAAGCGCCTTGGATTTTTTATGACAAAGTATGCTTTGCATCGGCGCACTGGCAAAATCAGGCGCAGTTGTGTTGGACCGACAGAAAGTTCCAGTCTGCAACCTTACACCCGCAACACGGCTGGCCTCTATTTATTGCACGGACCGGAATGTGCCCGACTTGGCGGGGTGAGGGTAGTCTCGCGGGCTGCAGCCAAACTTCCTTATCATCATTGCCACACTATATGCATCACTCCCTAATAAGGAGGCTAATAGACGCTTGGATCGGCGCCATCGTCCTGACTGCCACTGCCGATTGTATCGTTTTTTTTTCAGATTTCGACTGTTTGCGCGCTCCCTCTTTGCTGACACCCTATACCGAAGCCGGGGCGCGCGCATGAATGCCTAATTTATCCCACAGGAATTCTTAACTCTTTCATCTCTCTCTCTCTCGCCTCTGCCAACCTTTCGGCCCCGAACAGGGCGCTTTTTGCAGGCGAAGTATCGCTGTGCGGGCACGTATTCTGCATGTTCGCTTTTGACAAAAGTCTAACTTCCAGGCCTTACGATGCTCTGGAGAAGTGCAGGGGGAGGAAAAGTAGGATGGAATTAGTACAACTGGTTTCGTAAAATGTTACTACCAACGGATAGCTAGAATACTCTACCAGCGACAGGATTATCAGTTTTTACCCCATTATCTGTAACTTTTAAGTGTCCCAGAAAGTGGAATCGTCGTGAACAGGCGCCTCTCCTGTCAACCCAGTCACCTTTTTGTCCCGTGCATTCACGAATGCGAGGTAAGAGAACGTTCTTGCCGGGTGGTGGTTAGATGACTGCAGTCTGAGTATAAAAAGATTACTCTGCCTATTGCAGCGACGACTACCCCCAAAGGGGAGGGGACACAGTGTGCCGGTGACAAGTAGTAGGTAAAGAAGACGATCACGCAAATCAGATGGCAGATTTAACGCATCAGTAAATGAAATCCCAGTTTCCACCATGGTTGCTAGTTAGATTACAATTTCTTGATGGGGCTTTTACAATTACAGCTTCTTTTGTTCGCCTGCATAGACTAGCGGCGGGGTGAGGAAGATCGTATGATAGGACTCACGTGATGTATCAGAGTATCTTTTGCATGTAACGCCTTGAGCGCATCTCTCTTTTGGCGTCCGTGCTAGAGCTGATCACAAGCCGAACCCTATGTGTGTGTCTGTGATCGTACGGCTTCTAACATCATCACGGTCCGTGCTGCAGTAGTCTTTGTTTGCTTGATGTTATCTTGAATCCGTCTTGTTGTTCTGCCTGAAAAACCTCTGTCAACTCAGGTGGTTGAATGAGTCGAGCATGTGCGAGTCCGTAAGCCACCTCGCATCAAGATCTATACCTCACCGGGGTCAACCTCGTGACACGCTTGGTCGTGCCAGTTTTCGCCCTGATTGCTGTGAGCATATTCCGGCTGCTTGAGTCATAGGCGGAGCCTTGCCACTACGAGTTACAGGCCCGGTTCCGAATAGAAAATTGAGAATTTTGACGCCAGTGGGGAGTGGGAGAGAGTATTTTATTCTGTGCAGAATTATTGGATAATGAGTTGAAGGAAGATGACAGCCGGACTAGGGGATACGCTCGACGCTGCGAGGGAAGATGATCCGAGTGTCTGTGAGGAAGGCGTCAGAGGGCCTTGAAATTGATTGACTGTTTTATGATAGCTGTGATTGGCCGAGAACCAGGGACTCGGACCAGGTCGTCTAAAAGTGCGTATCTGAATATCTCAAAAATGACTTATGTGAATGACGGGTTTGACTAAAAATCAGAGTCGCGGATCGCACCTACCACAACACACCCAAAGAGACACAACCGAAACATGGACAGGTGGGCGTACCGAAGGCGCAGCAAAACAAAAAGGAGTGCAGTAGGAGGAAATCCAGGAGACCGAAAGATATGGCAAACTAAGGCGCCACAACAGAAGAACTCGCGAGAAAACAGCAAAGCCAAGGGTAGGAAAAAGGAGAAAATGCAGTGGCGGTAGGCAGGCAAATAGTAATAGGAAACAGAAGTGATTCAAACGGGGGTAGAAGGCAAAACGGACCTCCTTGACTTAGGAATCAGCACAGCAGACCGTCTGTGTGTTGCGCGGACGTACTTTCACGCCTTCCCGCCACAACCAGCCGGGCAGTCGAACCTCACGACACGGCCGTTAACGCTATTATCGTTTCCGAACCCACTCGCACGCTCGCCCCTTCATCACACACTTCGATAAGCTTAAACCCTACCGAGGTCGCCTGCTAACCTGCTGCCCTGACTATTTACCCATCCTTCCTGCCAGCCAGGTCCCCCTGGTTGCCATTGTGGTCACCGTCCCCTCACCTATCGTCGATCTCAACACTAAAGACATTGCTCCACCTTGGGGGGGGGGGGGGCAATGTAGACAATAGACAGAAAAAGGTTATGAGGCGAGCACTGTGAAACACCGTCCTCAACCGCCCCTTCGTTGACTGCTGGCCACCGACATGAACGGCCGACAAAGCGGCCCCATCCTATCTCAGGGCGCCTTCGGTACGCCTACCTGTTCATGGTTCGGTTGTGTCTCTGGGTCATTGTGGTGCGTGTGATCCGCGACTCTGATTTTTAGTCAAACCCGTGAATGACACATCGACGCCTTGGACCCATGAGATCTACAGTCCCGACGCCTTCATAATTTATTTGTTTCTGAATCTCGACAGCTGGATTAATTCTTTATGAAACCCTAAAATGCAAATGACGAGACGGCGACCTGGCATCTGGCTAATGATTACTGCGGTATTTGCCTACTGGCCGGCTGCAGGAGTGTAGCTGCCGAGTAATAAACTTTCAGAGAGCAAGGGTATGATTTGTGGCCGGGCCATTTTCTCCGGGAGCATTTCTGTTGACCAGAAGAGCTGAGCAGCTAATACCTTTGTGTGATCACAAATTTCGAATTTCCATATCGTCACCAATTAAAAGGGGACGCTATAATCACTATTTAACAATAATAGTAAATGAATTTAACGCCCCTTTACAGGCATTGTTTAAAAGATACTGCACTGTCGTGTGTTTGCTCTGATGACTGCCTTAAAGCATCTTGACTACTCGCGCGCAACAGCCACTGCGCGGTCCTCTCATTTCTGCCTCTGGCACGTACAAATAAATATCGCCAGTTATTTTCTAATGGCGCAATTTCTTCCACGAGTAAATAACCCCAACCCTAAACCATCCACTTGCCCTTTCAGATTTTTGAGCCTTTGTGGTTGACTTTCATTTATCTCCCCGCGGCCGACCTGCAATTCACAAATTGACTGATTAGATTGTCTTAAACATACAGTCACTTATGCTTCGTCGTAAGATGGAAACAAACGCCCAGTAGATCAGGCACTAATCTATACATTTAAGATACCCAGCTGACTGAATCTTAAGCCCGAATGACCATTACAGCCCACACCTTGCCCCCTACTCCTTTTTCATTACAGATCAACCATGAGACCCGGGAGGGGGGGGGCTGTGCCTAATCCCCGAAAGGCAGCTACTCCCTGCCGCGAAAGCACTACCTTTTCGCAGTCGTTTAATTCTTCCGAAATTGCCAGCGATGCGTCATATGGTGCTGGAAACAAATTGTCTGCGCGGGGGGTTTCTGAGGCCTCTTTCTCACTCCCCCAGTAGGCATGGGGATTTAGTGTCAAGATATTCCCTGATCGCGAGCCTCCTTTTTCACATTTTCCCGGTGGCAAAGAGGGGCCGATCTTAAATGACCTATTCATAGAAGTATTTAATTACCTTAGAAAAAATTAGTTCGCTCGCATTTGCACCGCGATTGTTTAGACTGAGTTTTAAAAACTTTTCTATCTCTGTTTTTCTCCATTCCAACTCGTACAATTGGCACTGCTGTCTGATTTCTGCATCACACAGAGCCGATCTGTCCGTGAATTTGACGAGAATCTTACCGTCGATATGTTTGGATATTCTTCGGTGGAAGAATACTACAATCAGGCGTCACCGGCTATCAAACTGGATACCGTCAAAGTACCTCTCCTCTGCTTCGTGGCGGCTGATGACCCTTTCGTTCCACTAAGCAGTAAGTATCAGTTAGGAGTTTTTGACAGATCACAAGAAGTCTAAAGATGCACTGAGTTTAGAGGAGAGAGGGTGTCGGACAGTTGTCTGTGTGATACGTCCTGGTCACTTTTCCTACTGCATTATTGCCACTACTTTAGGTGGCCTAACTCATGAAATGTCAAGCGAAATTTCGAAATGCGTTCTCGTTTCGAAAAGGTTAATTATGTAGGGTTGTAAACCTAATCATCATGCAGCATAATGCTATACTGATCCAGTTACCTCAGGGTGTCGGCTTTCGAAAGAACTTATTTTCGGCTGCATGCAAGATCTATGCTCTGCAAAAATGACTACGTAAGTAGCGCGCAATTTTCCCATTGCTTTTCGATGCCCTTGAAAATTCAATTACATGGAAACCATGCATAAAAATATTCATTTTTTCAGTTATTCCGTAGAAAATCACGATTCCTTCCAATTTTATACTCGAAAGGAGAGTATAATCCGGTTTTAAAAAAACGGTTCTAATTCCCGAATAATTTTGACCCAGATCTGCTGCTACACGTGCATTCAGGGTTTCAAAACTACGGGCCGTATCTTTTTCGCGTACGGGAAACCGTACATTTCTCTACGGAATTAAGAGGAGACCATGTGGGGCTCATACAATTAAGCAGTGGAATTGAGCCATATTGTTAGCCTTACAAGCCAAATTGGTAAATGCAGAGACATGATGTTCTATGAACTGCCATTTTACGGTTTTGAAGAATCTGACGATTAGAAACTTTTTGAAAACTGAATTATACCCTACCTTCGAGCATAAAATTGGAAAGAGACGTAATTTTCTATCGAATGACCGAAAGGATGAATATTCTTGTGCATTGTTTCCTGAAATATAATTGAATTTTCAAGGACATCGAAAACCAGTCAGAAAATTGAATGCTATTTAAGCAGTCATTTTTGCAAAGTATAATTCTTGCATACAGTCGGAAATAAGTTCGTTCTAAAGAAGGCACCCGGAGTTAACAGGATCATTCTAGAATTATGCTGTATGATGATTAGTTTTACAACCCTACTTAATTAATCTTTTCGAAACGAGAGTGCATTTCGAAATTTCGGCTGACATTTCATGAGTACGCCCACCTACTGTATGTCTGATAACTCTATACTTTAGCAAATTACTCAGTCTCTTGTGTGTTTTGGCCCCAAATTCCAACCCTTAACATGCGAGCCGAATTTGGCATCCGCACTTCTTAGTGTAGCATGCCTGTTTTCCACCCAGACGCATTTTTGGACACAGTGGTACTTCACCCTAGTGCAGGGCTCTCTTATTGCTTTCTGATACAATTCGGACTCCGTGCGGCTGCCCGTCTTAGTGAGTTTATGAGTAAAAGTAGTCAGTCACCTTTGGTTTGCATCACGTGTCGGTCCTTGCAAACAGCTGACTCTTACTCGTGCTCATTACATATCTGTAGTTGCTGACCTAGCTGCCGAAAAGCATGCAGGATTGTCATTGGTCAGGTTAATCGCGTATGCGATAATCTTTGCAGCACTTTTGGACCGCCAAATTACAGTGAGTGACCGATCTCATGAAATGGTGGCTGAAATACTGAAATGCGTTTTCGATTAGGATGGATTACTTAGTCGCGGTTGTAATACTGATTATTTTAAGACATACTCTTATAACATTTCGGACTTGGCAGGATGTCAGCTTTTAAATGCACTCCTTTCCAATCTCCTGTAGAAAGCGTGCTCGGTAAAAAAAATGACTACTTAAGTAGCATGCATTTTTCCCATTGATTTTCGATGGTGTTGCAAGTTCAAATATATTTTATAGAAACCATAAACAAAAATGTGCTTTCTTTTAGTCAGTCAGTAGAGAATCACGTCTTCTTTATATTTTCTACTTAAGGAAGGAGTATAATTAGGTTTTTAAAAAGTTTTCTAATTGCCGAATAATTTGGAGCCTGATCATTCGTTGCATTAGCGCTTAGTGATTTCACTCTATAAGGTGCATGCGTTCCACGTAAGGAAAGTCACATATTTTTCTGTGCCATTAAAGAGATATCATACAGAGTCCATAAAATTTTGCAATGGATGCGGACCATGTTAAACATTTCATGAGGAGCGGCGGTAAACGGCCAGGTACGATGCTATGTGAATGGACATTTCGCGGTCTTAAAAATTCTAATAATTATGAGCTTTTTAAAAACCTAATTATACTCCTTCCTTAAGTATCAAATATAAAGAAGACGTGATTCTCTACTGATTGACTAAAAGAAAGCATACTTTTGCGTGGTTTTTATAAGATTTATCAGAATTTGCAAGACCATCGAAAATCAATGGGAAAAAGGCATGCTACTTAAGTTGTCATTTTTTACCGAGTACGGTTTCTACAGGAGATTGAAAAGCAGTGTATTCAAAAGCCGACATCCTGCCGAGTCCGAAATGTCATACGATTATGCTGCAAGATGATCAGTATTACAACCGCGACCAAGTAATCCTTCCTAACCAAAAACGCATTTCAAAATTTCAGCCAACATTTCATGAGCTAGGTCACTCGCTGTATCTTCAAGATCAACGTAGATCCGTTGTTTTGTCAGCTCTTAGGTAACTGTAGTCAAGAGTGATTGGATTCTGCTCATTCTAAATTCTCCGGCCCAGACATTTGATTCGTGCACCTTCACTGACCGAGCACGAACACGGGAGTTCCAAGTCAAAATGAGCATCCATCTCCCAGGTGAGCAATTATCTGGAGCCCCAACACATTCTTGCCGCATCCGCCTTAATTGTTAAGCACATTCATCCACCGCATGGCCTATTCGGTTACGTGCGTATCCATGACAGCAGAATACGCTGAAGTATCGATCTGCCTAGCACACCTTGCACATCCACCATCCCCAGCCCAGTCATTTCCCCATCGCCCTGCGCGCCCACCGCGAACAACGGCCGTATTACCACCACCGAAACCGAGTCTGCGGCACCGGACCTATCCTGTCCACGCTGTCACCGCACATTCACCCCACGTATCAGCCTGGCCGGTCACTTGCGAATCCATCGCATGGCAAACCAGTGTCTGGAACACCGACATACACCAGACGCCATCGCCTCAACTACCCTACTTGATCTCGCACATTCAGTCGCCGCACGGACCTGACTCGCGCCATGCGCATTCTGGACTGTGTCTTGACGCCGGGCCCAGATGGGGGAGGGGGAAGGGGGTGCGATTGATGCTGCGTAAGCCTGCTGTAGCTGTAAAATAAATCACGCGCATCAGATATGTTCTCACCCTGCTGTGGAGCAGAGGGTGGGCGTTGAAATCGATGGTCAAACTGCCCTATCCCAATATGCATATGCGCATACAGTAGGTGGGCTAGCTCATGAAATGTCAACCGAAATTCTGAAGCGCGTTTTCGTTTAGAAATGATTAATTAGGTAGGGTTGTAAAAGTAATCAGCCTGTAGTATAATTCTACAATACTTCAGTTACCTCAGGATGCCGGCTTTCGAATGAACTTCGTTCCGGCTGCATGTGAAAGCTGCACTTTGGAAAAAATGATTCCTTAAGTAGGATGAACTTGTATCATTGATTTTCGATGCCCCTAGTCTAATTGTATTTCATGCGAACCATGCATAAAAATATTCATCATTTGGCTCATTCGGTAGATAATTACGTCTTCTTCTAATCTTATACGCGAAGGAAGGGCATAATTTGGTTTTCAAAAAAATTTCCAATTCCCGAATAATTTTGAACCCGCTTTACCGTTACACTTGGATTCAGGGTTTAGAAACTACAAGACGTATATTTTCCGCGTACGGAAAATCACACATTTCTTTACGGTTATAAAGAAGGGTCATATAGGGTTCATAAAATTAAGCGGTGGATTTATCCATATTGTCAACTGTACAAGCCACATTGGTAAATGCAGAGATATGACGATTTATGAACGGCCATTTCACGGTATTTAAAAGTCCTACAATTAGAAACTTTGTTTAAGACCAAAATATGCCCTTCCTTCGCGTATAAGATTAGAAGAAGACGTAATTATCTACCGAATGAGCCAAATGATGAATATTTTTATGCATGGTTCGCATGAAATACAATTAGACTAGGGGCATCGAAAATCAATGATACAAGTTCATCCTACTTAAGTAATCATTTTTTCCAAAGTGCAGCTTTCACATGCAGCCGGAACGAAGTTCATTCGAAAGCCGGCATCCTGAGGTAACTGAAGTATTGTAGAATTATACTACAGGCTGATTACTTTTACAACCCTACCTAATTAATCATTTCTAAACGAAAACGCGCTTCAGAATTTCGGTTGACATTTCATGAGCTAGCCCACCTACTGTATGCGCATATGCATATTGGGATAGGGCAGTTTGGCCATCGATTTCAACGCCCACCCTCTGCTCCACAGCAGGGTGAGAACATATCTGATGCGCGTGATTTATTTTACAGCTACAGCAGGCTTACGCAGCATCAATCGCACCCCCTTCCCCCTCCCCCATCTGGGCCCGGCGTCAAGACACAGTCGAGAATGCGCATGGCGCGAGTCAGGTCCGTGCGGCGACTGAATGTGCGAGATCAAGTAGGGTAGTTAAGGCGATGGCGTCTGGTGTATGTCGGTGTTCCAGACACTGGTTTGCCATGCGATGGATTCGCAAGTGACTGACCAGGCTGATACGTGGGGTGAATGTGCGGTGACAGCGTGGACAGGATAGGTCCGGTGCCGCAGACTCGGTTTAGGTGGTGATAATACTGCCGTTGTTCGAGGTGGGCGCGCAGGGCGATGGGGAAAGGACTGGGCTGGGGATGGTGGATGTGCAAGGTGTACTACTAGGTGAATCGATATTGCGGCGTATTCCGCTGTCATGGCTACGCACGTAACCGAATAGGCCCATGCGGTGGATAAATGTGCTAAACAATTAACCGACAGGGCAACGGGCTCGTGGCCCGGTGGGTAGAGGCGTGGACTTCTGAACCAACATGTCGCGAGTTCGAGGCTCGGGTGTTCCACACTTCGGGCTTGGGTATGCCTGGCTGACGACGGCTAATAAGCCAGAAATGGCCATTCCAGTCTCACTTGTCGTTGTCGATAATATCATTCTGCCTATATATCATGCGCCGCTGTGCGGCTGCTGGTTGGGCTCGAGAGAGAGAGAGCCCTTAAGGCACAACGGAACGAGTGAGTGCCTTGGGGCTCCATCTCTCGGTCTAGCAGCCGTATAGCGGCTCGTTGTGATCGGGCATGGTCGAAGGACGCTCACCAATCAGACTGCGGGCGGCTCTCGTCCCGTTTTTTTCCGCGGGGCTCAATCTAGAGCAATCGCAGGTAGTCGCATAACGACTAGTACTATATGCTGAGATAGGGTGCCGACACTTTATAACGAACTTGAGATTCCGTGTTGTAAACTGACAACTGTACCCGACACCTCCTCTAGACGCCATGCTTTTTCAATGTCCCACCTGCAGCTTAACCTTCAGTTGTCTCATCTCCGCGTTATCTTATCCCCAATAGGCATCCCACTGGACGCTATCGGGAAGAGTAGCCACGTCATGCTAGTTCTCACCAAACACGGTGGACACATTGGTTTCCTCGACAGCCTGCTGCCTACGGGCCCGAATCTGATGGACCGTGCAGCTGCCCAGTTTTGTTCCGCTGTCTTCGAGAACCTAGAGGAACTGTCGGTGGCAGCGCGTGATCAGACGGTAGCAGATGAACCGCAGACCGTCAACTAATCTGCCTGGTTGGCATCGCCGGTTTCCCTCGTGGGCCGCCGCGTGCTGTGAACATATCACCATCATAATCACCCCTACTCTTCTGTCTGTTGATGCAACTAGGCTGCCTTTAGTTGACCTCGTGCTCTAGTTCTTCCGCAAGCCTTCATTTCGGGGGTTTTCTGGAGGCATCAACGAGAACAGCCACGGAAGCCGGCCGGGCTTGCTTAGCTCCAGCCTCACTCCCCGCCTGCGCCTTTCTTGGCCTTCATTTTGCGCCTAACTATTTATTTTTTTTCCTCTAGAATCTGACTTACACGTTCGCGCACCGAGACGACCGTCCGTCTTATTTTACTTGAGGAGATTTAATTTAATCCTCAGTTCGTACAATCGCACTCATTTCATATTTTTTGCCTTTGGTTGCAGTTGTTGTGGCCCGAAAGATTGAAAAAACCGAAGCATGTGGGTGCACGTAGGGAAGCTTCGCCATGTAACTGACATTCTCGCTCTCTGTAGCTGTTCCTGATAATGAACTGGTGCGAGTATCTGAGACGTCAGCCAAATAAAAATACGTGCTCCAGCGTTCGCATCTCATTATTCGCCACTGCTTGCAGGGATAAACTGAAACTGTTCTACACCATATGTGCTATCTCATGAAATGTCGGCCAAAATCCTAACATGCGTTCTCGACTCTAGCATTATTTAAGATCATTGTTTATTTATTTATTATCCACTTATTATCATTATTTATCATGCATTTAAGATTATTTGCCGTGCCGAATAATCCAGAAATAGTTCAGTCACGTCAGGATGCCGGCTTTCGAACACACTTCTTGGCTGGCCGTCTACAAAGAGTACACTGTAAAGAACGCCTACTTAAACATTACGAATGTTCACACTGATTATCGATACCCCCATAAATTTAAATCCATTCTGTCAAAAGCATGCACAATAATATTCGTTCTCTTACTCATTCGGCAGCGGACTACATCTTCTTTAAAGGTTGTACTTGAAGAAAGAAAATGTTCTGGATTTCAAAAAGTGTTCTGTTATGACATTTTTAAGTTTGCTGCGTGCCCCTTCATAAAGCGTCATCTCTCCACATTTATTAATGTTGCTTACAAGGCCTACAATATGGCTCGAATCTATTGCAAAATTTAACGAATCTCATATGCTATCTTCCCAGGAACGTTTAGCAGTTTATGATTTCCCCTACACGGAAAGTATACAACATGTGGTTTCGAAACCCTGAATGTAAGTATGACGGCAAATAGGGTTCAATTCGTTTAGTGATTGAAAAGATTTTCAAAAGCAACTTATACTGCCTCTTCAAGTATTAAATGTAAAGGAGACGTAATTTTCCACCAAGCGAGTTGAGAAACGAATATTTTTGTGAATGTCTTTTATAAAGTGTACTTGGATTTTTAGGGGCATCGAATATCTATGAGAAGTATTCATACTGCCTAAGTAATCTTCTTTTACAGATCGTTATCTTTGCAGACGGCACGATAGGAAATGCCTTGTAAAACCGGCGTACTGAAGTATCTGAAATATCTTAATATAATGCAGCACGGCAAATAATATTACAACCCTACTTAAATTATCTTTTGAGTCGAAAATATATTTCAGAATTTTGGCCAACATTTCAAGAATCCAGTCTACATCTGTAGCAAAAGCTGGTGACCGACATGTTTCCCTAGATGTACTTGTAAGATGGCAGGCAATTGGATTATTTCGCTCTCAAAGTTATAACAGAAGCACGCATGTTCAGGTTTTTGCACCACCGACATTCCACAAACGTGACGCCTAATTTTGCCCATAGAAGCGAAAAGCAAATTCCAGGAAGTGCTTCAGTGGGCTCGATGTATTAAACAGGTGTTACTCGTCCGATACTTCGCATTCACTCCCGAAGTATGCATTGGGCAGGGAATTAAAAGACCTAGCTTATAGGAAACCCAAACGCATAGTCCTCTTTTCCCACAACAGCTACATATGCCTGTGGAGAGTGCACGTAGGCAACACAATTTACGGAATGTAGTTGCCTTGCGGTCGCACACCTTTTGCGTCTGTTGCTGCCACTGGTGGAAGCAATGAGGTCGCAAGAGCCAATGAGGGGTTTAGGTAGTCGCAGACTAATGCCAATCGGTTCATCCTCGAATATCCGGTAGCACTGCTCACGGCTATCGTCTCCAATCCACCTGTTCAGGCAGAATGCATACCAAGAGGCCCGCTGAGGGCTTGAAGGGCCTGGCTCTGCCTACAACAGTAGTGGATCACAAGACTAAACAGCCCGTTCAAGCGTGCCACACATAGTGGACTAGGTTTCCAAGGAAACGAAAAAGTGGCTCGGATACAGTTTAAATAGGGCTTCCATATAGGCCACGTTAAGTGGGGGTGACCTGAGCGAGTCGAGCTATCGCCTCGTTTGGCAGCCTTCCAGGCCACGACGTTTAGCTCATCGTGGTGGTTTAGAAGCGCGTCAGCTTACAGTGAGGAAATACGCTGAAGTGCCCTGATGACCTTATCCACGGGGTCGACCTCGGTGTCTTCTCCCTCGCACATGCACCAGTCCATCAGTCAGCTGGTGCTGTGATTGGACGCAGTGTCTGGCCTAGTTGCAGGAGCCCCGTGGGCCAAGCACGACCTGCTCAAACATAAGCTTGCACCAAAGAGCACGCTTCCCACTGACGTGAGAGGTGTGTGGTTGTTTCGGTGGAGCTGTTTGTATGCGGCATGTGGACTGATAAATTGAGGTGTGGTGATGAGGTTTGGCCAGTAGTCATTTGTCGCAGATTTTCGCGGTGACGCATATAAATGAGTAGTCCTATACTTGACTGAATGTCTGCGGGCAGTGAAGCATTGAAACAGGTGTAGGTGCTCCAAATGCTGGTTGGCCGCTTCCATCGCGATAGATTCACAAGTGGCCGACCAGGCCGATGCGTGATCTGAAGGCGCGACCGCAATAACTGTGAGTGGGGATCGATCTCGCATTTCTGCTGCAGGGTGCTTTTTGGTGCGGTAATGAGTGCTGAGGTGAGTAAAACGGCTTCCGGGTGTGAGTGGTTGGGCGTTTGCTCGCCGCTAACGGTCGTCAACGTCGTGGAGGTTGCAGAAGATGAGTCGCTTTCCGGGACTCCAGGTATGTCGCGTTGGTGGTGCTTTGCGTCCAAAGATGTTCGATGAGGCCGATCAGTGTGCGAAATGTCCGCTAAAATCGTGGACTGGATGGGAGTTTTTGAGTGTTAAGATTGTTAATCGGGGGGTGGGGTATGGTTGGACTTGCAATCCGCTCTTCCGGTTTTGTCAACGGCGACTCGGCTGCCTTAATTAATCACTGCTTTCCATGCTGGCGGTTCCAGGGCGAGGCCCTCCTAGGTCTCCGGTTTGAGTCGACAAGTAGATTTCGGCCCCCATCATATGTTTACAGTTCCCGTCGAATTAGACCCAGTGTCCTAGCTTTCCGTTTTTATTTCGTCAAGTCGCCTAACTTTCCAGATTTTCCGTTATACTCTTTATAATTCCTCCCGCGAGAGACGCAAGCAAATAGGGCGGCGACGTTCCCGCTTCACTTTTAGTTCGTCGTCAAGAAGACAAATGGCCTGACAGATACGTTTTCTGACTCAGATTGTACGCGTGCTGCTGTAACGAATGACGAAAACTTGTACCACAATTTCACGTGCTGTAGCGAAAACGAGGCAACCTGCGAATCATCGTTGTAGTGCAGCATACCTGTTATCGGTATTCTGAGAATTTTTGAGAGCCCTTGAGAGCTCACGTCTAACGTTCATCACTACCACCTGTTTCCTTGTTTTGATTTTACATAATTTCGCCCCATTGCGCAAGCGGGTACGCAGTACGGCGTCCTATCTATGCCCATGATTTCACGAAATTATGGCGTTTATTATCTCAAGGGTTTCATACCCACCCACGGACGACGGCATGGTGGACAGATGTTCCTCGGCGAAAAAAATTTTATAGGTTTTTTATTGTCGGGATGAGTTGAGTAAGCTCTATGAAGCAGCCTCCGTCGTTTTACGATGCACACGAAACTTTCGAACGAGAAACCTATTTTTAAACCTCTTAGCCCCTGCATATCGATCGCCGGGAAATTTTGGAGGAAGTCGGTTTCATGCTAACAGGAGACATTTTTGAGTTAACAGAGTTTGATTTTGCGGTGACTTTGTATGAGAACTTTGGCATATTCTACGCGAGCAGGGTGGGTTCCGTGCCAATGGTTTTGAGTCGAAAGTTTCCAATCCTGACGAGGAAGAGGCTTTGCGGCTGATCCTTCAAATATTAACTTGGATGTCTGGAGCGCTGTTCGCATGTCATAGAACAGGCCGGCGTTTTGTTAATTAGCATTCGAGATAAATCAGTTCTTATGTATGTCAGTAGCCCGATCATAACAAATACAGTAAGTGGACTAACTCATGAAATGTCGGCCGAGGTTTGGAAATGCGTTCTCGTTTTGAAAAGATTAATAAAGCATGGTTGTAAAATTAATCACCTTCCAACATAATTCTATAATGATCCAATTATCTTAGGGTGCCTTCTTTTAAAGGAACCTATTTTCGACTGCACGCAAGAACTATACTCGACAAAAATGACTACCTAAGTAGCATGCAATTTTATCGTTGAATTTCGATGCCCTTAAAATTTAACTATACATATAAAAATATTCGTTCTTTTAATTATTTGATAGAAGATTAAGTCGTCTTTCAATTTCATGCTCATAATTCCGTTTCAAAAAGTTTCTAATTGTGAGATTTGTTAATACCGTGAAATGGCCGTTCATAAGACCTCATGTATCTGTCTTTACCAATGTGGCTTGTAAAGTTAACAATATTGCTCAAATTCACTGCTTAATTTTATGAACACTATATGGGCTACCTTTAATTCCGTAGAGAAATGTATGGTTTTCCATACGCAGAAAAAATAAGGCTTGTAGTTTATAAACCCTGAATGCAAGTATAAAAGCAAGTCGCTTTCAAAATTATTCGCGAAATAGAAGCTATTTTGAA